AAGAGGAGAGAGAAAAGTATTTTGAGTACAAGTATTCATATATAAATTGTCTTATAAGAAGCACGATTCGAAAACGGTATCGTCTCGGTATTCTATTTCGATACATGAAAATATAACACAGAAAAGTAATCTCGCGATTGTACTTTACGACAAAAAACAATTGATATATGTATAGGTACACCCTTTTCATTAATTTCTAAAAATGCACGGACAGCAGCATTTCGTTTCGAGAATGTCCAACAGAGAAAAATCGAAAGGGAAAGTGGTAAATGGTTTACTATCACTTTACCGTATAGTTTCGACGATCTAGAATTGGCGCCGTGACCGATGTCATTAACTGTCCGATGTCTTCTTTGCCGTATCTGCCACTCTGTAGGAGGAGAATAAGGATCGAATAACTCTTTGTCTTTTTTTGCCCCTCTACTTCTGACGTGTGTAGATACAGAGTAAAGGAATATAAAGTAAAAGAAATGTTTCCATTCGCGCGTACCTTTCCACCGACGTAAACGGGACTCCAATGAATAGGATGATCGTGCTGATAGAGCACCATAGGCCGAGCAAGAACTTTTACGTATTCGAAAACTTTGCTCTTGATTTCTTCTGCGTCGGTGATTCTCGCGTAAAATCCTATGAAGCGAACAAAATGAGTGTGAATTGAAAAAGAGTTGCAGGAATGATTTACTCGTAAGGTTATAATGATTTACGCGTAATGCGTATAATAGATTGTACATACATACATACATATGTATAATATGTACGATATACATATATGTAGGTACATATGTCATCGTAATTGTGCGATATAATACATCCTCGATAAGACAGAATATGTGTAATGGTGTAAGCCCGACAATAATAATATGTACCTTTGTTCGCACAGGCAGTATCGCGCAATTCAGGACTCTTGTCACCCCCTATGAGATACGTGAAAATACGAACGGGCATGTGCGGCCAATTGTATCGTTTTATCACATCCGTGGGTAATCCAGTGTTATCGGCGGTAATGAGCAGAATCGCTTGGTTGCATTGACTTCCTTGACTTGTTCTATTGTATCTGTGAAGAATTTCAAAAACAGTCCCAAGAGCAGCCGATATATTTGTCGGCGGCACTCCTTCGTGCTTCAGCGAGCCCGCGGCTATTTTCAGTTCTTGGATATTTTCCGGTGAAGCTTGAACCAAACTATCCTTGAAGCACTGAACAATCTCTTCCGCGGAATCTCCGTAACGGTACACGTTAACATAATCATCGGGACCCAGTGTGTCAAGAATAGTTTTAACGGTGCTTATCGCTAAACGTTTAATCCGTTCGGATGCGTAACATTCGATGTCGACCAATATAGCCAAATCTTTTGGGCTGTTCGCGGCTCCGACGAACCAATTTGAAATTCGAAAGTCGTACACATCTCGAACGATCCGGTTCGCGTTTCCGTTTGTAGTGGATGCTCGCTCCACGAACGGGGGCCAAGAAATTGCTGCAAAAAGATCGTACAAGTTTTTACTCGTCGTCGACTCATCATCGATGAAAGCCAATCGAAAGAGAGAAGAAAAAACAGATGAAAGGCGATAAGCAAGATGAACGGAATGTAATAAATCATACCGGGGAAACGTCGTAGGAATCCCGAAGTCGCGCCATAATACTGCCAGGACAACGAAGGATCGCTTTCGTAATTATTCACGAACAACAAATCCAAGTATTCGCTCCATTGAATGCCAGCTGCTACTTCACGATCTGAAAAGAAAGTTAATTATTGGGCATACAGCCGATCCCTGTACCTCTAGTAAATATGTACATATGTATGCACGCGTCAGTTCGGCGAATAATTACAATCATCTTTTACTCCAGCAGGCAACAGCACTGTCGAGAGCGTAACATTCACGGCCAAATGATCAAAGTGCCGGTTGGAGGAGAGTAAATTTTCTTGTCCGGCTATGGCTAGTTTTCCGTCACCCGGAAAACCATCGAAACGCTGCGAAGAATAATATTTCGGCGATGCGTTTCCATCCCTGGGTTCAGACACGGCTGCCTGCTCCGCGCTCTCCACCAGTCTCTAAAATCGTCCATCGATCATACTCGAATCAAGATCGAATGATACTGATTGAAGGATAGAGAATCCCCGCAACAGGCGTGTGCTGTCTGCATTGTTGTATTAGTGTTTTATCTTACCATAACAGCATTCATCTTAAAGTCCAACATATTTTTCACTTCTGTTGCCATTTCTCGCACTAACACCAGACCATCCTTCCTCACAACTTCAGCTTCCATACCGTGATATTTCTAATATCAAAAAAGAAATAACGAAATGATGTATGAAAAATAACAATGAATTAATATGTGCATGTGTACGTAAGTATCATATATGTATCTGAACGGATGAACCTGACTTTTCTTACCCTTTGTATCTCGCTCATTTTCGTCACCTGTTTGCCGAATTCCCATAAATCTACGCCAAATTTCAAGGCCCAGTTTTTTACTCTGAAAACGGAAGCGAAGCGTTTCTATACATCACGATTATCATCCTACTGTACGTGCACAAGTTCATTTTTATTTCGTGCATGTGTGAAAGTTCTCTTCTTCCATATACATCTATGTATGTATGAGAGATATCGTATACGCGTAGCAGAGAAGCATCATTGATGCATTCGCATGTACGCATGTACGCATGTACGCATGTACATGTGAACTCACGTGCGCACGCACGCAATTCGTATGCACGCACACACGCTGTGATAACTCTGATCCTTGTTAATCGACTGTGTACGTACGCTGAGTAATACCAGTATGCGCGCTTGCGTTCTTTCTATTCTTGCTGGTTTTCTTCAAATAGTCGAGATCGTATTCCGTTCAATTTTGTCAACGTATTAACATATGAAGTAAACGTAAAGGTACAATGAAACATCGCAAGATATTCCAATCCCTGGTCGTACACATGCTTACACAGATATTGCACTTTCAACTTGATGAACCGATTCGTGCCCCTCCCATTCGTATACCTCTACAGGTAAAAAATATTATAGTCGCTCGCCCATCTCTAGAAAAGTGAGATCTAACTACACGCGTTATCAACGTTCTTCGTTTTTTTAATTTTACCTATGAATTGTATCTTCATACTGTTACTTAACATCATCGAATTTCGACACAATTTGCAATATGTAGAATAATTGATAACGATCGTTTTTTGTATCTACAAATTCGCGTGCGTACCAACTTCTCACGTCAAACTTTCCACGGTCTACCCACGCCCTTTCGACGTAAAGATCGAATCCTTCTCGGGTCCCTTTAACGAGACGACTCGTACGTATCTACGTATCTATCTGTGTGTGTGTGTGTGCGCGTGTGTGCGCGCGCGTGTGTGTATGTATGTATGTATGTATCTATATACTATGTATCTATGTGTGCATGTATATACTATGTATGCATGTATGCGTGTGCATGTGTGTATGTATGTATATAACGATTAATGAATTGTTGATAAAATATGAAAAATGGAATTGTTTGTACTCACTCGTTATGGGGTATGTCTTCTTCCTGTTGGTAGCTCGATCTGATCCATAGCAGTATTAACACTCCGTAACGAAACAGTTTTTCAACGGATAAAAACATTATTATTTCGGCACTATCGATCAACAGCCAAATACGAAGCAATGATGAGAGAGGTGTGTACCAATCTTTTATGGGGAACGTATGTACGCGTTCGTTGATGGCACGAAGTGACTTTGCGAAAAGAATTAGTCTTACCGCTCCCTCGTAGTAGTACCGATCGATCGGCCGGAATACGGGAATCAGCGTTATGAGCGTGAATTCACCGTTTCGATGGGATCTTGTCTATCCGCGAATATTCTATATAGAACACAATAACTGTGAAACACTTTCATACGTTGGTAGCACGTACGTGCTTTCACATATCGTTTTTCACTTTCCGTTCTGTTCTTCTTTTTCTATCGTTCGGGGTCCAGCTTACTCTTGCAATACGATTATCGTGAGACTGTCGAATGAAATAAATCTTCTTCCATTTCGAATGTGTTAACCAGTCCTCCTCGACACTAGCTCGTAATTCGAATTCCAAATTCTTTTCGAACGGTATATCGCGATAAGATTAACACGCGCACGAAGAAACTCGAGAGAATGGATCAAATGTGCAGGGGTGTAAGCGCAGCGATTCGTAATAATTCACCTGCAACGCGCGGTCTTCCTCCGTGGACGTTTCTCGCAATATGATAAAAGGTCTCCTAGAGATTCGACCATCTCAAATCCAATGTTCCCCGGTCTCTCTATGTATATGCGTGTACGCAAATTATAGAAACGATCAAAGGCTTGTACGGTTAACCGATCAAGGGATCAACGAAAAAAAATGACCTTACGTTACACCACCACCCCCACCAGATACATCGACGTTTCTATCTATAATATTATCCGTACTTTGCTGCGTATCGAACGTGTACTTTATCTTGTTTCTCGCAGGAATCGAACATTGTTTGTTACGCTTCCGATACGATTCGTTTGTACGATTCACGAATGCACCAGCGTTTACCACCTTGTCGCACGATCTCTCAAGTATGTTCACACCGTAACGCGCAGAGAACCCAAAAGTATGAAGGACGAGGGTGGGATAAGGGAGAAACTGAAGAGGAAAGGAGAAAGAGCAAGGACCGTAGTGGGGGAGCGAAGCAAAGAAGGGGAACGTACGGCGGTGGAAGGAAGAAAAAAGCGATGCAAAATTTAAATTTTTACACGTGAAACACGCGTAACGTGAAAAACGATACACGACGGTACAATTACGATACAAGGTTTGTCACTTTTTTCGAGAGAGAATAATTAAAATACGCGATCCGTTTTGATCGTACTTTCTCATGAAAATTGTTCAAAGATGGTGTACTAGTCGCTTTACGTTCAAGCCAAGGGTGGCTGGCTGGCTGGCTAGCTAGCTGGCTAGCTGGCTGGCTGGCTGGCTGGCTGGTTGGCTGGTTGGTTGGCGCGCGCGCATTACTCTTACTACGCGTCTACGTTGGTGGACTCAGGCGTTTTAGGAGTAGCGCTATTTTACGAGTGTGAGTACGTACTCGCTACCACCCCTTAAAAGGATGGTGAGATGAGAATGTGGGTAGGACAGTTGACGGCTACCTGGTAGTGTTAGTAGGTTTGGATAGTGACAGGGGTGACGATGTCGGCAACGGCGATAATGGCGGCGGTGGTAGTAGTGGTGGTGGTGGTGGTGGTGGTGGTGGTACCACCGCCGCCGCCATCACCACCACCACCACCACCACCACCACCATCACCACCACCACCACCACCACCACGGCCGCCGCCGCCGCCGCCGTTGGAAGCAGAGATGGTGATGGTAGGAAGGGTAAATTGTAGTACGGAAGCAATGATTATGCAATGGTAGTAGTTGCTGCAACGACGAGAATAGTGACGTGTACAAACACAGAGACGAGTGAATGGGAGGAAACTAGGGGAAGAGTAGTTTAGACTGACGGCGCAAGACGAGAAGTAGAGGATAGGAGATGAAGGTTGCAAGATATGAAAATGAAAAGAGACGATAGGCAAAGACAGAGAGGGGTAGTAGCATCGAGGAAGCCCTTTTCCCTACTACGAAGAAATAGTGAAGAGGAGACAGACAAAGGGAGACGTCAGGCTAGTGGAAGCAAGATCCTCTCGACCTCGCGACGTAATAGGGGTAGCTGTAACGGGGCGCAAGCCCGGTATCATTGATTTAACATGCATCTATAGCTTCGTGCATAAAGTCGAATTTTCTTAGACCCTATGGATCCAAGACGGTGCTTCACGGGTTCTTGAAATTTTTCTCGTTAGTCAAATATCACTACCGAACAGACTAATAAACACGATTATCTGAAATTTCATACTATTTAGGTATTACATGAAAGTGTGTTTCCCCCGTGTAACGCACGATTGACGTAATTGTTTATCTTGGAAAGAAAAATTCTAAATACTCATAGTTCGATTTTCCACCATATTTTTTCCCCTACGAGTGCAAATCATTCTAAATCGAACCTGCACAAAGTCATTATAATAAATTTTCATTGCTCCCTAAATCTGATACATAAACTGTTAGCAACACGAACAACTAAAAAAAGATTCAAAGTCCGATTCTCGAACACCACATTGCTTCCTCGTTTTCAGGTCTCATTTATTTATTTAAAAAATTGATATAGAACATTTGAAATAACAATTTAACGCAAACATCCTTACTTACTGAACTTATGAACTTTAGGTATTGTACGTCTGTTTTATCATGATCAAAATTTACTGTTACTATCGCTGTTATTATTGTTAACCGTGTGGGTGTTACACAACTATGTTTAATATACCATTACATTTTTACGTTCTTGTCTCTTGGTGTTACAATTATAAAAAGTAAAAATTCCTAGTGATTTTCTTCGATCGAGAAAGGAAGAATGTCCTACGATTATACTGCCTGGGATATAATTTCATTTACTCGCATATTAACAATAGGACGAAGTTCTTGTTGTGCATAATCTTCAGGCAATGGCAACTGTGAGACGAGTTGAAGTATTACGGTCGATCTGTTTTCGTTCGTCTGTAATAAGCTTCTAGCTAGATGCAATGTTCTTTTCGCGATTTCCGCTTGGCAAAGTCTGGAAAGTGATAAAATCGTTTGTAAATTATCTTTATCGAAGGCAAAACTTCTTTATCATGGAGAATCATGTGTTATTCGTTAAGGGAAAATACGAAAACAGCATAGGGGCAAATGACATAATGTTGTATGTACCTATGTTTAGCGGTTGGGCAGGGGAATTGATTGATCTTTAAGCAAAGACATGCCAATCGTGGTTTTAACAACTCCAAATTATAACTTATTTCACGAGGATCAGCGCCGCGTAACAATGCTTCGATGTCCATAGTTATCTCCATGTATTCCCAAAGTAAATTTCCTTGATAAACCCATCCGCTTATGGCACCGCTACATTCCGAAGGAATCAACGGACTCAACAAGTCACGTAGATACTCGTAATTCTCTGGAAAGTTTTTTTTTTCGATAAATACATACGTACAATATAGATCGAGAAAACAAGCCAACGTAGACGGGAAACAATGGACAAAAACTATATACCGTTTATTATAGCGTCTGCGGCAAGATGTTCGATAATAATTTCATGCGCGGTATTCCATTGTTCCGCTTGGATGAAATAAGACGCAGCTTCTCCGTATCTGATATGAAAGAAATTCGATGTTTAATTAAAATCGAATAAACGCCGTTCATGTTCACCGCCAATGTACAATATACATACATACATACATGCATACATACATGCATACATATATACATATATACATACATACATACATACATACATACATACATACATACATACATACATACATACATAAGTACATACTTATGTGTAATATCACGCAGGGAAGGGGTATAACGAGTGTGTACCAACCTTTTGGCTGCATAACATTTCACGGCTTTAGCTTGGTGAATCCAAACTGAAGGTATACCAAGTTCTTCTCGTAAAAATTTTTCTCGTTCGATGTAATCAGGAATATCGTTTATTTCGACGTGTCGTTGCAGTAGACTTGTTACCGCGGATTTCCTTTTTCCTGCGTCTTTTAAATGTAACATCACGAATATGGCCCAGTGCCAAAGTCCATACGCTTCCAATTGTGTGGCGAAGTTGACGTGAGTTAACACGGCAACGTGTTCTGATAAATACGAATAGCCCAATGCTAAAAGCACTTGCTGCATCAACCAACTGCAATTGAACAGGGTCAAGTGTGAACGAGACAATTTTTCATTAACATTCGATGCACGTTGGCGATACTGTGAATCAAACGCGATCAAAGTAAAAGCGCGCGGAATCGTTCACCTGAGTCTGTAATCCAGTGGGTCGGCGGTATGAGTCGCAGGATTCAAAAGTTCGCCCAGTGCGTGATTACCAATACAAAACAATTTCAACAGATGATAACACAGATCGTATATCGGCTTCTCGTTTTTTTTTTCTTTTTCATTCATCTCTATCTCGTAATCGTCTGTTCCTCTGTATTCGGGTATAGGTGCTGCTGCATATGCGTATGTTGTGTTACTTGTATCGAAAGAAGCTTCGTAAAGCTCTAACGCGTCTCTGATGGAAGCGATTGGAGATGAAAAATACCTGTAATACGTCCACCATTATACGAAGTGTTAAAAACGAGAATCATTACAATAGAATAGGATGTGAAGTGGCAAAAAAAAAGAAAAAAAAAAAGAAGAGAAAAAAACAGATGTAGCAAGGTGCTTTGGAGAGTAAAACAATGACGCATTTACCATAAATGAACGGCGAACGCTCTTTTCCAATCGAGATTCTCGCAAACGTTAATGAGACCATGTTTACAGGATACCAGTGGTTCACCGGCCACCAATGCGAATAGTTTTAATCGATCCGTTATTATGTTCTCGTCAACGCCAGACTCTTGCCACAATCCGATTTGCTGCTTTATCAACGTTTTCGTGGGCATTCCGCTGCGTAATTGCGCCATAAGTAGTGCCAAACAATGATCACCTGCCTGTCGCGCGATTTTGCACGCCCCTTCTAGTTCGAAAGCTTAAATGCGTTCATCGATGAGCAAAATAGAAAAAGCAAAAGAACGAAAAGGTGACGTGTTATAAACATCTCTGCCTGTGTAAATGTATTATAAAAAAAAAAGGAAAAAGAAAAGGAAAAGGAAAAGGAAAAGGAAAAGGAAAAGGAAAAGGAAAAGGAAAAGGAAAAGGAAAAGGAGAAGGAAAAGAAAAACGTTTCGAAAAAAAGACTGTTCGAAATACGGACCGTAAGCGTAAGCTCTGTGTTAATGTGCGAATCTTGTCGAAATTCCAAATCATGTTTCATTCGCAATTGATATACGTACCGGATAATAGGTCCAGTATCTTTCTTTCGTTACCAATGGTCGTTTTCTCCCATTCAAGTGTCCTTCGTATAACGTTTCTCAACCAATCTCCTATGGCATCACGCCGAGCCATAATGACATTATGATCTGCTGTGCTTTCTGCGAACGGCGAAACAAGAAAATCACTGGCATGCACGCACATGTTGTACATATGTACATATACATATATGTATAACACCGTACGTAAAAGCGAACTACATCGAATAAATTTGATCGTACCGGTAAGAACGTTTACATCGGGCAGAGTTCCCCACAGGGCCACGCAGAGTTTCCAAACGTTAGCGACATACGCGGCGAAACTGTCTGCGGTAAACTGATCGGCAAATTCTTCGGCCAGGCTACAATGCGCGTGTAAAGCCATGCTCGCCTTGCCAACATCTGTGTCCACGTCGAAAATTGGACAGTCTCCCTCCTGATCCATTATCCGATGTGACAATTGAACTTTTAGATGACCCTCTATACTTCTCTTGAATATCAAAAGTTGCAAATACTTAAAGTTCGCAGAATCGCAGGAAAAATATTTCTTTCAACAGAGATTCTATTCGAAGAGAAATCTTACCACGAACGCTTTTACACTATCCTCGTCGGCTCCATCGCCACCCAAAATTTGTATACGTTGAACTATTGTGACGGATGTTGTATCTTCGGGTAGACGACCGCACATGTACGAACCAATCTGCTCGAATGGACTTTGCAGAGGTACATCGTCAGCTTGTCCTCGCGTGCTCAGTGTAAGCAACGTTAAACCGCGTCCCCAACTTGGTTTAAACATTCTTCCCATTTGTATGCCTATGGAAAAAAAGATACAGATACTTATATTTTTCCGGTGAATTTGTACAAACAGCTAAAACATTTAATCGTTATTAAAAGAAAAGAAATCTTACTACTTACCCGCGTCAGCGACGGAACGAGATTGTAACTTGTTTATGATGGATTTCGATAATGGAATCACTTCGGAATGCCATTTAAGAATCGCGGTTACTGGAAGTATAACAGGATCCGGAAAACTTTTCCCATAAATCGATGACATTGTAACAACATCTACCGATCCTTTCGACTTGGTATCTGTGATACAAATCTCTGTATAAAGTTATCCGTGCATTCTCGAGAGATACAAGAAAACGTACACATTCGACAGAATTGAACCTACCAGCAACCATTGAGATCATCGGCTCCTCGTAAACAATCGACGGCATATGGTGAATCGTTAAATTTGATCGCAATATTGGGCTATATGTAGTCACCTTGTGTCTCTGTTGTTCCTCGTCGAAATTCTCAGCAGAATCTGCGTAACATCGTACGGAACTTTTCTGACCAGGAAGAAGTGAGGCACAATTTGATTCTACAATATAATTTACAACTTTAGATGAGAAAAACTTCTGTTTTACGGCACAGAAAACCCAATTGTTCACCGGCCCATCGTACACACACACGCGCGTCGCGTACCTCGCTCATATTCTTCACTGATCTCTTCATCGCTACCATCGAAGAAACTGGCCTTCATTAGTTGTAATTTATGACTATCTGTACCCAAAATACGAGCATTGTCGCCGGTTGGACTTACCGGTGATTGTTTCTTGCGACTATGTGCTTCTAAAAAGAGCATATTCGATTGGTAGAAGTGAGTTAGAGAAATCAACCTGTTGGTTCAGTTTTAATACCTGTTGCAAAAGATCTTCGAAGAATTGCCGATTCCAAGAGCATTGGTTTGGCATCGTCCGGATCAAAGTGATCACCGGTAGTATTCTCGGTTTTCGACTCGTTGGTCAAGCCATTCACACCGACGGAAACTTTATTCTGATTGAGAAAGAAGAAAATGTAACGCGCTTACCATAGCTCGAATCGTTCGACAATCATAGGAAATCTCGTATGCTAATCGAACAAAATTAAATCGAACTAATTGCTGAAATCTTACCGGAAGCTTCGACTGCTGTTCCAATTTAGTAGCGGATTTCTGTTGGGACACTGTGGATAGTTTTAATCTCTTCGGATCAGTGGCAGCGGGTATGTTGTCATCTTCGTCTGAATCGCTCAAACCGTATTTAGAAAAATGATCGACCTGAAGAAGAAAGAGCACGCACTGATAACACGACATGGAACAGAAGAAGCGTCAAGCAGTATCGCAGATATATTACGATTCAACGAAGATAACAACGCGATCGATTTATTGAAGAATCACCTTGAAAACCCAAGAACCGGTTTCAGGGCGATACTCGAGAAATCTGGTGTCATGTTTGGCGGATACTCTACGTAATTTTTCTTCGTAATCCATTGCCGCCAGTCGTAGAGGATCGGTAATAGGTTTATGTAGAGACTTGTCGTGCGGCCACACCCTATCCAGAGTAACTTGTGCTTTACGATTTAACCCTTGTCCGACTGGTGGTTTTTTCTCGTCGTCCGGATAAATGATAACTTCTTTATGCCGAAAATGGACTGTAAATATCGATTTCACACATATATATATATATATATATATATATGTGTATGTATGTATGTATGTATGTATGTATGTATAAATTCTACCGGACGTAGGAGGGACTACTTGTTTTCTTTCTTTTTCATACAAACCGCATCAGAGGAGGTTAACAAAAGAATCATAAGATAATGAAACTTACCGATTTCATCCAGATTGAGACCGTAAATATCAAACGAATCAGGAAAATATACATTCCCGTAACCCTCGCGACCAACAGTAAAGTTTGGTACGACACAAGTTTCTCCACAAACATAATCCTCTATGTTGTCCAATGATGGAATAGTGTAATAACCTACACGTTTCAGTGTTACTTTTGCTGCATTCGATTTCCAATTTGAAGATTGTAATGCCCAGAAGGAAGTGTCATCTAATTCCTGACTCGAATCTGTAATGAATAAAAAGTAAGGGATCGAAACTATGTTCTAATTAATGTTCTGCTCCGTAGTTTTATTGCTTTTCGTACTCGTACCAATACTCTGAGCTGTGGTATCTGTACACGTTTTATCCGATGTATGGGAATTCTTCGCAGGTGTGTCCGCAGAATTGTTGACTTTGGAGGGGTGTAGTTGTTTCGGTGAATTCACAGCAGCATACGGTCGCAATTCGGTGACAGTATTATTTATTACTTCCTCCGGAGATGTGTTTAGTGCGGAGTATGGTGAACGTTGTTCGTCGAACGATTCTTCGTTAGAGTTCTGTGTCGTCGAATTTCGTGGAAGGCTAGTTTTCAACCTACGTGATAATAAAATTATACGAGTATCTGTACAGTACTGCCCATTAAATAGGCTACAACCGATTGACAACAACGTACGAGATATAATAATATGTAATAATAAACCTACCAAGACGTAGACGAAGAGGATCTTCGATCGTTTGCTAATTGCCGATTATTATCTTGACTATGATTTTCCTTGTCTACAACAGATTCGATAGTTGTACTACTCTCGATGTACGTGTCAGTTCCATTCATTCTGCCATCCCCTTTTGCAGCGGATTGCGAATTTTTTCCAACAACTTGCGACGAATTTTCGGTCGGTGACGATATAATTGAGTTCGACATAGACTTTGGACGTAACACTAAACGCTTTGCGTTTGGACGAGGCTGAAATGCTTCCGAGAGTGGGTCCTCTTCTTCGAGTCCTTCGAACATCGATTTCTATAAAAAGATTCACAATGCAACCGCCCCATATATGTATTTTCAAATCAAACGTCTCCTCGATGAATTACCTTTGATAGTTGTGCAGGGGTAACGACTTTGGCTTTAATTTTCGGAGATTTGTTATTCGCCGTAACTTTGTACTGTAAGCCATTCATTATTTTAGATGGTGCATTCGCAGGTTTTAACAACTCTTCCGTTTTGCCAGAAGCCTAAAAGTTTACCATATATCTTTGTGTAATCTATGGAACGGTTTAAAAGGAACGCAGCAAATGACTTTTTTAAACATACATACGCGTACACACGCGGCTAAAGAAATTCTTACCGGTAAAAGGTTTTTTAACAACGGTGAATCGCCAAACGGTGCAGATACCAATGCCAAAATCTGTTGATGGACTGGAACGGTTCCAGAACTTTTTGTTTGATTGTTCGAAGCGCTATTGTTAAAAAGAATCAAACAAAGTAAGACTATTGGATATATTATTGTAGTAAATTGATGGAGGAAAGGATCGAACAAAGAATTTGACAGTACCCGGCACCAAGTAGTCCCATTCCAATACCAGTTCCAACATTTGCATTGCTTCCAAAAGTTGACGATCCAAAAGATGCCGAAGGATTGAACGTTGTATTGCTTCCGGTATTACCAAATAAACTGCCTGGTTTTTGTTGACCAAATAAAGTAGAACCGCCACCCAGTGTCAAACCCGTGTTTGTGCCTGCAAAAAAAAAAGTCATACCCGGAATTCAACTTGAATTCTGTTAGAATAACATGCGGCATCGTTTGAATTCTTTCACTTGCATTTACCTTGTTTCTTCATTGTACGTGACAATACAGAGATAAACAAGTGTAAACAAGTCTAAACAAATCTAAACAAGTCTAAACAAGTACATATATAAACGAACAACAACTCACCTAGTCCGGTTGAAGGCGCGGAAGTGGAACCAAAAGAGAATCCAGACGTCTGTCCTGCAGGTTTAAAACATGTATTAAACAATGAAGCACCAGCATTTTGGCCTGCAGTGAAACCTGTTGTAGTTCCAAAAGTCGATGCTGTGTTTGAACCGAAAGTTGACGCCGTTCCAAAACCTGTGGTCCCGGTAGATTTAGCGCCGAATAAAGTCGTGCCTGCATTGCTAGAGGGTGTTTGCCCAAAGCTGGAGAACGCGGTGCTGGATGATGTAGACGGCACATTAAAAGCCGATTTGTTTTGGTTAAATAAACCGATACTCTACGAATAAACAAGTAAGATCTGTTAATACTGTTAATATATACAATTTACGGAATTGGATGCATTCTATCCGTATATTCGTGTGTGATTCGGTATTTCATTTTGTACTACCTGATTTGGTTGTGTTGACCCAAACGTGGATCCGAAACCAGTATTTTGAGGCGTAATAATTCCAGCGAATCCGGTACCGGCAGTTTGGTTAGTATTGCTAGTTGCAAAGAGTGGCGTCGGCGCTGCGGCTGTGGATAAATCTATTTATACTTTGTTAACATGAACAACCTAAGCTGTGTAGACAATTAAAAAAAAATCCGACTCTAATGTTTATGTTGAAACCTTTCCGAACTCAGCACAGTGTGTACCGTCGATAAATGCCACGCGGTATCTGAAGAACATAATACTTACTACCGAATGGTTTGGCCTGATTATTACTACCGAACAAATTTGTGCTCGGGGTAGAATTGAAAGCGAAACTGTTCGTAGTTGTTGTCGACGGTGTCACGAAGCTTGTCATCGGCTTCCCGAAAAGACTGCTTGATCCAGACTGAGTGGTTGCTCCAAAACCGCCGCTCATTACACCGAAACCTAAGGATACGCAAGTGACAAATGAATTCTATGTAGGTATATTAAATTAAAATAAAATTACGCGTATACTGCTTCTTCGGATTCTCGAAGATCTTAAATTCGTTTTAGAATATTATTACGAATACAAAGCAACTACTAATCGATATAACAGTAATTTACCAGGTGTTGCAGTATTAGTGCCTGTCCCTGCATTGGCAAAAGGTGAAGGTTGCGCGGGCGTGCCAAATATTCCTGTACTGGGTCCTATCGACAAACGAAAAAGAAACACATAAATTGCCAATGTGTGATTTTTACCATTGGTCCAACTATGTTGCAATCTAGGTATATTACACTACCTTTCCGTCCCACAGAATAGTCCTCGAAACGTAATTCTTCGTACGACTTTGACTCGTATTCCTTCATTGATGCGATGCAACAGTGCCTCGCCGATATACTATGGGATATACCATTTTTCGACATAGAATCGGTCGTAATAACGGGAGTGAATTTAACAACAGTACCGGTTACACCCGCGGTGGTGGTATTTGTACTACCGAAACCTAGCACATAAAACGAAATAACGAAGTAGAATAGTTTCTTTTCGTACGCACACTAACGCGTGCATATGTACATCGTAAAGAGAAATATTTACCAGGCGTTGTACCGAACAAATTGGTATTTCCAGTGGCATTTGTTTGTCCAAATGGAGTGGTCTGTTGAGTCGTCTGCTGAGGTTGTCCAAATAAATTTGTTCCAGATGTTGTGCCAAAGCTAAATCCGGCCGGCTTATTGGACTGTCCGAACGCCGAAGTTGCTGTATTTGTTCCAAATAAGCTTGTACCAGGATTCTGCTGATTGCCGAACAAATTGGTATTTGTGTTTGTTGTCCCGAAACCTACAGAGAGGGCGAAAAAAAGGAAATGTATGTGCAGTATGCATTATTGTATACGGCAGAGTTGGACAAAATGTAATCTAATTAGAAAATTTAAATTGCAATTGCAATTGCATTGTAATTTTACAATTAGAAAGATACGAGCAATTCGCTCTTTATAATTTTCGGTCGCCTTAAAAAAAAACGGGATCGAGTTGCGAACAGGGACTTCTTACCGAAACGTAAAATACCGGTATTTTCGGTTGTACCTTCGCCCTATACATACAATAACCCTATATAAGCACTACCCTTATAGAAACCGAAAAAGTAGCGGTATTTATTTCGGTTTTCGGTAATATATATATATATATGCCGAACAAACCGCCCGTGGTAGAACCCGCAGGCTTTGAACTAAAGAGAGAAGTATTACTACTACCAAAGACTGGTGTTGCGCCACTGCCGAAACTTGTTGTGGCGATTGGTTTGCCAAACGCAGACTGTCCGAATGGACTTGTTTGCGTAGCCGTATTGAAACCACCTACAACACATAGTTATAAAGAAAGCAGATGTATAGAGGGTGATTCACTTGAACCGATCCATGCAAATATCTGTGAAACCGCTGACAGTACCGAAGAATGTTTCACGTAACAGTTGGAATGGTTTCTGCAGGTACATAATTTCATTAGTTTCTTTGTACATGGACACGTAGAGGACATACGAAGATCAAACATGTTTTTTTTTATAAACGGAATTCTAAGTTTTGTAATGCATTAATCAAAGCAGTTTGTCATTCCCTATAAAAAATTACAAAGCTATATATGCCAAAAACTATAAATGACATTATAATTTCTAGCTGTACAACGACAAACTGCATCGATTAATGCATTGAAGACTATATGATTCTGTTTAGAAAACAAACATATTTGATCTTCGTATGTCCTCTATGTGTACACAGACAAAAAAAAAACTAATCACATGAAATAATGTCCTCTTCGAAACCACTCAACTTTTATTTCAAACATTCTTTGGTATCATCAAAGGCAGTTTCGAAGATATTCGCGAGAATGGATTTAAATGGATCACCCTGTAGAAAGAAGAAAGAATGGAAATAACACATATTTAGGTATTTAATATTTCGTTTTACTTACTGAACGACGTATTTCCAGACTGTCCAAACATGATTAAGATTTAAAATGTCACTGGAGTTTATGTTCAGTAGTCAACACCGCCTGGAACATGATATACTAAATTTGTATCTCAATTCTACGAATTTGTAGCTCGATCTTGCTCAATATTGCGCAGAATAAAATCTCATGGGTTGAATAATATAACACCTTCGGATAACAAACGAGCTAACTGCACTTAACGAACCAGGATAGACGATGTAAAAAAACGCACAGTACTATCTGGTGATACTCGGTGATAGTACAGTCAATTATTTTGTATGGCATTATGGCATTACAAAAGTTACGGTTAAGGCACACGGATATGTGCGCGGCGACATTCACTGCGTAACTACAGCTGATGTCATTATTGTCAGTACTTGTATAAACATACCTATATATATATTGTATGATCGTTCATTGTATCTCTCTGTGAAAGCAACTTCTAACAAACTGTGCACCGAAAGAGAAATGGCTAGAACAAATACTTCGACTATGTAGGTGCAACCCTAGAATTTGAGGCGTACACGTATACGAGTCACAATAATTTATCAGTTTAGTGATTACTGAATTATCACGCTGTCAGTTGTCGACTCCATGCATTAATACTGGCGATCGAGCGAGTACTTATGTATGTCACATACACGCTAGCTAAACAACACTAAATATTAAATATGTATGCCCGCAACATGCGTCGCAAGATCATAACTCTCGAATATCGATCGATATTTAGAGCAGTCTTATCTGTATAAGTGATGCTTATAAACATCAGGGTAGACAAAATGAAGAAGACAAAGGTACCTACTGCCAGGTGTGGGTAGATCCTTTGCGATTGGTTGATTTAATTTCGACAACTGTTTTCGATAAATCAACATTACACTTGAGACGTAAGTAGGAATCTTTTTAGATTTTTTGATCTGTTAAAGAACAATCTGGAAAAAACTGAATGAAGTCGAAACCGAAGGACAGAAGTAGCACTGGAGTAATTCCTCTCTTGCTCGCACATCGCAGAGGGAGGGTTCAAAGCATAGACAATAACAACACAAAAGTTGCTTCTGTGTTGAGAGAGAATAAAATACAATACTATACTTTATATATTTATTTAAATATTTAATATAAAATATAAAACATATAAACATAAACGTGCGTATAAACTACATACGATATACGTAATATAAGATATACATGATAAATAAATATGTACACCCACGAGCAAACTCGGCTTCCGCTAGGGGAAACAGCGGTGTACAATAAACGTCTCCTACCACTTGGTAAATTTATTCCAGATACTGAAAGAAATGTTAAATCGAATGTTAATGTAGCATAAATTTCAGTAATTCCAAATACCAACAGTTAGGAGCATGCTAGGAGGCCCTTTCCCCACGCTACTTTTACATCTCACACACACGGGGTCTCTTACGTAACTCCAGGGGTTCTATGACCCCACTTCTAACGTACGCGGATCTCTCACGCATGCTCCGGGGGTTCGATGGCCCCACTTTCTCACACACACGGGGTCTATTCTCATGTCACAGGGGTTCTATGACCCCACTTTCTCACACACACGCGGGGTCTCTTATGTATGCTCCAGGGGTTCTATGACCTAACCATAAGACCGCGCACTCTTTTATACGTATATGTCTACGGTTCGATATACACCATAGAATGTCATCGAATAGATAGGAATGCCATTATTTTTCGTAACTTCTTTCAAAAAGTCAGTGTAGGATGGACAACTATGTACTTTTACTCTAGAGACGCAATTTTGTTTAACGGCGTGTGCATCAGTGGTGTGTCATGTTTGCGTGCAAATAGCTGTGATTTATGTATATACATATATACAGATAGTATGGAAGAGTAGGACAAAATGCATTTGTAGAAATAATGGCTGACTAGTGCTGTTATCACACATAGAGGGAGACGTTCACATGAGTTTCATTCACGACTAGTCAAACAAAGTTATACTTTCTATTGCGCTGGCGGATAAACATCGATGGAAATTTTATGATTTCGATCGAATGCTAATAAGTAACCAAACAAGTTTACTAATTACACGGAATTTTAAGACTCTTAAAAGTTCGTAGAAAATTTACATGTAAGGATGTAAAGATGAGGGATAAAATTTCATAAAACGGACGTTTGTCATGCGACTCTTTACCAAGCGAACCAATGAAGACAGATTGCCTGAGGAAGAACGAATTCCTTCAGTCGCGATGCGACTTCGCGAATGTATTTTGCTCTTCTTTTTCAAACTAATTATATTTCGGTTACTGTCTATTGTGTTGCATTGAATGTTTATACGTTTTATTGAAAATATTAGGCAACATGATCCGCGTACCAAGTGCATTTACATACAATTTTTGGGCAAACTCACTGACAGAAGTTGTTGAATTGATCTGTTTGATGCCAAATGGAGTCGTTATACCATTAGAAGCTAATCGTAATATTACTTTGGCTGAAATTAAAGAGGTGAGTTAGACTTAACCCTCGCAATACTGGGGCAATGGGAGAGAGGGGGAGTTACTTGAAGCCTGTCATATCTGTGTATTGCCTGAAGTACCACTTTGAAACAAGTTCTGTATTCCTAAAAAAGTTACTTATAAAACTGTTTATTTGCAATACCTTTTTTTTCATTTTCATCATCGAGTACTCTATTTTCAACCGTTTATACACAGATAGATATGTTGGTAACGTTCAGTTTTTGTAAGACATAAGTTTTTATTAGGTGTGTATAACATTATCCCCCTATCCTCTTCCCCTGGACGTCCATGCAACCAAAAAAGACTCTGTACTGCGAGGGTTAACAATATTCATTTTAATTTCTATGCAAAGAAATAATTTTGAAGAGAGTATACAAAGAACAAACTTGGATCTAGGATCTATGGGATGAAGCTAGCAGATATCCCCTACATGGCACATTGAAAGATGCACCATCCTATGTATTTTCATGCATCAACTCTAATGCAGAAGCGGAAGAATTAAGAGATGAAACCAGACGTTTGTGTGACATAAAGCCATTTTGTTCTTTACTTAAAGTTATTGAGCATGAAGGTGTGAAAAGTGACAGAAATCTAGATTCTCAAATTGGTTTATTAATTGGGAAAGGATTACACGAGTTTACAGCTTTAAAGAACTCTGAAGTGAACGATTTCAGATGGAAAATGCGAGTTTTAGGAGATGAAGTTGCTGTAGCAAGAAGAAAGAAGTCTTGGATGGAGAAAGTACGTTATCAATTTCCTACACGATTAGCACCAACTGCTACAATTCCAAAAAATATTGAATGTCGATTGAAAGATGGAAATATTGTTCTTGTTACAAAATTTGAAAACACTGAGGTAAGAGAATGAACAAGACACTAATTTATTCTTATTTCTCTTCTTTATTGGCATACATAAAGCCATGATATTACATGTGCGAGTGAATGAGTATCAAAACGTGTAGCAACATTTTTAATTATTAGCATCGGTTGATACGTAGACAATAGGATACACGCATGGTTCTGTTGGTTTCCGCGATTCGTTGCTCTTTTCAATCTTCATATTCTCGGTAAATCGTACAATTTTTTTCGAACATTTATTTTCACGTTCATCAGTGTTACTAATATGTTGAATTTCGTACAACTTCTTTAATGTAACCGTTTCTGGTGCTGCAGTGTCAAGATCAAGATTTCTTTCATTTTCTGGTAGATCTATGACTTTGCAGTGCGCCTGGCTTTGCGACACAGAAACAGTATTCTCTGGTCGCGGCTCAGAGACTAGTTCAGTCTCTGTAACCACCGTGTCAATATTCTGTTGATTAATGAAATCTTCGCACTCTTTTACGTGCATTTTAGCGTTCTTATTGTCTGCAAATCGTAACGTTAACTCACCTTCTAGAACAGATACTTGAGCCTGGAGAATAAAATAACTTCCTACAGTTACATTCAAGAGTTACATTCTTGAGCGCAATAAGATTTAAATAGAATTACTTCCAGCAACGATGTCTTGTGTCGCGAGTACTGTAGCTGTTTGGTAATGTTCATTTTAGTTTCTTCTTGTACTAACAAACGCGTGGATAGGTCTTCTACTTTTATACGAAGTTCATCTGTTTCCTTTTTCTTGGTATCCAGTAAAGATTGAAAATACCTGGAGAAATTATTTTAACAAATTGACACACAGCACACACACGCACGCACGCACGCACATGCTCGTGGACGCGAATGATTGTTGTTAAATTTTTGCACTTGAATCTAGGCTTACCCAAAAGACGCATCTTTAAAATTCAATTGTTTTGTCTCGTCATTTTTCTTAATCTCAGACTTCAACTTTCTTTCAAGATCAGATATCCTGTTCTTGTATTTCTGAATTAATTCATTATTTTCTGCTAGAGCATGATCTGTATCATTTTCCCACTTGCTAAGTACTGCAATTCGTTCTGTTCTTAAAGTTTTGATCTCTGCCACTTGTGCTTTGCATATTCGTTTCACTTCTGTGTACTTATCGCGTAATGTGTTCATTTTGTCCACTACGTTTCGTCTGCGATCTTCTACTTCGGCAAAAAGTGAATTTCCTAGAAGTACAACTGTTAGGAACCTCATAGACACAAGTCAATCGGATTGCTTTTTTTTTTCTACTTGCCTTTAGATGTATCAGCTATAGGATTTATATTCAGGGATCCTGCCTCTGTACGACTTAGTGCGAGCTCAGCTCGAGCATCTTCTAAAGCTGTGCTTTTCTCATTCAACTGTTCTTTGATATTCTGTTAATAAAGAATGTTTTTTATATTTCGATCTACGGTGTGGTAGAGCAGTGATGAACAACCTTTTTTCGGAGTGGAGGAAGATTAAAAATCCAGCATGTAATCCGTACGGGCCGCTGTAACTGCTTTCTTAAAAAAAACCTAATTTACTAATTATTTCATAGATTTATGCATCGTGCTAAAAGCAAAAATTTTGGGCTTCAGCTGATTTGAGCGGGTCGGACAAAGATATTTGGCGGGCCGCATATGGTACGCGGATTGCTCATCACTGTTTTGAAGAACGATTAACCATATTCTACCCGAAAGAAAAAACGTCTATGAGCGGCCTCTTACCCGAACAACATATTCAAATTCATTGCATCGTGCTCTCAGTTCATCGATCGTTTCTACGGCACTTTGAGATCTTTGTTTTTCATCGCGTAACATTAGTGTAAGCTCATCGATGCGTTTTTTAAGGGAAGCATTGTCTGCCTGAAGGGAAATATTTGCTACTTGATTCACAGTTTCCACGCATTCAGTTTCTTTTTGCTGATTAACGCATTGACGCAATTTTTCAATTTCCGTCGACTGTTTTGCTAATTTTGTTTCGAGTCCCGAAATGATATTTTCGTATTCTTTAGTTGTAAGACGGTATCTGAAATGAAGAATAAACGAGGATACATAATGTTTAAGGAATGATTAACGGTCGTTTTTCTGAAAATTGATGTATGTAGGTACTTCTCTTCAACTTCAGAAATAATTTGTTCCTTCTCCGAAACTCGTTGTTCGAAAGTATGCTCGAGTAATTCATTCGTCTCTTGAACTTCTCGAAGCATTGCTTCGTTTAATTCGAATTTCCGTTTTATGTCGTGTATTTCTTGCCGGCATATTTCGTAGTCGGTTTTCAGCAGACGATAACAACGATCACTGACTCCTTCTGAATCTTCTTCGGTGTATTCTTCATTATTTGCCTTATTGATTGGCCCGCGTGCCGACATACCTGAACAAGGTTATGTTTCGTCTTATAATCCTATGATTCGGGTTGTCTTTGAACTGAAACGGTTGTCCTTGTTAATATATATTTTCACGGGTCAAAGCAGCCAATTTTGTCGGTACCGCTCCCTTCTCTCTTTGTCCTGTACCCTGTATCACCTCCTATCCGCCTGGTTTTTCGTTTTTGTTTCTCCAAGCGAAAGGAGAAAAATTTGGCGGGAAAGGATGCTGAAGTTCCCCGGGGGGTAGAGGGGGCATTGGTTACATTTAACGTGTATGTATGTATCTTATAACTTGAATTTACATTTTCAGACGGCTTTCACGTTTCAAATACCACACACTACGACACCGTATCAGTTACTGGTATCTATTTTAAATAAACGGGCAAACACTTTGATGTCTCGAGGACACCCGAATGATTTCACTCTGAAGGTTTGCGGACAAGAAGAATATTTAATAGGGGATTGTCCGTTGATACAGTTCAGTTATATTCAGGATTGTCTAGCGAAAGATGTTGTACCGACCTTGGTTACGTTAAGTAGAGACAGCGTTTGCGTTGACCAGGAAACCGCTGTGGAAAATGCGGAGGCAGATGCTTTGCAACGTACCAGGCCTTCGTTTTCCACGTTGACTCTACGTAAAAAAGGCAAACATATATCTGCTTGGAAATTAGAGGAACCATTTACTTTCACTGTTAATGGAATATCGCGATTGAATTGCGATGCCGCTCATCGTACCGTCGAGGTATGTTCGCAACCCGAGTTGAATAATGATGTACAATTGCCATTTTCATTAGAAACTGATGCGCATTTTCTTTTCTTTTCTTTTCTTTTCTTTTCTTTTCTTTTCTTTTCTTTTCGTGTCGTAGATCGGGCTTCAGGCTGGGCTTTTTCACGGCGGAAAATCTCTGTGCGAAAGTCAGAAGACCAAAGAGACTGTTGTTAATCCAGATGGCAGTTGCGAGTGGGAGGAAACTTTAAGATTTGATATTAAGGTGCGGGATATACCGCGAATGGCTAGGCTGTGCTTTGTTTTATACGAAATCAGTAAAACCGCGAAGGGGCTTAAAAGTCGTAGATTGGTTAAAGATACCAAACAAGAATTTTTTATAAATCCATTATGTTGGGCTAACACAACTATATATGACTTCAAGTCTCAATTAAAAACAGGAGCAATGACTCTTTATACTTGGACGTACGCGGAGGATATGCAAAATGATGATCTATTGCACTCCCTTGGAACGGTAGTGTCGAATCCTCATATAGATAGAGCAGCTGCGCTAATGTTGACATTTCCAAAGTGAGTTTCCTATTTAATATTTATCATCTTTATTTCTTTATTTCTTTCTTGCTTCCTTTGTTTCTTTCTTTCTTTCTTGCTTGCTTGCTTGCTTGCTTACTTTCATTCTTTTCTTTCTTTCTTTCTTTCTTTCTTTCTTTCTTTCTTTCTTTCTTTCTTTCTTTCTTTCATCTCGTAGATTCGAGCTATATCTACCTTCTGTTTGGTACAATATTTAGTTACGGAAAAGACAAATCTGTTCTTTACCCGACTCCGGAGAAAATGGTCGAGTATGCAAGGGAATTACGTGAATCGTCCGTCGAACAATCGATTCAAGAAGAACAACCGGATCAAGGCTCCGATGTTGGTAAACTACAACAACTTGAGCAACTTCGACTGTTGGCGGACAGGGATCCGTTGCACGAGCTTCACGAACAAGAACGAAAGATAATGTGGACGTTAAGGCATCACTGCCTTCTCGAAATTCCCACGCTGTTAGCAAAATTGTTGCATTGCGTGGAATGGAACGATCATAGGTGAAAATCTTAACCACGATTGAAATTACCATAGGAAAAAAAAAAGCAGATTTCAGTTTACTTTCCTTTTTCAATTCCCGACGTGTACAGCGAAGTGGCCGAAGCAACGGCATTGGTTCAACAATGGCCGAAATTACCGGTCGAAAAAGCACTCGAATTATTAGATTATGCATACGCCGATCAAAATGTCCGAAGCTTTGCCGTGCGTTGCTTAATGGACGTCACCGATGAAGACTTAAGTTTGTACCTACTGCAGCTGGTGCAGGCATTGAAACACGAAAATTACTTGTCCTGCGAGTTGACTGAGTTTCTGCTAAGACGCGCCCTCAACAATCGAAGGATTGGCCATTTTCTATTCTGGCATCTTAGGTCTGAAAAATGTTTCTCGTTATCACTCCCTTGCCAAGTTATCCTCTGTTGTCACACGTTCGAAACACCTCGAAGCGTTCATAGGCGGCAAGAGAAACTGCATGTTCTTTCGTAATGTTTGGTTCACAGGTCGGAAATGCAAGTAGGTGCCGTATCTGTTCGTTTCGGTTTAATATTAGAAGCGTATTGTAGAGGAAGTCAACAGCATATGCGATCACTGTTCAAACAAATGGAGTGTTTGGGAAAATTGAAGTGTGCTTCCGAACAAATAAAACAACGAAAAGATCGTAAAGCGGCGTTGCAAGGTTTCCAAGAGTTCATTCAAGAACCACACTGCCAAGAAGCACTTTCGAATGTTTTGAATCCTTTGGATCCGAGTTTCCGATGGAAACGCATTAAGTAAGTTGATCTTTAGGCGATATTATACCGTGGTTGAAAGAAATGTTGTTAATGGCGTGTAAAATACGGTTTACAGAATTGAGAAATGTAGAGTGATGGATAGTAAAATGCGACCGCTTTGGCTTGTTTTTGAAAATGCCGATCCATTTGGCGATGACATTTACCTGATACTCAAGCACGGGGACGACTTGAGACAAGACATGCTTACGCTTCAGATGTTACGAATCATGGACAAACTATGGAAAAGAGAGGGTTTAGATTTACGTATGAATCCTTATGGTTGTATATCGACAGAAAATAGGGTCGGAATGATTGAAGTGGTACTAAACGCGGAGACAATTGCGAATATTCAAAAAGAGAAGGGCACGTTTTCGGCAACAGCTGCATTTAGGTACGTTAGATTAAAAAGAAATTCCGCCGTATGTAAGTAGATTGTTGCTTTTCTTTTCCATTCGTTTCGTTTCGTTTTCTTTCTTCTTTTTAACTAGTAAAAGCGAGCCATTTTATTCTATTTGTTCGCGATTGCTTGATTCTCAGACGAGGTTCTCTGCTCGCGTGGCTAAAAGACCATAATCACACGGAAGCAGCGTTGAACAAAGCTATCGAGGAATTTACGTTAAGTTGTGCTGGTTATTGTGTGGCCACATACGTTCTTGGGATTGCGGATCGTCATTCGGACAATATAATGGTGAAGAAAACAGGTCAACTATTTCACGTTGATTTCGGTCACATACTTGGACATTTTAAAGAAAAATTTGGATTCAGGCGTGAACGCGTACCATTCGTGTTGACTAACGATTTCGTACACGTAATAAATAAGGGACAAACCAAGAAAGGTCAGGCAGTGGAATTTCAGCGCTTCCAGAGTCATTGTGAGCAAGCTTTCCTTGTATTGCGGCAACACGGAGGTCTAATATTATCTTTGTTCGCCATGATGATCTCAACGGGATTACCTGAATTATCGTCGGAAAAAGATCTTAATTACTTAAGAGATACATTGGCAAGTAGTGAATTTAAATTGAGGAGAAAGTATTCGATAATTATATCGAATGACGTTTAATGTTAATGACAATTGAATTTGTTGATATTAGGTACTGGAGATGTCTGAAAGTGAGGCACAAAAGCATTTTAGAAGCAAATTTGACGAAGCTCTCTGTAATTCGTGGAAAACTTCGTTAAATTGGGCTTCCCACAACATGTCGAAAAATAATAAAACGACATGAACCGACACGATCGGATTGAATGCTGAAAACAACAAGAAATCCAGAACGGAAGAACAGATGAAGAAACGTGAAAAAGCAGGGGATACGAACGAATTCGATGAACATAACTGAATGCGTAAGCATCGTTGCATCGTCGTATCGTCGCAACGTCGCATGTTTGAGATACACGGAAGAAAGAGAATACTATACTCGGCCCAGAAGAACACAGAGAGATCAGAAAAAGACTGACTTACGATTGATTAGTCGTTACTGATCGGTAGCAGAAGTTGCCCTTTTCGTGTTTGATATGAACGCGAGTGGTAAGGGCTTAAATGCGTACATGTACATACACGCACGCACGCACGCACGCACGCACGCACGCACGCAAGCGACCAGAAATTGACAGGTGTGCGAGAAAGCAGCCGCACACTTGTTTCATCTTTCCCAGTTTACTCCGGCATTTTGATTAGTGACGGACAATGGTAGCGGAATACGTATACGGTACATATCATTGATTGACATTGCGGATTCCTTGAAAGAGTGCACGCGAGAGTGTTTATTTGCTAGAACTGTTTCAAGGTATACCGTTTTTCGCGTGAAATTATCGCAGTGTCGTGGCTGTGCCGATATAACGACGCTCCTGAAACCTTTTGACTGAAATTAGAAACGTACGAAAAAGTATGAACAAAGAAAAATCACTGAAGAATCCTAAAAGTTTCAAAAGTTTGAAATACTACTGTATCGATAACAATAAACGAAGTTATTCTTCACCTTATTCTCCTTGTTATTACTATTGCTATTGTTGTTGTTATTGTTGTTGTTGTTTTGATTATTGTAATAATATAATGTTGAATTAGTAACCGAATTGATCGTTAAATTGACGTTGGTAAAGTTTGCTGCGATGAAATGTTTGACTTTCGTTCAACTAATCAAGTACACAGGTCACTAATTGTTCAGTTGAACGTATATTTTGGTATTTTATTAACGTTACAAGTTCCGTATACGAGTATATATGCATATACCATACATATGTACGTACACATAAATGAGATGCATATGTATAAACGTATGTATATAACGAACGAAGCTGATTATTTAGACTAGACGCAAGTAGGAACGAAAGTGATGGCAGACGATGACTATCACGAACATGATTGTGCGTGCAAGGCCGTCGTGTGGATTTTTTTCCTTCATTATTGGCCGCGATGTCGGTAAGCTGGTGGTGGATCAGCGGAGTCGCGTTACATAAGTCGACACGAAGCGAACGAACAACGAACGAGGACGCAAGACAGAAGATGGAAGATGGAAGGTGGGAGACAGGGAATCCGAGAATGTTGTGTACTTTGGTTACGGACAACTTGCACCTAAGCACTTCTGCTTCGGTTTCGTGCACTCAGCTAAAAAATATCGCCGAATCGTATTTTTCTCGTGACGAGCGAGTCGTTTTTACGGGTACAAGTATTTACACAGACTCGTTGTTTTTATTGTTAGGTAGGGCTGATTGTTCGCGGGAGCGCGCAGTCGAGCCTGCGATCGCGACGCGTCGCGTTCGGAACCGATGTGCTAGAAAAACTATCGATAGAACTTTGATTCGTAAGGACGAGGATCGTGCGACACGAAATAAACCTTGCAAAACAGGATTCAAACGGATTATCATCATCATCATCATCATCATCATCATCGTTCTGCGTTGCGAATCAAGCGGCTATACATACATATTGTACGTACGTAGATACGTTATGTAGGTGCACATTTACATTGTCGATTGATACGCCCCGACCACAAGCAACTCGTGGGCACAATGTTCTTCTGAATATACATATTAATATATTATCAATCGATTGTGTTTTTACTGCGACCAGTGATACTACTACTGTATCTATCCCGTGAAAGTGGATGAAAATACATATAAAAAAGAATGACCGCTACGGAAGAAACCGAACCGTTAATTTCCAAAAAAGTGTTGCATACTTGCGGATCTAAATCACCAGCACACTACTATGATGCAATTCCATTGGTAAGCAATATGAAAAATCATTCCGTATTATTCTGTCGTGCTACGAATTTTCGTATATCAGTTCGTTCGATTGTTACCGTGAATGGAACCGAAAAATCTCGGTCATAGAGATTTCTCCGGTCTGTGAACTTCTTAGAATCTTACAATTCTACTGTAACTGTAGGAAGAAAATGCGAGTGATGATTCGTGGTGGCGTGGAACAAGCTCGAAAACATCTCTTAAATTGAAATCAATTTTACATGTTAACAAGTCGATTGGAAATCCAGCGGTGGCATGTTCCATTGGAAACGAGTCAATCGTATACACTTGGAGCGATTTAAATGTATACGTTGCTAGGAAAAACGAGACACTTTTCGAACGAATATTTGTCAATAGGAACAAATCAATGGAACGAAAACATTTATTGAAAGATGGTATGAACTCGAAGAAATAACATGGAAAAATCTGCCGCCGATTTCTCGCAATGATATCGGTATGATATCGGTATGATATCGGTATGATATCGGTATCAATATGTATATCGGCAGCGGCTTTAGCGGGGATGTTTTTTTGGAAAATCTATAGGTACCTACAGTGACAACTTAACGAAATTTCGTTACAGTATGCGGGGTAGCTTATCCCGGTGAACTGCTGGTAATCATGGGATCCTCTGGGGCTGGTAAAACAACATTGTTGAACGCTTTAACGTTTCGGTCAGGCCGTGGCGTAATTGTGTCGGGAGTAATGGCGGCCAATGGGCGAAGAGTATCCTCTTCGATACTTACATCCAGGACCGCGTATGTGCAGCAGGACGATTTATTCGTTGGTACATTAACCGCCAAGGAACATCTTTATTTCCAAGCTATGGTACGCATGGATCGAGAAATACCTATGGAACAAAGGATCAAACGAGTAAATGAAGTGATCAGCGAGGTAAACGTAAATTATTCTTTTGATCTGGCTTTTTTATTCTACCGTTTGTTCCCTCTGTCCCATTTCTGTTGTTAGCTTGCTTTAACGAAATGTCGGAATACCGTGATCGGTCAACCAGGAAGAATTAAAGGGCTTTCCGGTGGTGAGATGAAAAGATTGTCATTCGCATCCGAAGTTCTCACCGACCCTCCGATAATGTTTTGCGACGAACCAACATCCGGTCTGGATTCTTTTATGGCGCATCAAGTAGTTTCTGTTTTAAAGACATTAGCTGGTACGTCGTCTAATAGTCGAATCTATGTAATGTAAGCGTTAATTTACGGGTGCGCGCGTTAACCAACCGTAGGAAAGTTAGCAAAATGATCGTTGAATTGTAGCGCGAGGTAAGACAATCGTTGCTACATTACATCAACCCTCTTCGGAATTATTCGCACTGTTTGACAGAATTTTATTAATGGCTGAAGGAAGAGTAGCTTTCATGGGTACAGGTTCGCAAGCTTGCACCTTTTTCGAGACGTGAGTCGATACTACGTTTATTTACTAATTCGAAATTAACTTTCCAGTCTTTCCCCTCCTCTTTCTTTGGAATTCTGATTAATGCTTACAGATTAGGTGCAGCTTGTCCCAGCAACTACAATCCGGCAGATTACTTTGTTCAGGTATTAGCTGTCGTGCCAGGTCGAGAAGTATCCTGCCGGCACGCTATAAATACTGTATGCGATTCCTTTCAAAAGAGTGAACACGGAATTAAAATTGCGTTGGAGGCAGAAGCGGTGAATGGCGAGTTCGAAGATTCTCTGCAAGACACCAAGTATGCCGATAATCGTTCGCCGTACAAAGCAAGTTGGTGCGAACAATTCCGTGCAGTTCTTTGGCGGTCTTGGTTGTCGGTTATCAAGGAACCCATCCTCATTAAAATTCGTCTGCTGCAGACTGTTGTAGGTCACTCACGCTGTAAAATAAACTTCATCAACGTAATTATGTACATATTAACAAAAGTGTCGATGGTGGGAAGTCTCGAGTAAAGAGAGGGGAGAGGTGGGGAAAAAAATTGGGAAAAATTTCGAGAGAACATTTGATTTTATTGGAAATTTCTGTTGTCGCAGATGGTGTCGCTTTTAATCGGAATCGTTTATTTCAATCAACGGCTCGATCAGGACGGAGTAATGAATGTTAATGGCGCTTTATTTATTTTCCTCACAAACATGACTTTCCAAAACGTCTTTGCTGTTATAAATGTAAGAATCCGTTGACGTAGAAAACTAAAAGGAGAATACGAAGAGAAAAATAATCTATAAAATCTACGATATTTCTAGGTGTTTTGCGCAGAGTTGCCGATATTTTTACGAGAACATCGAAATGGTATGTATCGTACCGATGTCTATTTTCTATGTAAGACGCTAGCAGAGGCACCCATCTTCATAGCTGTACCGCTGCTTTTCACTATCGTCGCCTATCCAATGGTCGGACTGTATCCGGGGATCGATCACTTTTTCATTACCGCCGGTATCGTTGCACTAGTTGCGAATGTCTCTACGTCTTTCGGTAAGGAGGTCGCATTGTTTAGCTATTATGATACACGTGACACAAACGTTCCTCCTTTTCAATCATTTTTGCAGGTTACTTGATATCCTGTGTTAGTGACAACTTATCTATGGCATTGTCCATTGGACCTCCGGTGATAATACCATTTCTTTTATTCGGTGGATTCTTCTTGAACACAGCGTAAGAAGTGCTTACTTACACCTATCTGTTCTAACATTCTTAACATTCAACGCATCACATGTATCAACAATACCGATTTACGATGTAGTATAGTATAGTGTAGTATAATATATTCATACACATACATACACCGATGCTTGCGTACAATTTTGTGCGTATATATGTACTATATTGTAGGTCCGTCCCATATTACTTTGAATGGTTTTCCTACTTGTCTTGGTTTCGTTACGGTAACGAAGCCCTTCTTATCAATCAATGGTCAGAAGTGGAATCTATAGCATGTACGAGAAGTAACGCAACTTGCCCCAAAAGTGGACGAATGGTCCTGCAAACATTTAACTTTAAAGAGGTTCGCAGCGGTAATAACACGATACGTATATGTGCAACGTTTCTATTACTTATAGTTTCTTTTCGATTACAGGAGCATTTCTGGATAGACATCGCGTGTCTCTTCTCTTTGATTGTCGCGTTTCGTTTTCTGGCATTTCTTGCTCTGCTCTTGAAGACACGGCGTGTCAAACGATGATGAAGGGAACGAATAGGTACATATACATATACATATATATAGTTTGTCGAGAAAATTCATTTTCAAGAAAAGAAATGTATTCCTGCTTCCTTGGGACTGCAGTCCAGTACCAAACAAGTGTAACTATATCTGTGTTCAAATAATTAAAAGTCTTGTACGAATTCGCACGAGTACTTATACATATATGTATGTGTATGTATTAATTTACTACTTACCCTTTTCTATAAAGGACCCGAACTCTCGCTCTACATGTGTTTAGTTGAAATTTCAAAACAGTATACACAAGTGCATGATCATAGGTTCAAGAGGTTTCATAGCGATAAAATGTAGGTAAGTATACATAATATTTACCTAATCGTACAGAGGAAGATGTGTAATAATGGTCGGAGGAAAAATCATCCGCGACTAGCGTAAAGTTTCTTGCAATATATGTAGTAAGTATATTTTCTAACGGAGAATTTTCGTCTGTAATATTTATATTATGTATGTAGGTGTCGTTGAAGCACCCTTTCGTTTCCTTTTCCTGGCATTGTCGTTTGTCGTATCGCTCGCCAAGTTTCTCGCGACACGCCTTTACCGCAAACAAAAAAAAAGATGAGGATAGGAGCTAACAAGCTGCCGAGTTTGAGATTGCAACTCGAACTCGGTTGGATGTCTCGGTATTTCCTGTTACCTTTTTGTGGGTTGTAAACCTCTTGCGGATGGCTAGCAACAAACACCTTCGTTCTGGCCACCCTCTGATGTATGTACATATACATATAGACTCCGATATCTTTGATAAACCGGTTGTTACTTATACCGTGCGAGCCTGGCGCGTTGGACGAGCAAAAACAAACTGCAATGGAACGACATAAGTACGAACAAGATGAAATTTCCGAGAAAATTTTATTGTCCGTGACCCGAGGTTCAGATCGGAACCTTACGACATATCACTGGCTTCCATTAACGAAAACTTTTATAATACATGTATATATAATACATATACCATACATATGTATGTACAGCAAATTCAATTCTGTAGATCTTTTCTCTTTACATTTTCACAATTCGTTGCTTCTATGACTGACGGTCGATAAAATATTGCGACAAAGCTCGGAAAGAAAAAGTGTACCTATCATTAAAACAACGCACGGTACTCTAGCTACCTACTATTGTTGAAAAAAATCGAAGATGGATCTGTGAAAAGTTTGCATACACCGTACCACACCAGCGTGGAATGCCGACGACGTAATCCTTGTACGAGACAAGTAGTATAAGGTTTCCCTCTTCGGTTACTGTAATGTGTTTAATCTGGCCCCGTTTCGAGCTTCCACGTCCCTTCTCGTTCCTTCTCCTTCCTTCTCAGTCTTGCATTTGTCATACATATAAATATGTACCTATGTATGTATGCACCTCGGTAACGAACAAATCAAAAGTGTTGTCCTCTCGACAACGTAAATCTATCCTTCGATTGCTTTTTCGATATGTGTTACGTGTATCTCCATGTATCTGTGTGTGTGTGTGTGTGTGTGTATGTGTACGTATGTACGTATGTATATGTATACATATGTATCTGCAATAAAGTATACATACATATATGTACATATAATACTTGTAATAGATATAATATATATTTTACAACGAAAAAATATTATTTTTGAATTTCATTTTAATGTTATTTATATTTCACATTTTTAACAATCACATTAATTAACCTTTTGTTTATTTTTCATGAATCGTCTTTGAATAATACATTTTTCAACCGTCCACCATTTCTCGCTAAACAAGTGATATACGTAATGTGTTTAGCACAATAATTTATCCGCTCGTTATAAAATTCGAATGAAAATCCTGATGATAATGTGGAGATTTATATGGTTCTGTTTAGTTGAACTAGTTGAAGGAACAAGAGGATGTAGGAGGATACGTGTAAGTTCGAGTAGCTGGGCACGAGCTACCGCGCGCGTACTTGATTCAGTACTAATCTTGTTTGCGGAGCGACCCTGTCGGTCTCAAGCTCGATCTTCGAGTGTTTCTCGGTTTAAGTTATATAGTCATTTTCGAATAGATATTCTTCCATAAGGTCGTAAGAAAAGGAAAAGATATAAATTTCCAGAGAAAATCGCAACCAATTAAATCGTAGTAGTGACCGATTAACGACTCGTACTACTATTAAAGTTTCATTTTGCTGATGGCGATAAACATTTTAAAAGGCAATCAATGGTCCCGGAACAATTATGACGGTCATAAGAAAGAGGAAAGATCGCATCGATCGAGCGGCGTGACACTGTCTTGGCGAGATCTTTCAGTTTACGCGATGGATCGCGGAAGAAGAAATGTGGTGAAACAACTGATTGATAATGGTGTGTGATTTGATTTTCATAGATGTTCTCGATCGTAGGTAGACAGCATATTTGTTCGATCGAATAGATGGTCGATAACTTTACAGACTATGATCGAATTTCAGTGCGAGGTGCGGCAAATCCAGGCAATTTAACAGCTATAATTGGTTCAAGGTAAAGTCGCAGTCGTTGTAATTTTGATTGAATATTCGAAAAATTCTGAAAACCTCGAACGGTAGTTCTGAGAGAGTGAATTGTACGTACTTGCATTCACTTGGACTCTATTAAGTATAATTGTTTTTCAACATAGCGGAGCTGGTAAAAGTTCCTTGATGACGGCATTGGCTTTTCGCAACGGGCGTAAGTACCTATTTCTATTAAATTATCCCTTGATCTCTCTTTTTCTCATTTTCGGCCCTTTGATCGCTCGTTTCCATTTTCACGCGTAATACGTTTATTCGTTTTCCTTCGTTTAAGCTGAACTTTTGGTTCACGGCGAGATTCGTGCGAATGGTGCGCCAGTAGATTTATCGTACATGATGAGAAACAGCGGTTATATGCATCAAGATGACATATTTGTCGAAACTATGACAGTAATCGAACATCTGTGGTTCATGGTACGAAATATAGGGTGATTCTTTCGCTGCGCAAACCAAAACCCGTGCCGCTCCGGTAAACGGCAAACAACCGTGCGGCCTTTGATTTTACTCAACGAGAGAATTACCCTTTTATAATATGTATATAGATATCATATGTGTTATGTACGTTGTACGGAATATTTTTTGCGCGCAAACATGTCCACTTGTATACTATATACCTATCTCTTATTTTTGACGGTATAGGCTCGCATGAAACTCGATGGAAACGCACCGATATTAGAGATTCGGGAAAAGATTGATTGTTTGTTGCAAAGCGTTGGCTTAAACAGCAGACGTGATGTACGAATTGGCAATGGTATCGATGACAAAGTATTATCTGGCGGTGAAAAGAAGAGGTTGGCATTCGCTACAGAAGTAAGTATAGTATATGTATACATATAGGATATAGGTATACATACATATGTACCTACATATGTAAACTTTCCTTTACATTTCTTCTTCTTCTCCTTCTCCTGTACTCTTTTATAACGTTCAATTCATTTCATCACTATAACGTACAATTTATTCTATGGACTTGTTTCAGTTATTAATCGATCCGAAGATACTGTTTCTGGATGAACCAACAACCGGGCAAGATTCTCATTCGGCGAATTCTTTGATCTCTCAGTTAAAGTCTTTTGCTGCAGAAGGACATACAGTGTTGTGTACTATACATCAACCAAGTTCTGCTATATTTAATTCTTTCGACCGCATAATCTTAATCACGGAAGGTCGAGTGGCATTTGCGGGTCGAACTGAACAGGCAGTACAATTCTTTGAAAGGTACATTATATATACTATGTACATGACGTATGTATGTAAACCGTAGGCATTAGTCATAATTGTATAGAGTATAGAGAAACGGATCGTTTTCCACGTTGTAACAGTAAGGTACACACGTGCGACACGAATACCATTTTATAATGTTTTACTCGTTTGATATTCGACATTTCAGTCAGGGTTATGAATGTCCTCGGAATTACAATCCAGCAGATTTTTTAATAGCAATAGCGGCTGCTGGGTCAGAGTCTGAAAATACCGGGAAAGGAGTAGCGCGAAAACTATGCGACCTATTTTTAATGAGCGACGCTTCCAGCGAAATTGATCGAATCTTGGAAAAGGAAGTTCAATTCGAGCAGTCCTCGAGTGTAAGTAATTAATACGCATACATAATTCTTCTTTCTATCTATGTCTTTCTCGAGAAAAACCACATTGTTCTTTTTTCAGAAATTTCATTCGACGGCAGAGGCGTGTTTCGGCCCTAAATCTATCGTGTGAGTATTGATGTGTCGGTGCATACATACATATCGATACATTAAGTACCCTTGACTTATTGTGTCTATACGCAGGAAAAGAAAACGTTACTGCACGCGCCTTTATTGGTTGGTTTACCGAGATGTCTTACAAGTATTCAGAGATCCATCTGTGCAGCTCTTCAGAATTCTTCAAAAAGTGGTAAGTTAAGCCATGTCGAGCAACAAGTAGGCAATTTAGACGTACGGATAAAAATCCGAGCGTTGCGTAAGTAGATTTGCCTACATACTACCTACTCGAGAAAGAACAATGTGTCAGAGATAAATGTGTATCAATGGAAATCTGTGAAGAGTGTCGCTATAATCGCCGGGCTGTGCTTCCTGGGTTCCGTGAGTTTCGACCAACTCGGAATTCAAGCTACACAGGGCGTCATTTTCATTTTGGTATCGGAGAACGCATTCTTCCCGATGTATGCTACGCTCGCCTTGATACCGCAACAACTACCGCTTTTACGAAGAGAGTATCGAGCTGGAATGTATCCGATTCATCTCTATTACATCGCGCGAATCCTTTCCTTGGCAAGTGATTATACAGTACATATACAATTATTATACACATGTATATGGTATACATATATTATCGCGGCCTTTTACAACCATTTATCTGGTCTGAACGGATAGGAAAATGTATCTATATACAAATTTCAGATGCCCGGATTAATCGTGGAACCTCTATTGTTTACAACTATAATATACTGGTTAGCTGGACTACGGGATAGCATCGAGACATTTTTGTTGACCTTACTTGTGCTCCTACTTACGATAAACGTGTCGACCGCTTGTGGTAAATTTTCGATGTTTCATTGAAATTCCAATGTTGCTAGGACAACTTGATACTTACTCGAAAGATGTATGTACATAGATCAAAAATATTTGTCCGGACATGTTTCAGGTTGTTTTTTCTCAACTGCGTTTGAAAACGTACCAATGGCGATGGCGTACTTGGTACCTTTTGATTACATTCTTATGATTACCATGGGTCCGTTCCTCAAACTCGGGTATATTTATTTTCCTTGCCCTTAGTGTTTTGAGTTTTCTCGTATCACTGTATGCATCACGGTTCATGCGTTCTTTCGAATACCAGGTCGTTGCCCGTATACATTCGATGGGTAAAATACATTTCCTGGCTTTTGTACTCCAACGAAGCCCTCACCATTCTTCAATGGAACGGGGTACACAATATATGTACGTATAGACGACACCTTACTTTTAAACACGCTTATTAAAATGTGAAAGAAGATGACAGTTGGGTTAATTTTTCCCTGAATACAGCTTGCGAAACGTTCAATCCTGAACTGCCTTGCATCACAGATGGCGTCGGAGTACTGCATCGATATGACTTTGACGAAACTAATTTTTGGCCGGACATGGTGGTCATGGTTGTCATGTATCTCATCTTTCATACTCTTGGCTACGTTTGCCTCTGGAATCGTTGCAGATTAAAATGAAAATTTGATCTTTTATCCGATATATGTCTACTGCATTGCATCACTCACTAATTGTGTCAATCGTTTGTTTTGTAATATACCGAACGAAAACAGTACAACAATATAGTCAATGGCTGAACGCTTGTGTAAATTATTTTCTATTCATCAGCATCCTGCCCAAATTTAAATTTATTTTAAACATCTCAGTCAGCCAAACCTGCAAAGCCAAATTTTCTCCAATGCCTGTTACACAGAAATAAGTTATGGCAAGATTCGCTATAAAGAACTTGCGTGCACATTGACAGTAACATAGGCAGCAAATTAGCTTGCGCAAACCTTGTTCCAGTTTTGCTCTGAATTTTACATACGTAGGTCATGTTGCAAGACTTTTTGCGAATTTGCATTACCATTTTGTCAGCTGGCGTTGCCTGTCAAACCCAAATCAAATGCGGAAACACGTAACTATAATTCTTCAAACAACTTTTTGCTTTTGTTGCTGGAAATTTCCTCGAACTTGTACACAACTGCAGGTTATCAGGGGAGTTACAGAGACAATCTGACATTCACCAACCGAAATGCAGGTTGTCTTGTACCGTGGCATGTAATATTCATCGTTTAATGATTTCATGAAAACATTTCACAGTAAATACAGAAAAATAGCGTAAATTGCGATAAAAACTTTTACTGTGTCGGTAACCACCCTCCCGCTCGATCCTTGTTGCGGACAAAAAGAACCGTGTGAGTCCATCTATGTATGTAGTAGCATGTGGTAGCACCTGGTAGCACCTAAGTTTTTAACATTGTATGTACGTATGTATAGTTGTTTTCAATACAAGTTAGTATCTCATTTTTACCGTAAACTGGCGTAACATGCTTTCTTCAAGTTATTGGATGCGGGCACCGCGAGGATAAGAATAGGAATATACATACATACATAATATGTATGCACATACTATGTAGACCATTCACTTATGGGAGTGGTGGCCCACCTAAACTGTAGTACCGATAAAGTGTTGTGCGCGCATTATTACCGGCAACCATACCGATGCGAAGTCAAGTCACATATTGTCTGTTTGTTATGATTGTAGATGTCGCATACGTACATTTTGGGGCTCAACAAGAAAGAGACAGTGGTGACTATATAGTGAAAGGGAGAAGGAGAAAGAAACATGTTCTTGAAGCGAATAATAGCGGGAGTGGGAGAGGGTAGGTAGCAGTAGGTAGATTGTCGACAAACGAAGTGGAGGGGGTGGAAAGAAGAGCTGAAAGGAAGAGGAAGACGGTTTGGAGTAATGGCGGGCGCGAGAATGGTATTTCCTGACATTTCCTGTTCAGTTGATCGAATCTAAATTACAAGAAATCGCGTGCGCGTTTCGTAAGAAACGTTTAAGAGTTGTATTCGTCGAGTTCCGTTGGTTTCCACCGTAAAATTGACTGTTGTCGATCCGCCGACTCTGCCGCCATGTTACTGTGTCGTATCTGGTCGTATCGTATCGTATCGTATCAGATAGCACCGTGAACGTTAAGTAGCCCTTTCGTAGCAGATTGACTTTATCGAAATCATTGAAACACTCGGGTGAATGTTTTCGAATTAACGCGAGCAAAAAGTGAACACGGCGGGAAGTGATACGTGCAAGTTTTTACAAACTAACCTATCGAGGGCAGGTGAATCGCAGCGTCGATTGGATTCGACGTGCGGTGCGCTCACAAAGGAAGATCGAAGGGCTGCTATTTCTTTTCAAGTAGCAAGTGAACAGAAACACCGTGTCGGGAAGCAGTTTGTCGGAACAATTGAAACAAGTGTAACGTGCCGTTCGCGATAGTGTTTGCATCTCGTGTATACAGATGGTGCGTTCACGGATCGAATGTTTATGGAGAAAAGTGTCAGGGTAAGCGGTGATTTCGATAATCGCCCATCAAACAGGATTATGCCTTCGAAAAAGAGACTCGTCGTCCGCCGAAAGACTATCGTTTACGGCGAGCACAGCAGCAGGATTGTATTAACCGACGCGTTGACCATCGATTCATCTGTATACACCTGGGGCAGATGAACTGTCTTATAACGCAAAGGAAGGCAGAAGAATAAGTGCAAATTTCATAGGACAGGTGAATTTATTGCTGCATCGCGAAAAACGACGAGGTAAATACAAAGGCACTGCCAGTATCCGGTGCGCGACACTTCCTACCACCGCGAAAGGTGTGTGTGCGGTTGATTTAGGTGCAGTCCTGTTTTTACTCCTGCCCCTCTCCCGCATTCTCTCTCTCTCTCTCTCTCTCTCTCTCTCTCTCTCTACCTTCCTTCTCTGACAATTTGTAAGCGTGCACGTACAGCTACTCTGCCATTTAAAATTCATCTATTCTTACTTTTATCCGTCGATTTTCTATATCCTCACGTCAATTTAGTAGTTTCAATTAATCGATTATTAATGATTTTCTATCATGGCTCACTGAACGAAACTGTTTGTGTTACATTCAGTCGTTTCATTGAAAATTATTGAAAACACTAAACGTCAAGGTAGCGCGCATTCCTTGTTAACCGTATTTGAGAATTAAAACAGTTTGCTAATATAACGACAAAAAAGACAATAGGAGTAGTGAAAAGAAGTCGCAGTATTCTCGCTTTTTTACCATATTCTTGTTCTTATTATTATTATTATTATTATTATTATTATTATTATTATTATTATTATTATGATGATGATAAGAATCACCAATGTGTATGTTTAACGACGAACAAATCAATCGATGTGTGTGTGTTTTTTAGAATAAACAAAGTTTCCCCATGAAATCGCTTCTCCTTGGACAGGAGAAAAGAAAAGTTGCTGACTGTGTCGTTTAAATTAGCCGCAAAACCCATGTGGCAAAGTCATTAAAGTGAAAATATGCAAGGAAGTGAGTAGGATATGTACATATATAAATTTTTCGGTAATGGTAATAAGATTAGTTGATCTACGCTTCTCTTTGGATGTATGAAAGGTCTGCAAGTTGGCGCAAAATTGCGGGATCGTTTGTATGTGCAACCTATCTGATAACTAATTAATTAAATCGAAGGAGTTTTTAATTTCGTAAAAAGTTTGAGAAGTGCAACGTGTAGGTAATAGACGGAATGTGAGATGGAAGACGAAAAGGGGAAAAATAGAAAATTCATTGATAATGTTCGGTTATCATGAAACACGAGTATTCGCGAGACGATGCAAGTGGCGCAATTCTTCGTGTTCTATTTGCATACGAGTCGGGAAATCTATTTAAGTTATCAGAGGTTTGGGGGCGGACCTAAACGCGGACGAGAAACACTCGTAATTTTCCACGTTCTACGCGTGTTCGTTTGGCTCATCAGGGTATCATCGTATCCACGTGAATTGTTCGAATTCAGTTGAAATATTTCGAGTGGGTTTCATAAAGAAGGCGATCGACGGGCAAAACTTTGTCGGAAAATTAATAAATGGACCGATTAGAAAATGTTGAATCGATGCAACTATCGATAATATTGTCGTCGACCTTCTCGAAAAGCCTCGTTAGCGAAATCATTGGAATAACGAGATTTCGGAATAGATGAAGAAAAAGAACCGATAAACACCGAGTTTTTGCGATGAAGCAGGATCCTTTCGGTTTTGCACAATGTCACGAGAACAGCTGGAGTTGAGAGATGTGAAAAAGAAACTTGAAGAATATGGTCCGGTGTCGTGAATAATATCCAGAAAGTATGTCGAGTCGCAGAGAAAGTAGATTGGTTCGCTCAACCTTCCGCCGTCCGTCCATATGCATGTACATGGCTACGTACATGTACTAAAAAGTATATACATGTAGTAAACCTGACTGAAAGACGATCGTGCAGTAACGTAAATATGTAATTCGAAATATCGTAAATGTGCGTCGGAAACGAACGAACGAACGGTTCAAATATCGACCCGAATTCACATTTGATCGCCAATTATAAAAACAATTCGAGTGTCACGAACCTAACATATATTTCGCGCAGTAGAAATTTACAATCATAATGAAATTATTGGTCTCTTTCAGGGGGCACACGATGGCTGAAGACCGAAATAATTCTCAAGGGTTCGTTGGACAGGCGCACACGGTACGTAAAACTAAACGATCGTGCCAAACTTTGATTCGGTTTATTTTAGTGAGCAAAGCTGGGAAACTCTCTTTCGTGATGAAACGGTAGTAGGGAACGGGAGGGGGAGGGAAGTAACCAAGATGGATCGTTGAAACGAAATTTGTTACTTTCTGCCACACAACATCTTTCCCGATTTACGATTACCGTCAGAATCACCTCCACTGCGTTTGTTAATCCTTATCGATCCGACTCGAGTTTCAATCTGCTCTTTTATGTTATTTTTTAAACTGTTTATTTTTTGATTTGCGTAAATGGTTCTTCCTTTTGAACCGTTCTTCCTGAACTTTTTCTTCTTCTTCTTCTTCTTCTTCTTATTTACATTCTTATTCTTATACTTATTCTTATTCATCTACTGTTTTGTATGTAAATATATTTCGTTTTAAACGGAAGAACTGGCACGCGCGTGCGAGAGAGAGAGAGAGAGAGAGAGAGAGAGAGAGAGAAACGTTTGATTCGCTTGGTTGAAACAGTGCCGGTACAGAGTAGTTCTTTCAGGTAGAACATGGTAGTTCAGTTTCAACCCCAGTATCGTCAATGTCGGGAATACAAGCAGGGAATGCATCGTTGGTAGCGATAGGTGGTGGAACGATAACAAAGATCGGAGGTGATCAAAGAGATGATTCCCCACCACGCGGCCCACGAACTTTGTTACTACGTCGCGGCGAGAATGGGTTCGGTTTCACCCTTCGTCATTTTATCGTTTACCCACCCGAATCTTGTTGCGTAAGTATCCGATTCGAATTATTTCCAGAGTTATTCGCGGATTCGAGTGAATTCGAAGGCGATGTTTTATCGAAGTAACTTATATATGTATTTCATTAGATGTTACCGGGACATGAAAGAACGAGAATCGAGGAACCAATGGACACGATATTTGTGAAGCAAGTACGTGGAAATTCACCGGCGGCCGAAGCAGGATTGCGTACAGGGGATCGGGTAGTTTCTGTGGACGGTAAACCTACGCGTGGTGAACAATACGCGAAAGTCGTACAACGTATTCAACAAGCAGGACCATGGTTACGACTTCTGGTAGTCTCTAAAGAGGACGACATTCTACAAAGATACTTTGGCGAAACCGCTCATAATCCAGAGACGAATCAACGACCACGATTACGCTCTCCAGAGAGGAACGCTGGCCAAAAGCAACGTAGATCCGTCAGTATGATTCCTGGACTGTCTCCGAGGTCGAGGCAATCTTGGGTTTGCTCCGCGCCAAGTTCGATGCAAGCAGAAACCGATCGGTCGACCGACGACGGTGTTTCCTGTCCGGATCAAGATATCCAATTGAGTGACTTTTCCAAGGAAATCCAGCAAATGCAACCAAATAGCAAAACACAGTCGCAACTTCAATCAAGAATCAAAGGTGTAACGTATCATTCTAATCCGCTTCAGGAAATAATTGGTCGCCCCGAGGCAAATGATGAAAAAGTTAGGTTACGAAATCAATCGCAGCAATCCATCACTGATGATATTTCAAAGTTGACTGACGGTCAATCATGCGACAGATCGATTCGCTCGGATTCAAGATACGACAAATACGATGTTTACGATAGAACGCGTCCTGAATCTATATATTCCAGAACAAACAGTGAACAGATTTATGATAGAATCAAAGACCCGATATACGAACGTGTTCGGCTCGGAGAGTCGGCACGAGTAAACTTGGGGGATCATCACCATCATCGCCACTACCAGCAGCAGCAACAACAACAACAACAACAACAACAACAACAACAACAACAACAACACCAGTATTATCAAACACAACAGCATTCAGGAATAATACAATATCCTTTGTCTCGGGCTGAACCACAGGTACCTATATATCGGCCTGCTATGAAAAGAGTGAGTTCCCGACGTGCCAGTGAAGGAAGCGCCCCTAATTCGACGCTCAATAATTTTGAGGTTACCAGCTATGCCAGCACCGATGCCCTCAGATCATGCGATCCGGGGTCTAGGTTCAGTATTGATTCGAAAAGAGAATCTTCTCCGGTTCGTTCGACCGATGATCCACTTACCTACGATTCCACTTCCATTCTCCTTGGGTCTGGAACAAACGGAAATAGTAATGAAACGAGAAATGGGAACTCTGGTATTGACGACTCTGTCATCATGGCGCGGCTACGGAAAAGTTTTGAACAAAAAGAAGAATTCTTACGAAGACCCAGTCACCCGATAGGTTGGTTTCTATCAGAAGAAAGGTCCGAGTCTCCCGTACGAAGTAATGGTTCGTCCACGATACCACGAGAGTTTTACGCAAGACCACAGAGACTTCAGAAACAAATTTGGCCACCCAACGATTCCAAGCACGATCGACAATGTTCGCCTCCGAGATTCGGTCAAGATAGGAGTTTTTCCGAAAAGCTTACGCTAGACAAGTTTTCTTCTAATCAGAACGAACAAAAACTGAAATCTGACGTAGCGACGGCGGCAACAGCTGCGACGGCGGGCGAAACAGACGACCGAATCGAATATTCCGGTTCTCGTTCGTTGGAAGATGCATACCCGGTGATCGTAACGGATCGACTATGTCCTCTGTCCGTTTACGATGATTGTCGTGAAAAGTCCGAGTCGAAGGATGTTGACAGACATCAGCAGCAACCGCAACGAAACGCTGCCGGCAAATCGAGTTTTGTCGGTACATTGTCCAAGATACACGAGAATATTACAAGCGCCGCGGCTTTGCTTTCGGACGAATGTCACTCTCAAGATGCAAGGAACAATGCTTCTGCTCTTCCCTCTTTCTCAGGACCGGAAAAAACGATCAATGAGAAGTATCCGACGTTTTCTCAGGGTCTGCAAATCGTGTCTAAACGCGCGAAACAATTCGAATCCGGACGTTTGCTCAGCGACGACGACGAACCGACGGGTGACCGAACTAGTCTTTACAAGAGTGAGCTGTCGCGGTTGTCGAGTAAGCGCAGCGTACCAAATGTTGCTGTTCGAAAAAGAGAATTTGAATCAAAAGCCGAAGCTCAGGAGCCACGTAGATCGACCGTGCCTACTAGGGAAACCAAATCGATGGATGTTGGTATGTTTCCTCCTCCGTCACACTATTCATTTTCTTTGCGCGTTTCACTGCTCTGGTTATCGATCTTCCCGTAAGGTCGTATGTAATCGATTTAGAATAGTAAAGAAACATTGCACATAGTTTAACCGGTAGTCCCGGCATTGGTCAAATTCGTTCAAATCTGCCCTTAATGTGTATCTTACGTAAATCTTTAGGTAATGAATTAAAGGGAAACAGAGTAATACCTGTAGGCAGCAGGCGCATTCACTGTGAACCACCAACCGAATGTAAACCTATCGAAGGTACAGAACGAAACAAAAAATCGAATTAGTTGAATGTTGTGTTCTTCGCTCCTTGGTTCCCTTCCTCTCTCACTCTGTTCCTTTGTAAAGACTTAAACATCAGTATAGCCTTTAATATATGGTGTAACTTTGCCTTGGCAAAGCACGACAAAAGTATTTGCAGCCATGTGCCTGTTTATATGTTTAGCGGCGCAACGTTTTCTGAGATTTGCTACTAACGTTTCAAATAATTTCTCTTTTTATTATTATTATTATTATTATTATTATTATTATTATTATTATAAAAAATATCCAAACACGTTACTCAATAGTTTTGTATAATCTATGTAGAGACGTCGAATCCAATACCAGGGTATATGGACTATGAAGCCCACTGCCCAAAAGTTCGTAGCAATAGTGTGGAATCTTGGGAATCGCCGAACGATCGTTTGCAAATAATTAAACGCCGTTGGCCAGAACGAGGTGGTGATTCTGAACTAAGGCAGAACGCTGGAGAGAATTATAATGAATACGAAAACGCGAACGAGAAGGAAAACGAAAACTCTTACGTCAACGCAGCAAACTCCTTTAGCGACAATAGCAGAAACACCGAAAGAGCAGGATCGAGGAAGCAGGATGATTGTGCGGAAATCATCGACACAGAACATGGTTAGTCCTTTCAGTTTTAATTCTTGACTTTAATGAAATTGCATTAACCACCGGATGGTCGAACGTAGGTCCATATTGACCAAGATTTTCGGGAGTTCTTGAACTATATTAACGAAAAAAAGAGAAGATAAGAAAAACCATTGAGTTAGAAATATGTATGTCATATGCTCTAGGGAAATAAGTATGTTCTTAAGTGATAGAGGGAAAGAAGGTGAATGGTTGTCTAAATGGACCTAGTCACGGCGAAACATACGGTCGTTTTGAAAGTTGATCTACCGAGGATTAATAAATACCCTTTGGCGGTATATGTACATTGGTATTTAAATCTTTTGTATCTAAGTAGTATCTTTTTAAGTGACTCGATAATTTATAGGTGCAATGACAAATGACGGTGTACATGGTAATGGAGTTGTATTCAGACGACAGAAGAATGCACAGACTGGTAAGCGGTACAATACTGTTCGCTGTGAAATCTGTCCAACCCAGTCAGCTTTCGTTTTGAAATTTCATCCGTATATCTTTATTCTTCTAGCTGACGAGGATCGCGCCACAAGAAGAGTTTCGTATCTGAAGGCAACCTGGGGTGAACGAATGCATGTCGACAGTGATTTGGAGTTGAGCGACTCGGAGCCTATTCACACTTCAAGAATGTAAGTTGAATGGTGTAATGACGGAAAGAAGAGAAGCTTTTCTTTAGATTAACACGAAAGCTCGCGTGTTCCCTTTTGTGCACGGAAGCAATGTCCTCCGTATTGTCGCGAGGGTGGAACGTTTGTCTCTTGTGGTTGTATATCTCGAGTAGACATCCATATTTTCAGCAGTCATAAGAGATGGCGGCTATCGCTGATTCCAAATGATATAGCATCACTACGACGCATCTTCGAGGACATGACTCAGTCTGGATCCTTGAACAGAAATATTTCCCGGTGAGGACAGTACATGTTGATTTAAGCACCAAGTTGCTGCATTTCGTTTTTACGAGCGCGCTCTCTTTCTCTTCTACTCACCGAATCACTCACTCTCTAACTCGGTCACCTATTTACTCATTCATTTGTTCTCTCAATATTGTTACCTCTTACACATAACTGTATGTTCCTTACGTCTTCTCGTGTTTATCCGTGACGCTGTTATTCGCGTCGTAGACTTATTAGAATGATTCTTCATACGTTACTCCCTGTTCTTTTAATCGCTCGGTTTAACAGCTTTGCCGATTCTTTTGTAACAGTTCTGAATAATACATATTTTTCACCCTACGTGTTTACCAGCGACGTTGAATTCTGAATGTAGAAAACAAAACAAAACAAAACAACAACAACGTAGGAAAGGATTATTATTCGTTTAATCGGATGGTGTTGTCGTTGTATTCGGATTTTGGTTATCAGTCGTCTTGGTCCCTTGAAAAGCGCGAAAATCTTTCTACATAGATCGATCAACCAAGACAGATAGCGAACGCGCGAGCAACGAAAGCGATCGTGTCATCAGGGAAGTATATTGGATCTTTTCAGTAGCAATACGTGTACTGGTCGGGAGGCGACTGCTGGAATTGTCAAAGAAATCGTTGAGCAAGTCGAGCGAGAGGGTCCTTTACATGTGAAATTCACGGTACTCGATGGAAAGGTAAACTAATTTTACAGTAATTTACCAGACATTGTTTCGTGCCGAAATTATTTAATTCGTCTTTTTCAGCGATCTTCCGATAAGATCTGGGGTGTTCTTCGTGGACCGATTCTCTTTTTCTATAAGGATCGTCAGAATCAGGTGCGTTTTTTTTTTTTGGTAAAATGCATTTTACGAAGACAAAAGATCATTGGATGGACAAACAATCACACGGTATCATTGTTTAGAGTCCTTCGTTAAGCAGCGACGTCGAATGCGTAGCGCAGAGCATTGACGTGAGATGCTCCTTGGTGGATATTGCAGAGGATTATACAAAACGTAAACACGTACTGCGCCTGGCGAATCCAAGCGCAGAGGTTCTGCTGCAAACCGAAGACGCCGCATCTATGGCGGTCTGGTTACGATCACTACATGAGCATGCTGCTGCTGAAAAGCCATCCGTAAGTTTGAAACGTTGAGATATCACACCATTACGTTTGTTATACCTTTGTAATAACTCGCATAAGTGGTCGCGTTTATACGTTTTGTGTATCAGGAGATCGGCTATAATAGTTGTTTGAAACAACAAGCTGTACCGCAAACTCCAGGGCCTACCAGCAATAGTTGTTCAACATATCAGACAATAGGCGGAGGAAGCGGTGGCGGTATCGCGATAATGATGGTACCGAATAGCGGCGGCGGTGGCGGTAGCGGACAAAGATTAAGTCCACTTCCGGGACATAAAGGTATCAAGAAACTGACCTCCTTCAGGAATCGATCTCCGACCGGTCAGTCGCCGATAAATAAGACACGAAAGCCGAGCCAGGCTACCGAAACTTTAGTTTCTCCGAAAACGAAAACGTGGAAAGGCAGAGTCGCGAAACAACTCCGAAGAATGCACGGACAAACCGGACCACCTTCTTCGCCAACGACACAGTTACCACCCGAGGGTGCCACCTTTAAAGTGCCGCTCGAACTTTGTCCACCGGTAAATGCATTCAACCATCTTCGCTTATGGCGCTTACGCTTAATCATTCTTCATACATATACATATAGTATATGGTTGAAACATCCTGTACAGAGAGTGTGTTCCGAGAGAAAATCTACAAATTTTTTAAATTTTTGGAGGGTATCCAATCTTAACTTATTTTGAAAGTTGTAACAACCGAAATAGACTGACAATTAATTCCAAGTATATTACCTTCATTATAAGTAAACGTTTAACAAACAGTAAGAATTTCATGGCGTTCTTTTCCAAACAGTCATCGTTCTCGGAATACGTACCACTGATCGTCGAAATGTGTACGAGTATCGTTGAAGCGAGAGGCTTGGAAGTTGTCGGTATTTACAGAGTGCCTGGCAACACAGCCGCTATTTCACATTTGACCGACAGCGTTAACAAAGGATTTGAAAATATTCATCTGCAGGTAAAGATCGTTTATCCCGCCTTAGATTATTTTATTTTCACTACTTGTTCGTTAATTCTCTGTTCATTTATCTCGGATTTCGCAGGATCCCAGATGGAGTGACGTAAATGTAATATCGTCCCTTCTCAAGTCCTTTTTCCGTCAACTGCCTGATTCGTTGCTTACAGCAGAATTGTATCCTATGTTTATCGATGCCGATAAAGTTGAAGATCCACAAAGAAGAATGACGACAATACGAAAGTTACTCAGGGATCTTCCGGATCATCATTTCGAAACTCTTAAATACCTAATGTTCCATCTAAAGAGGATAGTCGAGCATAGCGAGGTGAATAAAATGGAAGCGAAGAATTTAGCCATTGTGTTCGGTCCCACTTTGGTGCGAGCGAGTGGTTCCAGGGACAACATGGTCACCATGGTTACCGACATGTCGCATCAGTGCCGAATCGTTGAAAGCTTGCTGAATAACGTATGTACTCTTGTAACGTTCCCATGGGAAATAGGAATTTTCATACACATATTATGTATATGTACATATATATAAAAGATAAGGAAAAAATCGTATTAAACAAACACTACGTCGTGTCGTAGGTTGAGTGGTTCTTTTCGGACGACGATTTGGACGATTTAAGCAGACTAAGCGTTAATCTTAGCCTTCCGGCTGACAATAATGAAATCGACACAACGCCAAGCAATAATCATAGCCTTCTATTGAACAACATTCAAAAAGTTGAAGGTACGATTCAATATTATTCTTTGGTATTGATCATAGCTATTTTCGTTTACAAAGTATAGATTTCGTATAGAAAAAATAGATGATTCTTACGATGCATTATAGCCGTGCCCTTTTACGTTTCTCCATGAATTTATATGTACATATTTCCTTGTATTTTCTTCGGTTCTTTGTAACGAAACAGGAGTTCGAGAGATGGCATCCGCTAAAGATATTGTTTCGTCGATCATATCCGCTGCGAATCGCAAGATACAGAGAAGAAGGAAAGGACAAGATGAAACGGACAACGAGAGTCACGAAGTGGACAAGGTTCGTTTAATGCGATGTATTCATAGGATATGTATACATATAGCCTTTGGTCGGTTTTAGGTTTCCAATGTTTAAATTCGCGATTTCTTTCGTACAGGTAAAAACAAAGCAAGAGACCGAAAGCTTGCCTAATCGACGAAGTATGGCGTTGAACGAACGGCAATGTTCGGTCAGCGAAATTGTTTTGATGCATGAAAATAAAAATCAGCCGAATCGTTCTACCGATCGGTCGGATCGATCGGGGACAGTCGATGCGGCTATGATCGAGAACGTTATCGGTGGTAACGGTAGAATCTCAGACTGTGACGACAACACAGCTGATGCGATAATCAGCAACGACGACACTGTACCCTATGATAGAACGAGGAAGTACTTGAATCCTCCGGTGGAGTCGTCGATTTCAACGATTCAACCAAGTCATCGCTCGGCCGTCTCGTCGGCTTCCGAGTCGTCACGACTCTCTAGCGAGACTGGCTTGAGCTGTTTCGACGCGAGTTCGATGCTTTCGAGCACTTCGAACGAGACCAAACAAAGTAACGACGAGATTACTATTAGAACGTATGCCGGGTTGAGTACAACCACCCAAGAACGTATACGAAGATTTGAACAGGAAACAAAGGCGATGTTGCAACGAGATCAAAATCGACAAAGACGGGAAGCTGAGAAGAGAGAAGAAGAGCGACGAAGAATCGAGATGGAATGGCAATTGGCAAAACGTGAGATGGAGAACGACGACCTGCTTGATAGTATAGTCGATACTACTGTGGCACCGACGTACTTTGCCTCCAATGCCCGACTTTCCGCCTTTAACGACAGGCTTGCCGATAAATCGTATCTCGATATTGGATCCCATTCGGTCAGTCGGATCCCATGTCTTTCTATAGCTGTGCAACAGGAACCTACGACTGTTAGACGAATCGCGCAATGCACGGATGAATCTGCACCCCCAATTATGTCGTCCATACCGCCGCCGCCGCCGCCGCCGACGACGACGACGACGACGACGGCGACGGCGACGGCGACGGCGACGGCGGCGGAGGCGGCGACGACGTTGCCAGAAAATGTTACGGATACTATTATTAAGAAATTAAAAACTGACCAACAGGTGAGTTTCCTATTCATTTACAAACTATAGACGGTAATACGTACAAAGAAAGAGCAATATGTTTGTCGTTAAAATTTCATCGTATTAATCTGCAGCCAGCACTAGAATCTTTGACTGTAACACCGGTCCGTTACGGGAGCTTGGACTCTCTACATGAAACACACGATACTTCTCAATCGTCGTTTTCTACATCGATGCATCAACAGCGAAAACAACCACTTTCAAGCGACGTCTCGGATGATGGTTAGTACCAATACCTGTCATTGACAATGATTTTTGTAATGCATCTAACGTCGATATCGTCGTTTCACTTACCACGAAACTCTTCCAATGAAAACTTTTCTTTCCGCCTGTTGATCCTCTTTATATTTTGTACTTGATCGATAACGGTCTTTAGGAAACAGACAATTGGTATCATTACACGAAAGTAATTTCAATCTCCACTTCCATATAAAATGATGTTTGCATTTCACGCCAGGTTTACGGTATTCTGATGCTATTAAAATTATTGTAAAATGTATAGTATTATTATGTTTACGTGATTATTTACGAGTGTTCTCTTTACTTTTTTCTCTATGTAACGTCGCTTCTGACAATCGGTGAGTGTAGGCGGATCTTGTTTTCTACAGTGGACTCAGAAGATACTAACTATTAACAAAAAGTTTTCTAGGTACATTTACTTCATCTGTTCTTATTTACTCTTTAAACGACAATAGATGCATATTACTCATTTCACGTTCTGTTAGCGTTCTGCGACGGGTATTCGTTTTCCAGGTTTATCTTTTTCTTCTTCTTCTTCTTCTTCTTCTTCTCCTCCTCCTCCTCCTCCTCCTCCTTCGATACCTCCTCTTGTTCTTACCCTGGTTACTTTTTTTCCAATCGTGCGAGAATTTGAAAACAAAGTGTTAGAAGAATGAAATGTCGGGCACTGCATTCGATGTAATTTAAACACGTTGTTACGAATTTGTTCAACGTTTTTTTCTTCGTTTAAGTGTTGACGGTGTATAAAGAAGGTCGATTGCAACTATGTCGAAGAAAATAGGAGCAAAAGAATTTGCATCAGCTTAAAAATGTTCAAGGGTGTAGTATCGGCTCGGAATGAACTCGTTTTGTGTATTCTCGATCCGTGCACGTTACGCTTTCATAAATTCATAAATCATATTTGATCGAGTTTGGTCGTTGAAATACACCACTCGGAAATGATTGTTTTTCTTCTGTTTTGTTGAACCAAACTCGGTGTCGCAGAAACATATGATCGATAACACTTTGGCAATAAAGTTTTTCTTTTCATCTGCACGCGTTCTAGTCACAGTATCGTAAGAATAATCGTTCAGCTGATCGCTTCGTCGAGTGCCGAACGCTACGCTAGACCGCATGTGTGCTTGGTTGTTGAAACGTGGCATTGTTTGCGAGCTTACCTCCTGCACGTTCTTCAGACGTGTCTCGTTTAAAATTTTGGCGTACGAGTTTACGAAAAAACACGTGACCGATGAATCCTATGATGTTTTCCATCTTTTTCGTATATCTTTTTCTGCTGTTCTTGTAACTTTGCAATATATTCGGTGTATTTAACAATAAGACAGAAGAAGAGAAAGAAGAAAATGTGGCAAGCCAGAAAAGTGGTGGAATATGAGGAGTTTCTTTTAGCCAAGTACATATTATGTATTTAGTTTCCGTTAAAGACAGGAGATTGGCTCGTACTTGTTAGGTTCAATGGTTGTTTGTTTGTTTGTTCGTTCGTTCGTTCGTTCGTTCGTTCGTTCTGGCTCGCTCGCTTGCTGTTTCGTTAATTCGTACGTTCGTTCACGCGCCCGTTTGCCATTGCCAGCAGTTGTTAGTATATTTTGTCGGGGCGTCGATTATGACGATGGAAATTCGTTGAACATCATAGGCAAACGGCAAGTACTGGTTTCTGGTGGTACATATCGTCCCACCTTCATGGTACCACAGCCTCCACTGGTTCCACCTCGAAGACACAAGACTCATCATCGTCTATACAAGTGCCAATGCCAATTCCAATGCCAATACCAATGTCGATGCCGATGCCGATGCCGATGCCGATGCCGATGCCAATGCCAATGCCAATGCCAATGCCAATGCCAATGCCAATGCCAATGCCAATGCCAATGCCAAAGTCGATGCCAATGCCAGGGCGAATGCAAGTGCCGGGATCAGTGTCAGACGCGGTCAATGCCGATGTCTTGCAACGATCATCGATGCCCATCGCATCCTTCTCGAGAGTACCGGCCTCGGAGCCCATTGATCTCTCCGAATCAATCGAAACCGTCGTCGAACAATCACGTCGAGGGGTGTCGGGCTCAGGGGCCGGATTATCTTCCAAGACTTTAAACAGATTCCTTCGAGGTAAATTGCTTGGCTCGCAGCCTGGAATATCAAGTCACAAGCAATTTGAGCGCTAATATACCATTCGAATGAACCTGGCTCACCCGAATGGCTTTATACACTGCAGTGTTTTCGTTATTGTTTTTACACTAAGCGCACGCTACCGAAATATCTCTCCGAGACCGTTCTCTCTTCCCAGTATTTTCTCTTTTATCCGTTCATTTCAACAGTATAACGCCAAGCCTATCGATTGCCCCCCTTTCTTCCAACATCATAAGTATTTCCTCGAGCAAAACTCCAAAACATACCCTTCTTACAGTCGATTTTTTATCGATAACTTATCGATCGCTAATGCGTGCGTGAATCATCCTTTTACGTGTCCCTCCAAGACAGTCCACATACATCTATTACCGTAATATGTTCTTGTTCGTTTTGTTGGACAATTGTTAAAATATATAGCATTATCGGACACGCGCGAGTATCCGTGTGTGAAAAGGTACGACTTCAATTCTGCCGATCATTTTAAAACTGTCAATCACTGTCAATCGCATATTCATTCTTGTATTCATTCTTTCCTTTGCCATGCGTGTTTTATTTTTTCTTCTTCTTTTTCTCGTCTGTCGGTATTTTCTTTTGTCTTTGTCTGTATTTTTATCTTCAGTGTTTGTTGCTTGGAAGAAAGTTGGATCATTATTAAATTGTAACCCATCGGGAAAGGGAAAAGAGAGAAAAAGTGTTGTTGGAGTGTCAGAAAATGTCTCGAGCATACATACTATATGTATGTATTTATGTATATGACATGCGTATATGTACATACGACGACACTCGGCAACGATTTTCAAAGCGCTTTTACTGTGATTAGAATGTGTTTATAGCTGCTAGCTTACGCACCTATGCCCTTTTAAGAAATATCTCGGGCTGATTTATCGATGAGACATTTTGCGTTTGCTGTTACGCGATCGATTGCAGTTTTATTGTTTCTTGGGTAATATTTTCTAACAACTATCATTACCACTATCACCATCACCATCACCATCACCATCACCATCACCATCACCATCACCATTACCATTACCATTACCATCAGCACTACCAGCATATCACGATACAATGCTTTGTGCGCCTTTCGTTGGATCGTTCGCTTGCAATATGTACGAACGTATCGCGCAATAGCTACGAACGACCAAGAAACTACTCGAACTGAAATAAGCCGATTCGATTGCAGGTAGCGACTTGTTGACCAGCTTGACGACAACCTTTGATCGTAAATGGAAATCCTTGGTAAATTCGTCGAATCATACTGTTCGCGGAGCTGCCGTGGAAAACGCGTCCGTTAACTTCGACGAAGATATCGTGACATCGCGAGATTCACAGACTTTGAGACACCTACGTGGTGTACGGGAGGAAAAAGACGAACGAAAATTAACAGTTCCGGCACAACCTGTGGATCCCAGCTTGGTAGAAACTTATCGAGACCCGAGTCTTCATAAATCCTCTCTTCAGAAACATCAACGCGATCGGCAAAAAAATGTAAGTACACGTAATCACGAACCGGATAACGCTAGCGAAACAATTCCTCTTCTGATATTTCTTTGATTTCGATTTTCATGAGTTGTCGCTTCTTCGAGGGTTATGTACTACATATCAGGATCGTTTTACCCCACAGGACATCCCGGAAAAGGACACGGATTCGTCGGTAACGATCAACACCAGCGTCGAGAAACTCGACACCGACGTACCGGATAACGATCGAAGTGCAATCGCACGACGGAGAGTCGAGTCGAAAGACGATCAATTGCGATCGAGCAAGGAAACGGTCGACACAAGTTTGGAATCGAACGAGAGAGAAGAATGCTGCAGGATCGCCGCGTCGCAGATCGATGGAACCGCCGCGGCTGTAAATGACACGCTGGAAAACGGCGACAAGGTTATGACAGACGATGGAAGAGACTTTCACTACGATGTTGACTCGAATTACACGAATAAGCTGAAAAAGTTTGAAAGTCTGACGACCAATTTGGAGGTTAGGTCGCGGTTAAATAGATCGGAATCGTTGAACAAACGATCCGAAAACACTTCCTCGAAGTTGAAAAGATCCGAGAGCTTGAACAAGCATTCCGCCGAAAGACTTTCTTCCCCGACGAGTGGGAAATTGAAACGATCGGAAAGTTTGAACAAGCACTCGGACAGATCCGATTCGCCAAACAGTAAACTAAAGCGATCGGAATCGTTGACGAAAACCGAAAAGACCGAGTGTAACATTAGCAAGAGAAGGCAATCCGTTCGAAAAGACAGTGCGACGAAATTGAAACGGAAGAATGGCATGCCCGAAAGATCGATAAAGCGAAGACACACGGTCGGCGGCACGAAGGATTTTGACAAAGTGCACTGGTTAGACAACAAGTTGCAAGTCGAAACCGAGAAGGTCGTGATGAAAAACGAGTACAGACCGAAGAAAAGTCAGCTGAGAACAAGTTCGCCGGACCTTAGCACCGGTCGCATCGGTGCTCTGACCGATGCTAGTTTTCTTATCGAGGTCAGCTTTCGCGGGCCAAGCAACGTTGTCTTTAACGTAACCAACGCTCGGCCACAATCTTTGCCGGACACTAGCTTGGCATCGAAAATTTTCAAAGTCCCTCTCGAGAGCCACGTTTAATCGATCAGCCGTAAGCGTTAATCGACAAGACGAATCGAAGAAAGTAGCAACTCTCAAGAACTATGCTTGCTCTCTCCTTCCACGTTCTTTCTCTCTCACCCTCCCACCTCTTTAGACCACCCAATCATCAACCCTTCTTCTCTCACGAAGCATTTACATCTCGTCGGCGCGTCAATTATATTTATCGTACTCGTGATGAATGTGATTGTGTGCAATTTTTGGTGTATATAATATTCATAAATCGAGTAATCAACGAACGATTCCGATATTGACGTTCGTTGGCGTTACTAAAATTAAACTACTGTAAAACGCCGCCGTCTCTTTATTTTTTCTAACAATTGCTCGGAAGATACATATTCGAAGGATTAGAAGATACAGTTCGAAAATATCCTCGTCTATTTTGACAAGGTACAAGCTACAAAAGGCTACAAGCAATCTCATGCAGATCGGTGAAAAACTCGTCCGAGCGTGAGGTTATTCTTACGTAGGGCAGAGTTTTGGTCACTCCATCAGAGTTAGAAATATCGAAAGTGTCGATTTTTCTTTCAAGAATGGTATTCGTTCGGTCCTTCGATCGCAGTTGTTACAAAAAAGCTTTCTCTTTTTCGAGCATCGTACGATAACAAATCGTTCGTATTCGTCGATCAAGAAAATTGTAATCATGTGAAGCGTGTTACAGGCCTGACAATCAATTTTTTCATAAGCATGCCTGTATGCGTATGCGTGTGCTGTATGGATGCGAGCTTATTTGCCTATTTTTTTGCTTGAGTGTCTCTCCTCGAGAACCCTGTGTATAGCGCACACTTGTATACATGTGCTGTGCTGTGCTGTGCTGTGCTGTGCTGTGCTGTGCTGTGCTGTGCTGTGCTGTGTATGTGTGGCATGTGTACAAATGAATGCACGTAGTATATAACGGCCAATGGTTTAAAAGTTTAAACGGTATTTATTTTACATTCGCAACATCCATGATAACGTTATTTATTGATTGTATCGCAAGTCCAATGATTAAGAAATTCTGCATTGCGAGCACATGTATCGAATTTGTAAATAAATCTTCTATATTGGTAATTTCAAGAAAAGTCAACCTGACAAAATTCGACGTTCCCGCACTTTTTCGTAAACTTTGGCTAATAGAGATGGCGTTGCTATAGATAGAATCTGTGCGCGTCAGTTAAATTGGTTAAATTTTAGATTGTCTTCCGAACGTGTCGTAAAGTGGGTAGTACACTTTCAAGTCTTTTAATTGACTGTTGTCAAGTTGAAAATATGAACGTGGTGCAAACTGATAAGCTGTTTCAGCCACCAAGAGAAAGGAACGAGACTAGATCTCGAGGACAATTTACGATACCTTGCCCGACAAACAGTGGTACGTAACGATTCTTTCGACTTACATTACCGCGCGGACGTACTTTTCTACTTACGTCAATGGTAAATGCATAAAAATCCAGAACTTATATATGTATGTACACTTTTTCAATAGAATTTAGATCAAATTTCGGCAAAAGCCTTCAAACACATTGGAGGTCCGCAAGTTCGAATCGTTCGAAAAGCTCAAATTATTATCGAAGCATGGGCAGAGGTCGTTCCACGACTATGTCTTCTTTTAATCCTGGTACTTCACGCAACTACATCTCGAGGTGAGTCGCTACATTTTCTTGTACACTTGAAGTAATTACATGTGTACGTACATATACAATATGTATATGTACAATAGAACAGTAGTTCACGTTAGATCCGTTTGTCAAAACGTCAAAACAATTAGCATGTTGTATATGATTGGCATATATGATGCCCATACACACACACACACACACACGACTCGATTCACGATCGTTGACAACAGATTTCGTGTTATATGGTGCGTGTTATTAGGTCCGGTACGCGAAGTATCGCGGGTCTGGGTTCGAGCACAGTCGAAAGCAGTGGCATTATTCTCGGTGAGTATCGTGTTTTAATACTAAACATGATAATTGATAATTATTCTCACGCAATCGAGCAGCAATAACAACCGGTCGGGGTGACGCGAGAGCCGAAGTAGGAATGGCAGCGTTGGACATTCGATATCCCTATATGATTCTTTGTCAGATTAGCGACTCTCAGACGTACATGAATACACTGACAAAGGTGTACTTCTTCGACCCGATAGAAGTGAGTCCTCGTTGTCCGTAAATTTCTCCTTTCCCGAGACTCTTTCGAACAATACATGTACATAAGTACATATTATTGCATCCAGTGTTCACATATTCAAGTAAACTTAATTTAACGTTGTGTAGATTTTGATGCCAGACACGATGTGCGAACGTGTCAACAGCAGAAGTGTCCTTTACCGCTCTGTCGTGGATAAATTTCCAGAAACGCGGGTAATACCAATATCTCGAGTTCATTTCAACGATGCGAATGGATTCGAACGATTGCGAACCCTCTGCGCGGCGGAGTATTCGTCAGTGGAGCTTTTTATCAAGCAAAAGTATATCACCACGCAATCGATTACCCATTAATAAACGTATTTCTGATATTCTTTGCTCATCAATTAGTCATAGTCGTGTTTCTTTGGATGTTCGCGGGAAACGTATTTTAAATACATACCAATACCAACGTAACCGGAGAACAACCGTTTGATATATTTTACAGGTATTATGCGTTAGCTGCGTCCGCTGCATTAATAAAATACGTTGAATATGCCCAGCGTATTGTATACTGTCCGAGATCGATGCGAATCGAATTTCAAGGATCACCGAACGCCACTTGTATAGGTGAGATGAACATTGAACAATATGCACCGCGACAATCGTTTCTTCGTAAGCAACATTTTACAGAGAAGGCGGTCTTTCCGATTTTATACATTGCATACATGTTCCATGAGATTGTAGATTTGGAAAGCGCGCGAACTTTGGAGTTGGTTCAGTCGCAATGTGGTAAACAGAAGAATATTAGCCTACTCGGTATCCTGGATCGTTGTTCGACACCAATGGGGAGAAAATTATTACGCGCCAACATCCTACAACCACCGTGCGAAGAACGTATTATAATCGAGCGACAATCCTCTATTGCCGAACTAGTGTCCAATCGTTCTTTACGGAGTATTCTTCAGGTTCGAACTTCCTTTCGTCAGTTGTTTCGAATTCCACGAGACATTGGCTATCCACGCTACGTTTCGATTACAACTCTGCTTGATTGCTTGTTTACAGCCAATCGTGCGGCGACTCTATGGTGCGGATAGACTCGTGGCTCTGTCGGCAGCGCCTGTATTACACGAGAACAGTGTGCAATGCGCGGAACAAAATTTAAATTACATGTTGCTTTTGAAAAATATGTTGGACGTTGTTCCAGAACTTGAAGGAGCTCTCTCGTCGGCCGAAACCGATCTACTACGAAAAATCCGAAAGGTGCTCGCAGTCCTCGAGACGCTATGCCGACTTCCATTCCTTCTACATAATACGTATATGTACATATATATCTGCCACATGCTTTTCTCATAATAACTTACGTACCTATAACGGAATTCTTCAGAGACTAGAAAACCCTCGATTTCGACTAATGAAGGAACGGATTCTTCAAACAATACATCCGGATGCCAGATCCGTGTCAGGATACACATCGTCGAACATGCAACGTTGCTTTGCCATCAAGGCAGGGATCAACGATTTATTGGATATCGCTCGACGAACGTATTGCGAGCTAATCGACGATATGAAATGTCGGTACACTAATAACGATGCCAACGAAATCGTGCGCATTGCTATTTGCTATTTGCTATTTGCAGTAATTTACAATACGAATTACTCAGGCACTCGTTGAAATAATGTTTTTTCACTTTTCCATTTCCGATAGCCATGGTAGAAAACTTAGCGTCCAGACACAAATTACCGTTATCCTTGGGCTGTAACGCGTCACAAGGTTATCACATCCAAGCAATACTTCCGCGTAACTTTAGCACAGAAGCAGTACAACTACCAACCGTCTTTAACGAGGTAATTATGCTATTAAATGCTCTTGTAGAAAATCCATTTTCTCGATTTATTGTAAAAAGGAACGTTTCTTTCGTAAACATGATCTTCCGCGGTCGATCAGGTACGAAAAAACAAACGAGTTTACACGATGACCACGAGTGCGCTTGCAACGTTGAGCCAACAATGCAAAATCGCGTCGGAAGAATTGCATTTAATGAGTAACGTGTACGTACATATTTGTATATATGTATACATATATATATATATATATATATATATATATATATATATATATCTAATTATTCGTACCACCATAACTAACAATTACGATTGGTTCCTGGACTGATCAGGTTGCTTTGCGATTTGCTGCAAAGTGTCCGCGAATATATCGGATGTCTGTTTCAACTGAACGCCGATGTGGCAGAATTGGATCTAATAAATTCACTTGCTCAGGTGAGTTCCCTCCAGACGTATATTCGACCAACGTTTGGATCGAAGCTCGAATTAGTGGATTCGAGACACCCAGTTTTGGAAGTTTTCGGCCTTGATGGCCCTGTACCGAACAACGTTGTAAGCTACATAATATAATATAATAGTTATTTATTGTTTTTAAATACATACATGTATAATTTCCTCTTCGTTCGTACAAAAGAAGGACAGTAGTTATCGATCGTTGCTTCGGTCTCGTTTTCATTGCAGATTGCGTCGGTGCCGTGGAATTTTCATATAATCTCTGGGCCTAACATGAGTGGCAAATCAACTTACCTCAAACAAATCGTTTTACTACATGTAATGGCACAAATTGGTTGCTTCGTTCCAGCAAAACAAGCCGTGTTCCGCATAACCGATCTCATATTCTGCAAAATAGCTGTTCGAGATGATATCGAATGCAATGCTTCAACATTTGCTCTCGAAGTCAGTCGCATTTGTGGCGTATTCTTTTTCTTTTCTTTTTCCAATTACTCTCGTACCACCTTAATCGTAATCATCATCATCATCCTCATTCTCATCTTCATACTCTTTTTCTTAATTCTTTAGATGAAAGAAGCTCAGTACATTTTGAGATCCGTTACATCTGCTTCGTTGATTGTTTTCGACGAATTGTGTAAAGGTACTGCAATCGAAGAAGGTGTCTCGATCGCGTGGGCCATATGCGAACGGTTGTTGACGACTACGACTGCTTTTGTTTTTGTCACAACACATTTTGTCTATCTGACGAAACTAGCCGACTTGTACTATAACGTTACCAAGTATACTTATATCTTTATTATTCTTGTATACCTCATGGATCACGCGACCACTACTTACATGCATGCATGCATACATACATACATACATACATACATACATACATACATACATACATACATACATTTACATACACATAAACATATACATACATAATATGTAGATTCTTCTTATTTTATTCTACGATCGGATTTTTCTGTCTTTGTTTTACCGTTTAGTCATTATTTCGAAACGATAAACGCGCAAGAAACTGCAACGGGTAACGGAGATTCCCATCGATTAATGTACACACATAGGTTGAAACTTGGAGTGGCTCCTACCGATGATTACGGTATCGTATTAGCTGAATCATCTGGCTTACCAACATCTGTCACGGAAAAATCACGGAAATATGCTTCCGAACGAATGGTATGCGCAATCAGAACTCTGTTTATCGCCGTTGCACCGTGTCGCGCACTTCAAAATAATCAAAAATATTCGAATATCTTCCGCAGAGTTCTGATCGATTTACGACTCGAACAACTTCCTGGGAACATAAGTGTTACAACATCGTCGTTCAAATGTATCAACTCTTAGAATCACACGTGTTCGATCGAAAGAAAGTAATCGAACATGTCGAAAGTATCGTAGATCTTCGAATGCAAGGCGGTAAAGACAACGTAGAAGAGGATAAAATGGCAACAAACAACAAGGAAATTAATATAGAAAAAAATAATGACATCGGTGCTTTATACGATACCACGGTGAATACTGTCGTTTCTTCTAAAAGACGCGGAGATGCAACGGAACGGCGTACAAACGACGACAAAAGCACAACTTGCCGGAATATCGACCATGAAGAAATCACGGCTTTTTCGGCTCGTGTAGTACTCACCGACGCCACGAGCCAGTCGCCCAAAACCCGAACCGGAAATTTTCCACTTCAAAACAGCTTGATCGTTTTAAATCGTAACGAATGTGACGTGCCATGTCGACAATCGTTTAATTCAATCGATTCTTCGTTTACTTCTTATTCGATGCAAACTGAAAATCCTTTGAATAAAATAAATGGCGCGACGCCGGCGTCTAGTAATAGACAATCTCCATTTGTCGAAAAATATCAAGAAAATGCCGCTTCGGTTAGCTCAATAATCAGTGAGACTGATGTGTCGTTTCCGTTGTCGCACGCTTTATCGTCGATGCAAATGTCCATGTTATCCGAAGCATCAGTGTCGAAACTATATGAGTATTGTCTTTCAGATTATGATTTAGAACCATCCGAGAAATCTCATGCTTCTTTCTACTATTCTTACGGATCTAGTGTCGATTAGTGACACGTTATTCCGTGAAACAGACGACTGAAACGATCTTGTATAAATAATAAGTACCTATTATACATAATTATGTACCAGTAGGTCGAATCCAAGTACAATCAATCACAAAACTCATAATTTGCTTCTTCGCATATATACGTGTGTTTACAAAGTAATTGTTCTTTTGTATCATATCGAACAATTTTTATCGTACTCTTGTAAAATTATATTAATAGCCAGTCGTATCACTTATGCATATGGTATGTATGCATTTTCTTTCCGTTCTTCGCTCTTCCTCCCTTATTTATTATTGATCATTTAATTGATACATATCTCTATGTGTATTATTGAAATACATTATTAATATATGTATATATTTACTTATATCCATTGTAGTACCATCCACATTTTTTCTTTCGAAAATTTCTCTTCTTTTTTTCCGTTACTCTTTTGCAACGGTGCATGCGCAAGGGACCCCGTAAGTGACAGTTACTGGAGTCATAGAACTCCCGGGGCATGCGCAGGAGACCTCGTGTGTGCGAGATGAGAACTGTATAGTAGCTTGGTAAGTGGAGTCCACTCGACAGTCGTGTCAAACTCATTCCAATCCCGTGCCTTCATACCCCTTCCATGCGGCTTCCTTGACCGTTTGCCAGAATCGCCAGAATCACAGAATAACGCCCAATAACGCCTGTTGCCACTATTAACTTCTTCTATGCATATATGATATATGTATATATGCGTATACAATACGCATATATACAAGTTTTGCCAGAGCCTGACATATAGAGATGGCGTGCAAAATCACTAACGCGCCATGGATCACGTGGGGAGAGACCGTGGGGTCACGGAGCCCCCGGTGGAGGCGCCGTAGAGCCTGCGCGTGAGAGCGTGGGGTCCCGGAGGCCCCGGTGGTGGCGCCATTGATCACGTGGGGTGAGAGCGTGGGGTCACGGAGCCCCCGGTGGAGGCGCCATAGAGCCTGCGCGTGAGAACGTGGGGTCCCAGTGGCCCCGGTGGAGGCGCCATGGATCACGTGGGGAGAGACCGTGGGGTCACGGAGCCCCCGGTGGAGGCGCCTGTGATCACGTTGTCTGAGAATGTGGGGTCACGGAGCCCCCGAAGCATGCTGAAGAGACCCCGTGTGTGTGAGATGTATGATGTACAATTAGAATTTCAACGATTTATAAATAAAAGTACACACGGCTGAATTCAACGATAAATTTATTAATAAAATTATTTACAAAACTTAGGATCGATAAATTAAACATCAAAACTGAACATCTGGAATAATCAATAAATTATTAACAAACATCAATATTGAAAATTAACGCGCAAAACTACAATCAAGTCCCGACAGACATATTTATTTATCGTGTATATCTTATATGACGGATATTGTTTGGAATTTATACATATGTTTATGTTTATATATTTTAAATTTCTATTTAAATATTTAAATAAATAGATAAATATTATATTGTATTAAATATTAATAGTATTTTATTGTCTCTCAACGCAGAAACAACTTGTGTGTTGGGTAGAGATGGCGTGCAAAATCACTAACGGTGATTTATCACAGTGATCGCCGAATCACGATCACGGTCGTGATTTAACTTCATTCACAACCGTGATTGCGATTTTTCTATCTTGGGTGAATTTGCTCACTGCGATCGTAAGTCCTTGATCTTTAAACAGAAAAACGTATTCAATATGATTTTACGATAATTACATTACTATTCGTGTTTGTAAACATCAGTAGAAAAAACAAGAAATTCTGAAAAAATGATTTGCTAGATAACATGTAGGTTATAATTTGTAATCATTAATTTATTCATTATTCTTCATTGTTTCTACTTATACCTTCACTTTATACGATATAACCCTAATTTTTGTTTTGATGTCGTTAATGTGAAATATACAAATTATGTATCGCGTGTAAAGAACTGTTAGGTTTCTCCACCAATAAGAAACGATCACGGGAAATCACGAATCACTGTGAAAAATCATCGTGATTGGGAACGAACGTGATCGAATCACGAGTGATAATCACTCAGTGATTCACAAGTAGCAGTTCACGCCATCTCTACTAACATAGGTAGGGTATAGGTTAGGTTTATTCTACAGAAGAGACGCGAATTATGTGTCTCCAATTACGACTTGTAAAATTTTAATTATGCCGAAAATTTCTTAAACAGTTTAGAAATTTAGCAGGCATCTATATATTCGCCTAGTGCATGAAGTTTTAACATCAACGTTGACTTCGTGAGTGTGCGACTGTATATAAATAGAAAAAACATATCGGAGAAGGGTTTATACAGAAAGGATGTTGACACGACACGCTATAACCACCGAATCTAATCACGTCGCAACAGTGCCAATAAATCTTGTCGCTACCGAAGATGGTCGAACGCTGTTGGCAGTGACAGGTAGAAAATTCTGTCGATGACACTGAAAATACTTAATTGCTGATAAATCTATGGATAACAATTCTTACAGAGGATAAAGACGGTTCTTTGGAAATTATCGCAACTCCGGTTACACTTCTTGATCAAAACGATACAACCACCTCGTTAATGGATGTAAAAAATCTAAATGGTTGTTTGATATTGCACCCAGTATGTCTGTCTTTCCTATTTATATATACATATTACATGCACCATCCATGTAAGGAAAACATTTTCTCTAAACTAGCGGTACTTTTCAGTCTGTTTTTCAAATAAACCTGGAAGATGTCGATGGTTTGGAACTTGAACAATCTACGCAAAGTCTGCAAATTGATCCTGATGTATCCCAAGAATTCAAAACCCGACTAAACTTGGAAAGCATAAATCACATTCTCAATAATGACTCGAACTCAAAAGAGAAAGAAGATGAAAACAGTAGGGAAAAATTAATGGCAACAACTACAAATACAAATAACCCTGGAAGACCCAAAAAGAATGCTGCAATTTCAATAAAAGTAATTTGGTATTTATATTTTCTGCAGCCCATTGTTTCTACATTTATTAAAGGCATGCTGGTATCTGCTGGAGTACAAGTAGATTTCATGCTGAAATCTTTTATATCCTTATGAAATAGAATAGAAAAATCCAGTAACAGGCACAACCTTTTATTTTAGGCCAAAGAGGGTCTAAGATGCGACATATGCCAGCAAGAATTCATTAAACAGGCATTATATAAAAAGCACATGGAGAATCATGCTGAAGAAAAGCCGCATCGATGTCCGAAATGTTCCGCGGCGTTCAATGTACCGGTAATTTAAACCCTGCCGAGTTTGTTTACCATCTAAGTATTGTTCGTTTGAAGAAAAATGATTTGAGACAGCGTTGGTTACTCGACATGTCATACTTTTACAGATCAATTTTACATTGCATATGGCAACCCATAATACCGGCGACCCAAAATGCCCTGAATGTGGCAGAAAATTTGCGAGAATGGCTAGTTTGAAGTCCCATATGTTATTACATGAAAAAGAAGAAAATTTATTCTGTACAGAATGCGAAGATGTTTTCTCAACTAAAGTGAGTTTATTATATCCCTTAATTCTTTTATATTATTATAATCTGTATTGTAAGTATCCTTATGGAAAAACAGAGAAGAAATTCGGAAAAGTATTCTGGTGCTGTATGCATAGTTTGAAAACTACATATGTAGTCGGAAAGGTAAAGTGTTCTTATTAACGATTAGCTGTTCGTAATTACCACAGGCTCAATTAGATGCACATTTAAAACACCACGGTGAGAAGTGGACAACCGAAGAAGCACGAAAATGTAAACTGTGCAATAAACAATTCGGGCAGCCAGCGCTCTATCGACTTCACATTCGTGAACATTACAGGGTAAGTTAAGGACAGCGTCATCTCGTGAACATCCGTTTTACTGTTAGTATCGTTTAACAGCTGATTTATGTTGTATGTCATGTTGTAGTTGCAGACAAAGATTGTGAAGCAGACGAAAAGGGGAGCAAAGCATAAGACAGTTTATAAATGTACAATATGTTTAAAATCCTTTCAAAAACCAAGCCAATTAATGCGTCACATTCGGGTGCATACGGGTGAAAAACCTTTCAAGGTAAATCATTCATTCGTGAACCCATGTAAATTGTACCGCGATCGTTGTTTGACTTGCTTTTCATTTATTTCCTCAGTGTACAGTGTGTGGTCGCGCCTTCACACAAAAGAGTTCTTTACAAATTCATATGTGGCAACACAACGGTATTCGACCACATGCATGTGAGCTCTGCAATGCCAGGTTTAGTCAAAAAGGTAATCTTTCGGTTTTCGTATTGTGTTGTGGTTACTTTGTAAAAATTACAAATACGTGAATATGTGGTTGTATTGTATCAACGAATTTAATTTGCTTGTAGGTAATTTAAATGCTCATATAATGAGAGTTCACAACGTGCCAGAGGGGGAGCCTACATACGGATGTAATTATTGTTCTTGTGTCTTTAAGAAACTTGGCAGTTTGAACGGTCATATGAAACGCATGCATACAGAAGTCGACGAGGTAACACACGGGGTACGTTTAGCGCAAAGTGTGTGAAAACGATACGCGACTCAGGAGTGTGTACGACTTTCAGGATAATGCCACTGACAGAGACCCTCGAACCACCGATAGCATGGAATCTGACATTTGCGCAACCGTAGACAGTGTTATAACGCAGTTGGCGTCTTTGGAGTCGAACGTGGACGAAGCTAGAACAGCAGACAATCTCGTAAACAACGGGCTGTCGGCGGGGGCCCCGACAAAAAAGGATATCCTACAGCAGGCTCTGAAAAACAGTGGTCTTCCTAGTAAAAACAGAACCGTTTCTGAAGGTATTTGGACCACTCGACATCCGCAAAAGATGTAAGTTGAATTAGTACCTTTTCATTTGCGAATCTTGTTTGTCAAAGGTACACCGGGAACGACAAAATTGGAGGCGCGCACAAATTTTGTTACTTTATTGGATCGAGCATTGGACGGTGGCACCAGGTAATCCACCCTACAAGTTTGACAAAGTATATATTTACAGGTTGAAATTTCTCTCTGTCGTACGTCGCCTATCCGTCTATTCGTTTATCGTTCTGCCTGTTGTCGTTACAGAAAATATTTGACGATACAGCAACGATGCGTCGGAAACGTAAGATGGTACGCGTGTACCTTTTGTCATAAAGAGTTCAAAAAGCCGTCAGACTTAATACGCCATTTACGCGTGCATACGCAAGAAAAACCGTTCAAGGTACGAGGAGGATAAGTAACAAGCGACGAAGAAAATCGCTCAATTCGTGTATATCTTCTCTTGAACCGTACACATGTTTGTCTGTATTTTTAGTGCACATACTGTTATCGTTCGTTCGCTTTGAAATCTACTATGACAGCACACGAACGTACCCATACAAGTAATAAGAGATACAGTTGTGGTTCTTGTGACAAAATATTTATAAGCCATGACAGCTTGGTTGCTCATGCCAGGTGGGTTTACCTTATGTTTTGCTTTCTTTAGAAAGCATGGTCTCATCGTGTTGACTCTACAAAGTTGCGTTTAATCGTAGATTGCATGGAAAGTCGGATGAATGCATCGACGTATCAGTTGGTAACGATGGAGAGGATACTAGTATCGGCGCAGTAATTAACGTCGGTATCGATACTAACGATCGATCGAAAATCCACGCAAAGAATAAATCAAAGATATACCCAAAAGCAGAAAATCTTGTGTCTCAAGTGGTGTTGCAAGAACCACTGGTGATCAGTGACACCGGGAACAAAATATGCGTGGTACAGGTACCTCCGAAGAAGCGGACATATGATGCGGCAGTTGATCCAGCTAGGCCGCACAAGTGCTGGGTGTGTCAAGCGGCATTCAGAAAAATCAGTCATTTGAAGCAACATCATCGTCGTCACACGGGAGAACGTCCGTACAAGTGTACGAAATGCGACAGGTGCATTAACAAACGAAATTTCGTAATTTCACAATTTTACCTTTTCATAATTTTCGTTGCTATTATGTATTATTACTTCTATTGCTACTGCCCACTAATGTTATTTTGCTTATTATTCTTATTATTCTTATTATGTTGATCACGATCCGGAACACTGTTTAAATGAGTTATCGATTGTTCTAGGAGGTTCACGTCAAACAGCGTTCTGAAGTCTCATTTGCATACACATGAGGATTTCAGACCTTACGAATGTTCCGTTTGTAGTGCAAAATTCTCCACGCAAAGTAGTATGAAAAGACATTTAGTTACTCATAGTAACAAAAGACCATTCATGTGTCCGTACTGTCACAAGACGTTCAAGACTTACGTTAATTGCCGTAAACATATGAAAATACATAAGCACGAATTGACACAGCGGGTATAGTATTCGATGTTGTAGAAATAGAAACAAGAGCAGCCTACAGACGAGTTAGATTCGAAGGAAAATCATAGGCAAGAAACAGACCCCGCATTGTCGTGTTGTTCTTCGTCCCGTTTTTCTGTTGGAACCACCACTAACGATCCTCTCGTCATCGCTGACAACACCGATTCTGTGGTCGCAACATCATCCACATTTTCGGATAACCTTCAACTTTCTCGACTTGACCCAGTTGAAGTTTCTTTTCAGCAGCAAATCGAATCAAACTTCCCGCAAACGTTTCCGAATGAATTTCAAGACGTCGTGACTGGAGGAAAGGAAAGAATAAGGTCAATTTTATCAGCGAACTGTAGTACCGAAACAACCATTAGCGGTACGCATTGTTTTTAAACGTTTTAAACATATCCATTGTGTTTGCATATATCACGGAGTGTTTGTTTTCGTTTTCGTTTTCGTTTTCGTTTTCGTTTTCGTTTTCGTTTTCGTTTTCGTTTTCGTTTTCTTTTCTTTTATACATTTTCGAAAAATCTCTTTCAGAAAGTATGACGGGAATGACAGTGACAAATTTGGAAAATTCACAATTATTGCACGCCGATGATAGCGGTTCGGTTACCCTACCCGTTTATTCCGCCGATCAAGGTCTAACACCGGTACACGGCGCTTATGTATTTCTGTAGTTCGTTACATGTATAACCGAAATACATGTAAAGCGTTCTGTTTGTAGGAGAGTATACAAGACATCGAGGAAACATTGAACCGACAGCTTTTCAACATTGGAATGAATCTTAGTCTGGGAAGCAACCATTCAAGACATTCCTGTGGATCTAGTGATTTACAGAATGTGAAAGAGCAACATCAGCAAGTTGCGTTGAACGTCATCTACGAAAATAACAACAATTCTAATAACAGTAACAACAATATTCACCAGTCTGGGGAACAAGTTTTCACGTCACAGTTGGATTCATTTGAGATGGATCATATCAACTTGCAAGTGAGATCGGGTTCAAATTGAACGGCAAAAAGAAAATATGAAAACACGAAAAACAGTAAATCAATGAAGAAAAATTTCTCTTTCAGTCGGCAAGTGAAATTGCACTGGATAATATTGAACTAGATACAAACGGTTCAACAAGTATGGCTAGTATACTGCCCAGAAGTGTAAAGGAAGACCGTCGACTTTCCGTTTCGACTGTTGCCTGTGCCCCTGAGAACCTGAACGGTGGTGCTGATCAGATAAATAGGTGTGTGCAGACGGTGGTGTTAATTTCCGAGGAGAGTGTTACGGGAAAGGAAACAACGTCAAATGATTTGGAAATACATCAGGCGGACGAGAACGTTAGTCGGGGACAATCCGTCACTATCGATCCCGTATTCTTAACGTAAGTCCTTCGCGTTATACGCTCGTTTTCTAACTATTACTCGGTATAGAGAAAACGGTTCCCTTCGGCCCGATGATAGACAGGCTATGAGCGAATGAATACCAATTGTACCGGTATAATTTGCACAGAGAAGAGTTTCGAAGAACGACGAAGGACCTTCCATTGAAGGCACACAACGCAGCGTCATCAACCGAGATGAACACGGAAAATGTTGTTGAAATCAATGGGAACCAAGTGTCTCGAGAGGAATCTTTGTTGCAATGTCATATGTGTGGTCAGCAGGGATTCACGGCAAGAAAATTAAAGGTGCGATAGAAACGAATGCTGCATGCATGCTGATGATAGTAAGTTTGCCCGTCACGATATGCGAAGAGTAAATCTTTCATTCTTAGGAACACTTGAAAATTCATCGAGGAACAAAGGAGTATCAGTGTATAGAATGCGCATCGAAATTTTATACTAACGGTGGATTAAATAGACACTCAAAGATACACATGAATAAACAGTAAGTATCTGCTGTTGAATAGATCGTAATCGCCTTGGTGTATGTACGTACGTACGTACGTATGTATGTATGTATGTATGTATGTATGTATGTATGTATGTATGTATGTATGTATGTATGTATGTATGTATAACAGCTGCGGTCACTGCTTCTTTCACTTGTGTTGTATTTTTGCAGACAATGGAAGTGTTTCTCTTGCGAGAAATATTTCAATAATAGAATGCAATTGCGGTCGCACAACAAAGTTCATGGAAACTCTACTTGGAATGCAACGTCTCCAAGAATAAATACTGACGAAGAAATTCTAATTTCGTCGGAAATACAAACGGCCGTAGATAACGAATCGCCGTTGAATGAAATCGTGATAGATTCGGACTCAGCCGTATCCGAAAGGGTTCTATTGGACACAGTTGCCGAAAAAGAAGTGATGGATCGAGTGGACGTAAGCTGAATTGCAATTAATGTGACGATGAATTTAGTTGTCGAAACACGAAAAAAAGAGAGGAACAAAATGTATCTTTACATAGCATAATATATTTTAGTACATCGAAACGGAGGAGAAGGAACGAAAGGAGTATACAAACAAGTGCAAGTACTGTCCAAAAACATTTCGTAAACCGAGCGATCTTGTAAGGCACATACGTACACATACGGGCGAACGTCCGTACAAGTGTGATTATTGTAACAAGAGTTTTGCCGTCAAGTGCACCTTAGATTCTCACACTAACGTTCATACTGGTAAAAAAACGTTTCGTTGTCACGTATGCAGCAGTTTGTTCGCAACGAAGGGTAGTCTGAAGGTTCATATGCGTTTACATACAGGTGAGCGAAAATATGAATTTCAATTACGCAAAAACTGTTTGCGGATATCAAGGTTAATCATTTTAAATTCATAGTTTAACATATTTCACCACGTATTTGTTTTTATATCGTTATTTAAGGCTCGAAACCGTTCAAATGTCCCGTCTGCGATTCAAGATTTCGAACATCAGGTCATAGGAAAGTACACTTACTGAAACACGTCCGGGAGCACAAAGGTATTTCGAAGAGAAAACAAAAACACTTGAAAATCGCTGCAATAGCGGAAGTCGCAGCTGGCATTGAAAAATGCGGTGACACGGGTGATGTGAAGGTAAGCCGCTTCGAGCAAGAACAACAACAACAAGACCACCACGAGCAAACCACCGAATCCGAATATTCACATTTAGAGGCAATTAGCGTCGAAACAACAGCATCATGCTTGGCTGATCAAATTACTTTTGACGCGGATGGTTCTGTACCTAATAATAATTCGATACTATCCGTTAACGAAAGCAGTCTAGTTGCCAACTTGCATTTTCTGCTGACACATGGTCTCGTTACCATTCAAACGGAAGAAACGTTATTATCGCAGTCTGCGTCAACTCATACGTTGAATCACCATTCGACTATTGTTTCTGACCCTCTATGTACATCTATGATAAATATTACGCCGGAAGCCGGTAATCAGGATCATTCTAAAGATACAGCACATATGGGGCACATGTTAAAAACCCAACTATCATCTCCGTATCAGTTGCAGTCGAATAATTGTCTCCTAACCGTCGGAACATCGACACAGATGGAGCCGTTTTCAAAGATTTCGATGGTTGAGAAACAGTTGCCCGTAACAGGAAAAGTGTCCGTCAAAGGGAATTCATCGAAGAAAGAGTGCGACGTTTGTGGAAAAACGTTCACAAAACCTTATCAGGTTGAGAGGCATAAACGAATTCATACAGGCGAACGGCCGTACAAATGTGATTTATGTGTGAAGTCGTTCGCCCAAAAGTCAACCTTACAGATGCATCAAAAACATCATACGGGTGATCGACCGTATCTCTGTCCGCATTGCGAATATTCGTTTACACAGAAAGGAAACCTTCGTACGCACATAAACCGCGTTCATCGGCTGGATACCGTCGATTCAAAGAAAATTAAACACGCTCGTCAATCTGTACAACGCAAATCACTTGAAAACAATTTTATTGAGGTTAAGAATCTCAGTTTAGACGATATATCGTTCGTTGAACTTCTTAAGTAAATTCTATCTTCTTTACTTTTACCTCAAGAAGCGTCCCGATGAAAAACAAAAAGAATACAATGTTAATTAAACAATAGAGACAATAATACTCATTGTTCTTCTTTTTTCTTTCTTTCTTTATTTACATGTAAAGTAACAACAAGTCATCGACTCGTTTACATACTTGCGAGTAATACAATTCACCGTTTTCAATGCACAGAACATACCCGTTGGTGTTTGTATAAAAATAAAAATAGATTTATATCGTACGATATCCCTTTGAGATCGAAAGTATTTTTCGCTAATCTAACCATTAATGTTTATAATTGCATATCGTTTCCGTTGTTGGACACCCATTAGGATGATTTTCATGAAACCAACAGGGCTTGATCTTTTTTCTTAACGACGACGCTTTCTTTTTCCTTAATTTTCCATTCACTTCCTCCTTTCCTGGTATTCGAAACTCGACTTTTCCATCCCCAACCCGGAACACATGTCTGTGATTTTTTAGTAACGTTTGAAGACCTCCGCATTCTTTACGTAAACGTATCAGGACGTCTCTTGGAATCGATTCGGCGAGTTGTCGCAAGTCAAGACACCGACCAGCGTTCCAAATCTCTTCAGGTGATCCTTCGAGCGATATCATACGACCATTGTGCAGCAACTGGTTTGCAACGATCTTAACAATATCCACGATCAACGTTTTTTCCAGTTGCGTACAATTTCGCACTTTCTCCACCGTGTCTCTCGGTTTAAAATTGCAAACCCATTCGCCGATATTCACCGCTTCTTCATGCGTTTTGCTTCCCCGACGAATCAGCATTGTTTTTGCGCTTATCATCTCTTGAATACGATATTCTGTTGTTCCAGCATCGCCGACTGTTCTTTCCCATCCGATTAAACAGATCCGTTTTGTGGATGGGATCCTTAGTTTGTCAATATACGTTCTGAACCCGCATATGTCACATACGCTTCTTATGTAATCAATGTATTCAGAGTACTGACTTTTCGAAGCACAGTGTCTTTGATACTTGGTACCGTCGAGTTCATACGAACAACAGGGTAACAAGAAAAAACGACAACCGTCGGAACTACGTGCAGCTATTACTGGAATCCACGGTGTCAATTCGTCCGAATGATTTCCTATAATCCAATCGAAGCCTGGATACACAGTCGTAGAAGAAGGAACGATCGTGGAAACCTATGCAAAATAACTTCATAAATTTTCTATTATGGATTATATACATTAGTGGTTACGATATCTCCATGAAATGTTTCCTCGGAAATTGCAGACACGTACTTGAAGCGGCGTTTCAGGTGGATAGGAGTCCCAAACTTTTCTTCTGCGCAAATCAATTCCTAACCCGCGATGACCTTCGCTGAATAAAATGTGCACGAGTAAACCATTGCCACAGCCCAAATCTAAAAACGACTGTAGATCCTTAATTCCTCTTTCTACTCTTTCTTTCTCCCACAGTAGCAAGAGATAAGTAGCAATTGCAATGTCTTCGTAAACAAATTTCATCGGGTCTGTATTTTCGGGCCAGATCTTTATTAATTTTCTGCTATATTTTTCCTTCAGTTCCCAATACAATTTTGCATATTTTTCAGCAGACACAAAACTCAATGACGACGGGTACACTGTCGTGGTTCTTGGTTCATTTCTCATCCACTTTAACATACATGGAAACAGCTTTTTCTCTAACCAATCTATGCTGGGATCGCGTACAGTGTTTGTCGACTGATATACGCTTATAGAGGTATAACCATCTCTTTCGAGCTGTATCATATATGCCATTTCAGGGCCAAGGGACCGTTTCTCCATAGAAAAGGACTTATGGATATTTATCACCCGATTTTCTTGCTTTTCCAACAATGAAAATTCAATTCCAGAAGAAAATATGTTTGGTATGCGAGGCAATTGCTTTGTTATGTACAAAAGAATCTTACTCTCAGATGTTGTAGCGGAAACCTTGTTTGAGATGTGTAACATGTTCAATAACTTTTTCTTGTCAATAATGTCATTGTTCAGTGTCGCGTTTAAATGGGAACATTCCAAGGTACAGATACTTTGAAAAATGTGAGTCAAGTCATGGTTCAATTTGATGCTTAACACTTCTATGCATGCTAATAGTCTACGATTAGCAACTTGTGGATTATGATGCCAAATGTCCATAGCCTTCCAAAATTGTGACTCGTTGAAACCAGTTTGTAAGCGTGCCAATGTTTGAAACTCCATTTTCTAAACAACATTGACCAAATTTCTTTCTGATCAGAAAACAGAAAAATTTAAAACACCTATGTCCAGAGATACGTACAATTACTCTTATTCCTCCTTACAATGTTCTGTTGCTCCTACTTTAGAATACTAAAAGTTATATTTAAAAAAATATATATTATTACGTCATATTGAAAAATCAACTGTCACATACATATGTATAGAAGACTGACTTATAATGACATAACATGTAAAGGTACCTTATTAACCACCCATTTCGCATCTCGTACTGCTTTTTCCATTATCTGCTGTACACGTTCTTTGTCTGGTTCGATTAAGTGTTGCTTGAAACTCTGTGAATTATAAACATGATTTATAGTGCGTTTATAAACCTCGCAATGATACTTGCAGCGTGGTCATAAATCACACATTGAGCAATTGAGCGGCGGCACCAAGGCCCGTGTCTCGTGTCATTGTCATTCTCTTGTATTCACGTGTACATATACATATATATACATAAATAGGTGTAAGGTTCCACACAATAAAAGAATGACGATATATGGATAGTGGTAGTTTGCAAATATTAATTATTGTTTAAAATATCTCAAATTTGTTTCCAATATGTATATTGTATAATATATATTAAAGGGCCGTTCTTCGTACGGCCCTGACTGTCCTGACCGAGTTTTTAGTTTCCTATTTCGTTATTGCTCCTTACATTTTTATCAATTCACGTCAATTCCCATATACTTATCCCGACACCTTTATTAACATACCTATTTTACTTTACCGCCCGACTGATGTTATGACCACGCCACACGCTATCTATTTATATACTTACATATGTATGTATATACGGCAAAACTGTACGGAAGCCATATTTATCTACATATGTAAATACATATATTGTATATTCGAAGGGTACAGACAGGAAAGTTATAGGTCAATCACGGTAGACGGATATTTTGTTATTTAGATGGGTTTGATATCACGGAGTTTACCTGTTTAACTGAATGTTTGTAAAACTGTTGTGCATCCTTTGGCAATTTTTCACATTCTCGCAGTAAATATTTATAAAGTAATTTCGGTGAAGTCAGAGCAGTTTCGTATAATTTTACCCTAGCCATTTCAACAGGGAAGTAGAATTAAAAAACAACAGCTACCTGTATACAGTTTACTCTAATTTTTCAAAGAAATTGTGACGACGTGCGTGTTAGTTTTACTTAGTGTATTAATCACTACACATATTGACATTCACTCTGTACTTTTGTTCGTTGCAACAATAAAGGTGATAGGTATGGTATTGTCGTAACACTCGTTGATTATTGGATTTGACGATCGAGATATTTAAAATAAAAGAACAAAATGTTTAAGTTTAACGAGGTATAGGTGCGAATGCATACACCGTTGTACAGGTCAACGGAATTACCAACCAAAGCGATACACACACTCTCTCTCCCTCACGTTGCAATATTCAATATTACCTACTTAATGTATTTTGTTCAATGATGTTTGTTTATTAAATTTCCGTAAATCGACAGTAATACTTACTCTACAAAATAGGTAATCAACAGGAATCAATAAAATCGCAAGAAAACAGCACACTGTGAAAATAAAACAATATTGCAAGCAAAATCGTAAGAATGTTGAGTGTACAATAAAATTACAAGCTGGCAAGCTTTTCGAAAGCTCAATAAATGGAACAATTTGTTTATATAGGCATACGATAAATCCAGTTAGTCAAGCCTGCAAAGCCAAATATTGTCCAGTGTCTGTTATAAGGTTATGTACTCAGTTTGGCTAGAGATTTGATACAAAGTCTACTATAAACAACTTGCATACAGATTGGCAGTAGATTAACAGCAAGTCTTACAGCATAGCCTATATATGTATGTACATATGTATATATATATATATATATATATATATATATATATATATATATAATAATAATAATCTACCAAGCAGATAATCAGCTTTCTTACTGTTAACAAGATATGATATGTTTTCCCATAACATTTCCCATCTCCCAAAAAAAGTGGAATCGATTTCACTTAAAATTTATACCATTTATACATATACGTACATAAGTACATAGGTATACATGCATTACATACATATACGAAATAAAACGAGATTCCTAAAGTTCAAAATGATATAGTGGCATTATTCGTTATAATTTGGCCCCCAGTTCTGCCAAATGAGCCCGGAACAAGAAAATGTTTATAAATATGTATATATGTAGGTATTATATCCTTCTGTTACACAGATCAGAGGAATTCAACTGATTCAACAGTGTTTGGTGTGTTTAGAGGCGCTGCGTAACAATCCTCGAAATATATGTACTTATATACATGTATATTTCATATATGTATGCTTGAGAACACTATTCTTGGATAAACGTTAATTGCAAGGTGAAACCATTATGATACATTTATGTCAGCGTCTAGTAAGAATTTCATCAAAGTACCATGTGCGAGCTACCACAAAGGTAATGTTGGTACATCACAAAAGTAATGGGGAACACCCGACCGCTGGATTAATTGGTAATTATATGATTAATGCATACGTGTTGGCTGTATTACATGTATTTCTATTCGTTTCTTCTTATGTTAAGGAATGTTATTCTTTTTAGTTGTTGGGGATGAAATTTTGAAAGCACAAGTGAAAGATACTAATTCTTTCTATGCGAGCAATTTACTCTACAAGCATGGAATCAAGGTTCAAAAAGTTAGTATACACATTTTCATTCATACATATACAATATGTATGTATTTACATAAGTATATACGTTTCTCTGTGTGCTGTGGGAATTCCAGTTTTTTGCATATTGCTACTATCACTGTAAACATATTAACAAGTTGATGTCTACAGATTTCAGTTGTTCAAGACAACATCCAAGATATTGCAAAAGAGATGAAATACTTTTCTGAAAGTTTTAATTATGTTTTTACAACTGGGGGTATAGGACCGACTCATGATGATGTTACGTACGAGGGTAACTGTCTATATTTAGATATATGTATATGAGACGATATAGTTTCTCAAGTGAGATTGTACTTTATAGGTTTAGCATTAGCCTTTGACGATACAATGCATTATCATCCAAGACTGGTGGACATTGTGAAGAATCGCTTTGGCTATGATGCTTTTCCATCTCCTGGTTACAAAATGGCATATGTAAGTATGAAATGTAATTATAGATTGCAGGTTTAACAATGGAACTAAGTTTATAACCTTGTTGTAGGTACCAACTAAATCAATTCTTAAATTTGGAATAAATGAAGCTACAGGAGAAGCATTTTCTTATCCATGCATAGCGGTACAGAATGTTTTCGTCTTTCCTGGATCACCCATGTTCTTTGAATCTTCTTTTCAGGCATTGTGCAAGGTACATCAGAAAGATTTTCTTGTTTGTTCGTTATTGTAGAGAAATGATATATTATGTTTATAGGAGCTTTTTGCTGGGCACAAATGTTTTGCAACTACCGAAGTGTACATAAATGCCAGGGAGGAATCGTTTGCGAATATTTTAGAAGAGCTTGCACGGAAATATTCAAATGTATCGTTTGGGTCGTATCCAGAACAAAATAGGTAATATAATTGAATAAAAGGAAATGGATAAAAGTAGCAAATCATTTCACAATAACATTGAATTCCGTTGTTCTGTATCCATATCACATTAAAAAATTTGTACGCTATTCGAAATGTTTCTTACAGATATTATAAAGCGCGTATCACAATAGAGAGTAAGAACGAGGAAGACACCAAGGTTGCTAGAAAAATGCTTTGCTCACGTATTCCGAGCGATGTACTTGTACAGTACGATTGCGAGCCTCACGTTGATTGCCTGATGAAATACGAAAAATTACTTCAACGGTCAGAACGTCGGTCGATTTATGAGAAATCCTTCGAAAAATTCGTGTAATGCATCTTCAAGTGAAAAAAAGTATCGATTACTTGTATCATTATATACCAGATGCCATCGAATTTTCCTATCTTTCGTTTTTTGTTTGTTTGTTTTTTCCAGAGATTATTATAGGAAGCCTGATGAAGTTTGGATATGTTTGGATGGTAGTGATGAATCAGTGGTTATGATACATCTTGCTCGCGTTGCTGATACTAAACTGCGACAACCTTTGAAAACAAAATTACACGGCATTTGTTTCGAACTCGATGATTTTAAATCGGATATGAATGGTTTTTTCGAGGAAATTAGCGACAGGTAGGTGTAGCGATTGTTTTTGAATGTAGTAAACTTAATGAGTAGAAAAAAAAGAAGAAAATTTAGTTATTTTGATAGGTACGATGTCGAATTGTGTAAGCTACGAAGCAATGAAATGAACTGTTATCAGGAGGTCGAACGGTTGATTTCATCGAGACCGGAATTGCGAATATTATTAGTAGGAAAACGATCTAGTGCCAACAGAAGGGAAATTTACGAGAATCTTGTTCGGCTGAATAACAACGTTTCCGTGCACGTACAAATACACTTTCCTCTTAGCAACTGGGCGAACAAAGATGTCGCAAGTTTCGTCGAGTCTCTCTCACTGCCTTATTATACAGCACATGAAACTCGGTCATTCCGGTAAGAAAAAATGTTTATTCGTAATTGGTTTTTTTTCTGCATAAACGAAAGAGAAATAAGAAAGAGGAGAAGTCTGGTTATTTTTTCTGGCGCATGTACAAGCATAATCTGTTTTCGTAGATGAAAGATGAACATCATCCCTTGAAATACAAAGAAAAGTTAGAGCGGCGATGAACGCGGAATTGAATTACGACACTTATGTAATTATTAGGCGATGAGCTTTAATTGCTATTAAAAGACGAAAGGAAGGGAAATACATATAATAAAAGAATTTACAAGAGATTGAAATGTTGCTCGAGAACGTTTTAAAGTTTCAAGATTTTCCAGATATTTATATTCTGTATAACGAATTTTCGACTATTTAGAAGCGTTGAGATAGATTTGCAAGGAAAAGTGTGAACGAGTGTGTGAATGACAGGACGAGAATGCACCTTGGAAATTGATTTTCTTTTTTTTTCTGAATATTTAATTGAGCGAAACTTACCGAATTGAAAGATTTTAGTGAGAAATTTACGATAAACACGTGAGAAGAGGAAGTTTGAACAGTGAGTAGAGAACGTATGGCTGGTACCAGAGAACGGAGGCTAGGTGGTTATAGGAGTTCGAAGGAAGAGTACCTGTAGTCGTATTATATATTTCTCGGCCGCTGTAACGGGATAGAAAGAAGTAGAGAGGGTTGTTCGTTGGAGAGGGAATCGTTGTCGGCCCCTTCCATCTTTTTGAAATTTCATTTCGAGTTAAAGTATTTCTAGCTTTTTTCCTTTGAAAGTTTAAAATGAGAGTGGGTGGTAGTTGCCCGCTAAAAAGGGACAAGGTGGGGGTGGGGCTGCGGTGGGCGGCTGTATAAAGGTGGAGTAGAAAGAAGGATGAAGAGGGGAATGAATCGCTACTACCCGAGCAACGCCCATGGTTCTGCAGATTCACGGATCATATACAGTGTTCCACTCGGCACTTTCTCGGCCTCGGAACTCGACGAAATCCAAACAGCTATGTATATTTTCGATCATTTCGGACCCGGTTGGACTGGTGTCGTGTTTGTAATGTTTCTATCGGTATAAGATTTTCTTTAATTTATCGCATAAATGGTAAATGATAATAAAGACGAAGATATCGATACTGATGGAAAGTAGTAGTAGTAGTAGTAGCCGAGATGGGACGAATCAAGTCTGATTGAATTCACTTACGAGCGAAGCGGAATCGCAACAAAAAGAAACTAGGGGAATGTAAGAAGTTAGGCTGGTAAGGATAAAAAGGTGGATACAAGGTGACGAATATCGCATTTATGTGGAGCATTTCATTTGAGTTTGAAATTAATTGCAGAAGAAAAATAGGAGGGAAGCGTGTAAGAACTACAGAAGGTGGATAAAATTGGTTGGTCATATTATCTCCTAATCGTTTCTTGATCTCATCATTTCCCTGTTCTTCGTTTGTCAATCTTGTTTTTAATCGAAAATTCCACAATGGGAAATGAATCGACTAAAACCAAGCGTTACCATGTCGAAAATGTAGTGTTCGTTGTTTGAATATAACTGATAGAAGCATGAAATGATTTCACGCACCAACTAGTTTGCGCTATATTTGTACTGGGAGTTAGGTGTGGATTAGGTCGTTTGTTATCCAGTCGATTCCACGATTGAAACAAAGTGTTGTAGCTCTCTTTGTATGAAACGGGGGTTGTCGAAACTGATAAAGAACCATGAGTTTGGCATTCAAGATTAAAAAAAATAAGAGAAAATCGGGGAACGGTGGAAGAAATGCAAAACGTAGGAGTGCAAAAGATCGAATGAAACCGATGGTAAGATGGTAGGAACGGTGATAACGATAACGGTAACGTTAACAGTGGCTGCATGTAGTGACAGTGGCGGTGGCCTGTGGAGGTGGAGATGGCGGTGGTGGTGGTGGTGGTGGTGGTGGTGGTGGAGTAGTGGGCCAAGCTGACGACGTGGTCGATGGCGTTGGTCGCGTGCTGGTCGCGTGCCGGAGGCGGAGCCAAGCTCAGACTCTCTCGCGTGCCACCTCCACCCTAAAGTTCGCGGTCCCTGTTGCACCCTCTGACACCCACCCCGCCTGGAACGGCGGGGAGCTCTTCTACTCGACGCGCGACGCCCCCCTGTACTCTTTGGTTCCTTGGGTTGTCCCTTCCTCCCCACCGGTACCCAAATCTACAGTCGCTTCCTCGTCGGTTATTGATTCCCTCGGGTAGCCAGTCCCGAAAAGGGTGCTAAAATAGGATGAGGACTATTGAAAGGATGAAAAGAAGACGATGCAGGTAAAAGAAATTCGACGATGGATACGAGGTTCGAACATTGACGCGTACCAAGATCCCTTGTTCGAGCACAGATCGAAGTCGTGGGAAGTCGTTTCGTTCAATCGGGTTATCTTTATCGTCAATTTCAATTGGTAACAGTCGCCGGATCAGCGCAACAATGCCGTTGTGGGTCTCAAACATGGACGACAAACGACATGCAGTGATGCAACGATGCTTATCTGGTAGGTAAGCGGTACCGGATAAAGATGTCGAGGTGGCGATGAAATGAGAAAATATAAACGCATACGAGAATCCTTTTACTGGTTGAGCTTGTTCGCCGATTCGTAGATAATCAGAATTTGAAATCCGATATACAAGTGTCTTTCGACGAAGTGTTGACCGCGATTGAAAGAGAGTCTCTGAAAATGTTGATTTATTAAATTTCCTTGATTTATCAACGACGTTATCCGTCCTTCGAAGTTGCTATTTGTGCAAACTTGTAGTATCGAGAGCAGCCCTCTCGGCTCTCAAAACTTTGTAAATTTGTACGTCTATCTTTGTTCCGTGTTACTTTATTTCCTTAGTCCAGCTTTCTTTGTCTACGCATAAACTTCTATACCGGCGTATGCGTTCTAGAGTAGGTATATGTATATGTAGATACGAATATGTTTACACAGTTTCCGAGAATACACAAGGAAGTGTGTGCGATGCGTATGCCGTCGCGCGATAGGTCTCAGCCACGTCTTTTCCTATATCTCCCTCCATCAGTTGAACCATTTCATCCTCTTCGTTCGCTTCTTTTCCTTTTTGGTTTCGTGGTTCGTTCGTCCGTTCGTTCATCCGTCCGGAGCGATAGTTCTGTGAGATTCAACGGCATAACCTATTTTACTTTTGAAAACTCGACGGATCAATACCAACGGGACTAGAAGGAAGACGAATGAGCGGGCCAAGAGGGAATCATGAAAGAGAAACAACGTATAAGTACATGTACATACATATGTACATACCGCGCGAGCGACCGATGTCTTCTCGTTCGTATTTTCATTAACAAGAAACGCAGAATCTTTATCCTGTTTTTATGACGATGATCTATCCATACAACGCTGATCGATTTTCTCTGTTACAGTAGGCGTCCTTTTTATGTTTTTCCGTTCGAAAAATCAGCATATCGGATGCCGCGTTACTCGAGACTGTTTCGTACCGTGCGATATCGAAATGCCAGCGATCGAATCTTTGTAAAGAGTTCAAGTTGCGGCACGAGACCGTCAGCTGGTAAGCAGGGACTGTTCGCTATTTTTTTCTTCCTCTTTCTTGCAGGTCCTCCTTTTACGCGGCTCCCATGTAACAACTGTCTGGACGGACCCTCTCTCTTTCATCTTTCTTCTTTTCTTCTGTTTTTCCTTTCATTCTCGGACAACCTACAGTATACACACATATTGCCTACGTAGGTATATGTATACATATATATATACATAGACATATACATATACATATGTATATGTTTGTATACGTGTAGGTACACGTATTGTATATACGTATAGATGGATTTGTTCCGTTTGAAGGTAGAACGGAATATTTTTCTCGGGCATAGAGGGCGAATATTTACGAATTGATGTTCGCGAGAACGAATAGTTTCCGTCTAGATTGCTGACAGCAGGAGCCGTGAGGATATCGGTTACGTCGCGCGATATCGCGCGTTAATCGCGCTAATCTTTTCGCGTTGAACCGTTCAACCGAAAAGAGCTTTGTAAAGCATCGATGCGTTTGTATTTTGTCTGCTCGGTAACGATGCAAAATTTCTTTTACGAGATTAGAGGATGCTCGATTTAACCGTACAGATCGTTTCATCGAGCGCTTCGATGAACCGGACGGGCCGTGTCGAGAAGAGGGTATACATATACGTATGTATGTAACGTGTACGGTAGACATCAGCCAGCTTCCTTGATCGCGCGTGGATTCCGATCTCGTTGTATAGCGGCCTATAGTTCGTAGCAACAAGGAAAACGAGCTCGACCGTTGATCGTATTCGTAGAAATAGGCGGGCTGAACGTTGTCGAGACCACGGGAATGACCTTGTGATCGACTCGTTCGACTCGTTTTCCTGATCATGATCAACCTGTGTGTGTGTGTGTGTGTGTGTAGTGTGTATATGCATATATGTATATGCGAGCAATTATATCGAATGGAAAAGATTAGAGATTTCAGGTTCTCCGCGTAGTCTTGAAAAGGACACGTTCTAAGAAACTCGAGTTCCCCACGTGTCTTGCCACGCGTGTTCCACGCTCAGCACGTGCTGTTCTGCTTGGCTATAGCATACTGTTCTCGAATTCTCCTACATATTCTCCAATGGAAAAACGGTTGACCAATCGTCGCGCGACGAACTTTCGTCGATGACTGTACTCACGCTGGGAAATCCATTTCGTTTTAACTTTACGTTGAAATTGAATGTTTTCTAATTGTGTGTTGACCCGTGTGAAAGGAAGAGGAAGAGGAAGAGGAAGAGGAAGAGGAAGAGGAAGAGGAAGAGGAAGAGGAAGAGGAAGAGGAGGAGGAAGAGGAAGAGGGTGAATGGTGAAGGGTGGAGAGAAGAGGGACAGGAGAGTTTATCGGAGCGACGAAGGCCGAGGGCTGTGGGTGAACGAGTGAATTGTACGGTCAGGGAGGGATGGAAGTTGCTGGAGGAGAAAACGTTACGAGAGGTGTTCGTTCATGGAGGATAGATCTGGGTTCGAGAGACAGGACTACGCGGTACGGAATACGAAGACTGATCTGCCAGAAGGGGTGAAAGAGAAGGGAGAGTTAGGCGGTCGTATTCCGGCCACCTCCTTCCCTAAATCACGTTTATCAGAGACGGATGGCGAGCGGCGCGATTCAGTATCGAAGCGAAGGAGGTGCGGCCATCCAGGGAAGGAAGAGGTATCGTCGGGGCAGGGTATCAGAAGGCCAGAGGTAGAGGGGCAGGGGTAGGGTAGGGTAGCACGAAGAGATAGAGAAAGAGAAAGGGAGGAGTACGAAGCTAGGTAGGGAGCGAGCGAGCGAAGTGAACGAACGAACGAGCGGTTGATAAGTTGTCGAGTAGTGGAGCGCAGAGGCGCGAGACGCGAGTCGCGAGGTGCGATGCGCGAGGCAAGAGGCAAGAGGCATGAGGCCGAGTATGAGAAGGGTGAAGAAGGGAAAGAAGGGAGAGGAAGCAGAGGTACACGCGGATATTGATTCCCGTGGGATATGCGCGCGCTCGACGAGACTCGGAAATCTAAACGTATGTACGATGCTTTGGCAGACATGCGAAGAGATACATATACGCGTCGCGAGACATATAACTCGCAGGTACCCACCTTTCGATTCGTTTTGAGAAAGGGGCGAGAGAAAAGACGGATCGTGTCAGAGTTACTCGAGGCGAGAAAATTCTCGTACTCATTGGTTAATCGAACACGGAATACGGAGAAATTCGAGGAAACCTACTAAAAATTAACTTGATTCTGGAATCTGAGAAACAATAGGTATTTCTTCCCTTGTCATTTTGCTCGTTGGAAGATGAATTTGTATTCCTAGAAAACCGCGGATAAAGATATAAGCGTATGTTTCCAGTTTATTCTATTATCATTCTGTGTACACCTCGAGACAGAGGAAATTAAAGTATTTCCAATATACTCCGATTGTCTGTAAATTTACCGGTTATTCGCATCATCTCTCACTCTCGCTTATAATTTCTATTAACCACGACGTCGAAGACGACGAGAACGAGAACGAGAACGAGAACGAGAACGAGAACGAGAACGAGAACGAGAACGAGAACGAGAACGAGAACGACGACGACGACGACGACGCAGAATAGGAGACCTATACATACATATATGCATATGTACATGCAGATAGCTGGATACACTCGTATCGATATCCATGTTACTCCCACAAAATAGCAGCTCGATTAGTACCGATTCAAAAACACTACTACTATTAACTAGTGCTTACCATAACGTATAGTGGTAGACCTTCCTTCCACTATCTACCACTACCATTACCACATAGCTGACGCCACGTCCGAGACCTAGCGGCGCTTTTCATGAATGAAATCCACGTGTAGTCCACGTGATCGTTTTCGTGAAAATCCTAATTTTTTCGATAGAAAACGGAATTACTCGAATGACGACCAAAATAAGATGCTCGAGTTTGTTTCGGCGAGGCAGTCTCCTTGCTCTACTGGAATTGCCGAGTGAATTCGCTGTACATTAAACACGTGTAATGAAGATTGAAATGTAGAAATGAAGATCTAACTGTAGAACCAAAGATGCCAGAATATGTAGTTGAGAGCCATAATCGATCGGAGTGTTTGTATAAACGCGTATTTCGCACGACGATGATTACAACGTTGACGACAAAATATCGAATCATCGTAACTACACTAACTACGAAACACATCTGTATAAAATAGTTCCAATGGGAAGCAACTGTGTATGTAACTATCGGGACATTGTTAATCTCTTCGATAACATCGGATGACACGACTATGCAACATCGATCGTGTACCCATCCAACGTTCTCTTATTCTTCTGTCTCGTTGATTTGTAATTTTCACAAGACACGTATGAAAGTTTGGAGGCCTACGCAGGCGGGCAAAAGAGATACGTATAGAAGAAAAAAAGAAACGAAGACGGGAAAGAGAAGTCGGAAACGTTAAGACTACCAGTGTGGCCGTTACAACCATTTCCATATTTCGGCTAGCACCACCATTTCCACCCCACTTCTTCCGGTACTACGACCACTACCACTGACAGCATGTTCGACGTCGACGTCGACGTCGTCGGCGGTGGCGGTGGCGGTAGCCGTAGTACCGATGGCGATGGCGGCAGCGTCGGCATAGGAGGAGATTGTGGAGGTGGAGACAGCGGCGGTGGTGGCGGTGGTGGCGGCGGTGGTAGCGGCACCACCACCGACGTCACGAACAACTTGGTTGCTTTCGCTCTCAGCGTCGCTGTTGCCGTTGCCGTTGCCGTTGCCGTTGACCGTTGCCGGTACCGGTACCGGTGCGCAGTTGGTGCTCGCAGTCAGTGTTAGATGGTTGGAAGGAAAGCGGAATCGGCAGTGGTGTAGCGACGCCTACAGACGATAAACGTGATTCGTCCACGTGCTTCGACTTTGACGCTCTGTTCAGACACCGATATTCGTACATCTACGACCGCAGGATCTTGGATTTGGGTTCGATCTCGTCGTTTAGCCTGCATTATGCTGATCCAGTGATAATACAAACGGGCGATGACGATTAAGACCGCGCAAAACACAATTATCAAACGGTATGAACGTCGTGTTCTCAGTTCTTTCTTACAATTTGTGACGATCGTGTATAAATAGTAAGAAGCGTTTTTTGTGGGGAACGGTCCGAAGACCTTAACCTTGAATATAAATATTTGTGGTTTGTAACGAAGAGAAATCGTAAGAAAGCTGAAAGGATGACCCAATTAAATATCTTTCGTCGCGCTATATTCCTTTGGAAGATGCAACGATGCATTCGGAACATATTCGATTGAGTAAACTTTCGCTGATTATTACCGGCACGATAGCTGTCGCACGATGATTGTTTATCGCGAGAGTGCGATTCTTTTTGCGTTTTGAAATCTTTCTTACGATTATCGTGGAGGAAAAATTGGAAATCGATGTCGCGTTTTCGTAGTGTATCGGGCTAGGATCGGGAGAACTGATACGCGTGCGTGCGTGCGTGTGTATTGAGTGTGCGTACGTGCGAGCGCGCGCGCACTCGCCCGCTCGCTCGCATTCCGAGTTGATTGTGTATATCGATCAATCCTAGATCGATCTGCAATTCTCCGATGATAGAACCGGTTTCTCGCCACCCAAACGATCGATTTTCTTCGCGGAAGAAGAACCCCCGTGGGGCACACTGTAAACAGAAAGATTTGCAAAGAAGCTGGTGAACTGACAGGGTGACGAGCTCTAAGCTAACTACTGGCGGAACAAACGAGAAAATGAGCGACGGCATTGTTGGTGCAATCGCCATTAGTTTGTTCGGTACTGGCTGTTCGCGAGAGTCGAAGCGCATTTCCGCGGGGCGGCCGATTTTCATTGACGGAAGCCTCGTTCCTGGAAGCGAGAAGAAACGTCGGGATAGTATGGATTCTGGTTACACGATCCTTGGCAACGATGTCGACGTTTGCAGAATGTTCGATCAATTCGCTTACAAGGTAAGTTGTTCGCTGTATACGTTACGAGAATTACCGTTTCTGTCGAGACTTTCGCGGAATCCCAGAAACAGGACGGGCAGAAGAAAGTGGAAACGGAAAAACGATTTCATTGTATGTCACCGAATACGTTTCAGGGTCCGCGCAAATCGCTAGAACTTAACTCGTTCCTATCGTAATCTTTCTGGCCTGTTTTTCTCGTCTCGGTTGCAATGCTTTCCAACCGTCAAGTGAAATATTCTGCACGCGTCATTTTCGCGTCTTTATGAAACAGTTTGAAAATCCGATTCGTTTCTTTCGGTTGACATGTCCATTTCCGCTAATCCGAAACGTTAGCAGACGTATACCGAAGTATCGAGTAGGTACCGACGCCACCCTTTGACCGATGTCGCCTGCAGCAGCCCCCCCCCCCCCCCCCCCCCCCGTTATTGCAACTCGGTTCTCCTCTGGATATTTCTGATTTTCATTCGGTCCTCTTTGCGATAGAAACAAAATGAAGGGGGTACGTTACGTGTTGCTATGTAGGTAGACAGGTATCCATAAGGGACTGAATAAACGTAGCCTGAAACGGCTTTAAAAAAACGAGGGCGTATGTCTGTGCATTGCGAACGGACCGAGCACGTAGATGGCCGACCGACCGCGACCGTGTATCCACATCTACTATGGTACCGTAACGGTGGGAAAACTTCCAATTGGTCATCTCCCTTTTAATTCTCGCACTCGGTTACACATCCGATCATATTCGGACAATGTAAATGCCTACACAATTATTAACAGGATATTACAAGATCGCGAGAGATTTGGAAAATTGCAAGAAAACGCAATCTAAGAGATTGCATTTGCTTTCTCTTTCGTGCGTGGACAAGGTATTACGGAGAGAAAGTGTGTCGCGGTATCGAAGGTAAAGGAGATCATAGAGGAAATCTTGAAAACGAGGAATCGATGTCCGAACACGAAGAAATATAACATACGATCCCGAAACATACATATCTATAGAATCGGTTGTTTCTCCACGGTATTTACCCTGGCGATGAATCGAAATCCGTTGTTGTCCATGCGCGACTGAGACACTGTTCATGGTTAGACAGAACTAGGAAAGCGACGAATCGAGATGTCTGCGAATACGATGAATCGGGTAACGCGCGAGAACAGTTAGAGAAACGAGTAACGTACTGGCACGAGTGTTTTAGCGGTAGACCGCAACGGGTAACCGGAGGCGAACGGTCGCACGGGTCGTGTACTGAGGTGAGGTGAAGTGAGGTGAGGCGAGGCGGCCGCAGGAACGGCCAGCGAGCCGGCCAGCGGGCTAGTCGATCGCAAAGCCACTGACAAAATCATGAGCCACTTGTTGATCGGCCAATGACCAATAGTATACATATACATCGAATAAGGTACTTTTTCGGATATGTCGTTTTATGAAAAAATCTAGTAAGTAACCCTGCAATAAAGCAACGCGTTTTTCGATAATTTGACGCTCGACAATTGTTAAATAATCGTTACGCAATCGAGAATCAACAAAAGAACGAACAATGTAATGCTTTTATTTTTCGACTAACAAATATTTCGCAATGCTGAGAACTGAAAAATCCTTGTAGCATCGCCCGAATACGAAGCAATTCCCAGGGGTTATTACATGACAAGTTTTTCTCGATGCGATCTACAGTCGATATACATATGTATGTATGTAGATACATAGAATGGGCATCGAGATGCGTGTATATGTATATGTATAATGTAATATTACTATACCAAAGGGATTTGTTACCACCAATCCGGTCCGGTTCGATTTTCTTTCCCTGCATTTCGACCAAATGTATGCATGCGCCGTTCTTTAGTTTTCATCGTTTCCGGCATTCTCGTTGTTTTCTTTATCCTTTGCGGCCCCGCATTGGCAACCATCTCTCTTGTTCCTGGTACCCCCGACCCTATCTTACCCTACCTAACCTTGCTTTACCCTACTCCATCCATCGTTCCCAACCTCGCGAGCCAGCGAACTCGCGGATCCTCCCCTTCCCAACGTTTGCCTAGCCTATTCCACGTTACTCATCTCCTCTCTGTACCCTCCCCTCTCTCTGACTTCACCCTAACTTCCCCAAGCCTCCCCCAATCTCCTGCTTGCGACCCCACGACCACCTCCAGCCTCCCTCTAACTATGTACATACATACCTCGAGCCTCACCGAGCTTCCCCGTGCACGGTTTCCTTCTGTTTCTCCCCCCCCCCCCCCCCCCCCGGCCACTCGGTCTCTCTCTCTCTCTCGTTAAATCAATAAGCCATTCGGTCTGTTGCCACACTAGCGACGGGGCACTTTGTCCGATTTTCTTTCCGATCGAATTCGAATTCGGGTTCGGTTTGACTTCCGGTTAGAATTGTCGGATTCGGATTCAGTGTTGAAGCCGCGGAAAGAAACTGAATCACACTCGAATCTGGGTCTGGGATTGATTCGTTACTCGATCAACGGTACTGCAACGATTCGATCGGGGCAGTTGATCAAAGACGACGAAAAGAAACAGAGTGCAAGAGGTAGGCAGAGAGACGCGTGATGACTCATCGGAAAATGAAACTAGGTTCGCTACGATGAATTCTACACGTAAAGAAGACAGAAGAATATATGTATAGATAGAAAAGAGAGTAGGTACACCCGTAGGTAGCGACTTGGCAAAACAAGCGAATAAAGCGTAACGGAGAACCGAGTTCGTTCGTATTCGAAAGTTTTTGTGCAAACTCTGCAGCGAGACAGTCGAATACAATAGCCGAGCAGAAGTTTCCGCGAAACTAAACAAGTTTATTTAACTTACCTCGGCACACCGGTTCCCACCCTTCGTATTCTCCCTCGACTCTCCTCCAGTCGCATCTCTGCGTGGAATCTACCCTGCGAACTCCTTCCCTCGATTTCTCCACCTCCTACCAACTACGGTTCTTCTTCGCCTATACGCCGATCGTTTCCTCTCCTCTCCTCTTCTCTTCTCTTCTCTTCTCTTCTCTTCGCAACCCACTCCTCCCCACTCCTCTTCGCTTCTCCTCTTCAATCACCTTTTACTTTTCCGCTTATCCGACTTGCATAGACCCGCCCCTGTACCTGCAATAACGGCAAGTTTTCCAAAAGTTTCCGACAGATTAACGACTATTGGAATTGTTCGAGTTATGGAAGAAAGAGAGAGGCACGAGTAAAAGCGAGGTTCCGCTGGTGCCTTTACAAACGAACGATACGGTCGTAGTGCCTGAATAACAAAATTATCATATCATTTCATCGATGGCACGGTACTGTTATATCAACGGGGTTGGTGGCGCAGGTAAAACTGCATCGGTAAGGAAAAAGGAAAGGGGACCAAGATATATCCGCGTATTATGACACGCAGTCAGTATCCGGGAAAATTGAATTTGACTTACGAAGAGATTGACCGCCCATTTTGTTGCATCGATCTCAAATGGCTTTTCAAACTATCATGTCGGTACGAATAGTGTCCCTTTTAATCACGAACTACGACGATTCGTCGAGAAAGATAGAGAGAGGTTCTTTTGCGATCGTCAAACACTAATTGTAATATCGGAACGAGTAATGTGCAACACATAGGCCGATTACAAATTCAAATAACGAAAAGGAAAAAGTAAGGACGAATAGAGAAGAAAATAGAAGGGAAAGTAAAGGAATGAAGAAGTCGAAGGAGGGGAGAACCTGCAAATGAAATGTTGTTTCAGAAGAAAATGGAGAGTTCGAGCAGAGTTGTGTGTACCATCTATGTCCACAACGGAATATGTATGTATATCTATGTATGTATGTATGTATGTATACTGCGAAATAGGATACATATTATATGTGCGTTGTATATCTTCTTTATGGCGACCATTAACATATTTTTTACTATGCGTATTACCATACAATAGCGGCGCAAATATTACAACTTATGGCTGTAAATCAAAACGCAGGATGGAAGGAAACGGCTTGGGAGACGGAATGCTGGGACGAAACGGAGGACGAAAGCGGGAATATGAAATGGGAACGGGAATGAAAAAGCAAATGAGGGAGAGTGGAGGAAAATTAAGGGAAGGAAAGGAGATGAGAGGGGAGAAGAAAGAGCGGTACGGAACGGAATGGAATGAAGCGAACAGCAATCGCGTGGTATATGTAAAATGTATCTATACTATGCATAACAACAAGAAGAACATGCTAAAAGTACAGTCGCTAGTAGAATAGGTCTTATCGTTTCTATCGCGAACAAGATACATATGTATCGAGACTACATACCTAGCTAACACTAGACAAGGTTGTCGCGTTAACGCGAAAAACGAGGGCGGAGTGTGCTCGCGTCGAGATACAGAAAGACGTAAGTTTGAGTTCTCGTTTGTTATCGGGCAGTGGTACAGGTACTAACAGTGAGTCACAGAAGTATTCGTACCCTCGCAATTCTTTAATTCGAATGATTAAAATTCTTTAACAATATGCATTCTGAAACGTTTATTAATAAGGATATATTGTGCAATAACGAAGAATTGTTAGTCTATGTTCAATAAACGATGCATCGTTCGAAAGCTTAGTTATTGCACTACACATCCCTATTGATACACATTTCAGAATATGTATTGTTAGAGAGTTATTAGTCATTTGAATTCAAGATCTGCGAGAGTAGAAATACTTCTGTGATTCACTGTATATCGCGTGAATCTAAATTCAATGATCATGGACCGCGAAAGTGTCGGATCCTAAGGTGATGGTATTTTTTGCACCATACAACGATAACGAAAGGACCTTGCGTTTGCTTGCCTCGCGAGTAGTCGAACCAACGAGTATCCTACTATGTATACCGTTCCTTTGAATGTCGTAATAACATTGTATCGCGTCGAAATGGAAACGCAGGAGAAATTTCAGATAATGCTCAATAGTAAATTAAGATATAATAACTTTCGTGAAAGTTGTACGACGGCGAAGAGATGGAGAGAAGAAAAAGACGATGGAACCGAGAGGGGCGAAGAGGCAGGGAACTCCATTAACTTTTATTTCTCTGCGAAAGTAACTTTGCCCCTTCCTTCCACAACCACTCGCCACCCACCACCCACCATACAACGTCCCGTCTATCCGTCCCTCCGACCGCTTCACCTCGTTCGCCTCCCTTCACCGTTCCGCGTACGCCGCGCCGCACGCCGTACGCCAATCCCTCCACCTCCACCACCACCTCTACCTCCATTCCCGTTTTCGTTCTCCTAGCACTGCACCTGCTTGCTCCTCTTCCATCTCGTTCGCTTCCCCGCCTTTTGAATCTCCACCTTCGCCACCTTCGCCACCTTCGGTAGGTGGTCGTCCCGTTTCTGCTTCGAGAGGATTCCCCACCGTTTCCTCGTTTCCCCCGACTCGACTCCCACCGTACCCGATCTTGGAGCCCCTCGCAACCCCTCGCACCCCTCCCGCCTCGATGCCCACGATGCCACGGTGCACCGGTGAAACTTTGTAAAGCGACTTAGTCAAACTTTAATAAATTCCTTCGTGAAGTTTCAAAGCGGTTCTACGCGGGATTGCAAATGATTACGTTTCCTCGCGCGCCACCCTACCACTTTTCTATTTGAGGGATTAATAAAAAAAAAAAGAAATCAGGCTAAAACTTTATATGTCACTATAAAATTGCGACTACGGAAACGTAATTCGGAAAGGTTTTGTTATCCGAACGAAGAAAACAGTTGTTAAACTGAAAACTTGTCATTTTTTGTAGCGTCGCCTCATCTCATCTCGCCTCGACCCCCCTCGACCCGCCTCGTCCCGCCTCGTCCCGCCTCGTCCCACCTCGTCTCCTATCGTATCGCATCGTGTACGCGCATTCCCATGGCAACGATCTCAATCAGATAGGAAAATAGCAGAACGGAGAACAGAGAACGAGCTAGATAATGTATTCGATACAGGTAATATATAACGTTCCAGATACAATATTTATGTCTGGATGTATTTCGCTAGCAACCCATTATTCATTCTGTACCGGTAAATAAGAATTTCAGTGTATCGTACCATGTTCCGCTTTCTTAAAACTGACTCCGAATCGTTTAAGCAACAATATCACGAACAACTCCATATCAACACCATCGAGATTCAAAGTGTTATTTATATTTTTAACTTTTTAATACGATTATGATGCGATTTGATAATTGTTATCCTACAATAACGGAAATGTATTTTCTCGTGAGACATGTATACTATTTTAATCGATCTCTCGACGATTAGTTGTAAGGGAATGAGTTTTCAAAACGATGCAATGTACCACGGTATCGCATGCGTGGCTAATCGAAACAGAAAGATGGATAGCTCAAGGGAGAGATGGGAGGCAACGTGGAACTGGACAGTAACAGTGGTGGTTGTGGGGTGGTGGTGGTGGTGGTGGTGGTGGTGTTGGAGGTGGTCTTGGTAGTGGCAGTAGCAGTGCCAATGGTAGTGGAGCGATGGTGGTGGTGGTGGTAGTGGATAGTGGGCTGTAGAAAACCAGGGAGGTAAGCTTAGAACGGTCCGATCCGCAGGGTAGACAAGATTCACACTTGTTGCTCCCTTCTTGGTTGTAACGCGAAAAGCTCGTTTATCCGAAGAATTTTCTACGGTCAAAAGATCAAACACTCGTCACTCACGATACATTCTTCTTCTTCTTCACACTCGACTTTCTGCCACTCTATCATCTCTTCTTATTCCTGTTTTCTGTTCTTGTTCTTCGTTCACGAGCGTCTTGCTATGAATTCGTTGCTAGTCAAGTAGAAACTCAGCCACGCTTCCAATGGCATCGCTAGAGAGAATGCACGACGGAATAACTGTAGAGAGAATTATTATAGAATCGTGGAACGCGAAGGGAAGGGAAATCGCGGGAACGGAGAAACGCTCGCTTACCGTGACTGGTAATAAGAGATCTACGGGAGATAAGCGAACGCTCGCGTAATAAGTAAAACCGGTTTAAGAGACCGTCCAAGATAATAAGAATCGACGCGCACGCGGAATAAGACGAAACGCTTTTGTATGTTGCGCGACGTGCGTCAGTGGAACGCGAAAGTGCAACATAAGAAACTGATGAGACGTTTCGTTGGTGAGGAAAAGAGAAAACTGTTGTGCCGCAGATAAGCCTCGGGCGATTATCAGCTGTGCAAACGTTCGTCCAAAGAAATTTGTAAAATCAACATTTGTTCGAGGAGTTAAAAAGCACCGTTAATAGACCTTCGCGTATCCACCGGAGAAAGACAGAAAGATGTGGTTCTTTGCTTTTTATCAGTTTTAGTTTTTCGTCCATGCTTTCCTCGCGTCGCATACGGCTTAAAACGACGGGATTGATAGGTCATCAGGACCATCGGGACCATTGTAAGTAAGTACGTACCATATACTCGTCCAGGTTGGCCTGTTCGCTGCCGGAACGGTTGGCAAGCGTAGACCGGCTGTCCGGCTGTCTCGCTTTCCGACTAGGTATACCTATACCTTCACCCTTCCCTTTCCACCGTTCTTTTACTTATAACAGCTACCCGTAAGTAAATCCTCGCCTTGGTTGTCCACCTGTTTCGAGTACGATCTCCTCCATCAGTCTTTAGCGATTCGCAGGTTAGCTGTTTCGTTCAACTCGAACTCTCGTATTGTCGATGCGCTATTCCAACGGGGACAAAACGACACGACGAATAAAATTTCATGAATTTAATGCCGTTGGTGTATGTACATCTACACGTGTATTGAATACCATATATATGTATGTATATCGATTTTCGGTATACGATAATTATTTACTGTAACTTCGACTCCTTCGTAGGACTCCTCATTTATAGCATCGTAGACGGTCAGCTTAGAGGACGTTTAACCTTTTCGCAGCATCGAACGAAGCACCTCTACTCTTCGTTACTCCGAAATTCGAACGGAACTCGCAAACTCGCAACACTTATTATCTGAAAAAACATAGTGTAGTAGCCTTTTGAAAGTTTCACGGAAAAGAAAATACACAAGCGATAGGTATAGGTAGGCCTGTTTATTTTCATTTTTCTGCAACGGATTCCCCACCCTTTCTTTCCCTTCATTTTGCAATTATTTCGTTCACTGTTTCACCAGTTTTCAACACTTTTCAGGCGTTTCGTCAGAAAAATCCTTACCTTCCATTATTTCCATGAGTAGCACACCATTCACGCTGAATACGACGGCAACCGAGATATGTATGTATACATATTCATTGTCAGATATATTGTACAACGACCAACTGGATAATTGTATGTCCCAGAGTATCTGCTACTACGTATATGTATATGTACATACATACGTATATTAGGATTATTTTTCTCGGTTAAATTAACGCTCGAGTGAACCGCAAAATAATATAAATTTAAAAAATTTTGGCCGCGGCCCGACTGGCTAACTATGAGTAGGTATATAAATTGTACCACAAAACTTTGTCGGGGCTCCTCGTTTTTCTCCACCTACCTAGATTAATCGTTTCCTCTCAGTTTTCGGTTCCGTGTTCGTAACTAATCGCAAAAGAGGTAGCCCAATCAAGAACGTGTATTTTTTTCGTAATCTCACACATGTACTGTATGTGTGTATACCTGCTTGCTTTCGCTTTTGGTAGATAGAAAGTATCGCACAAAAAATTATGCGGTGCAAGGAAAAGATACACGAGCATACACTCGATTATTTCTCGATTATTCTCTATCGATATTTTCTCTAGAGTCTAGAGTCTAGAGAATCGTTGGTGCGATCGTTGCTGAAATCGTATTTATCGCAGTCGCGATATACACGACCGCGTCTCGATCGCGTAACAACCTCGTTCGAGTAAATTGTCGCTTACCGCGAATATAAATATACGAGAACATACGTTAATACGATTGGAATGCCACTGAAATTAAAGTTACCTTTCACAGGAACGTAACGATTCTTTATAAACTCCGACGTAACCCCCGCTTCCTCGAGTTCCCGTGCGTCTCGCGCCCCCACTCCAGCTTAGCTGTTCACCGCCGCCGCTGCCGTGGCCTACTTTCTTAGAATATTCGAGTAACCGAGCGTCGATAGACAATACTGCGTTAAATGCGCACAAAACCGACCGTTTTTCCTTCGAACGTTGTTTCGCCGTGCATCGCCCATCCACAGTACCCTCGATCATTGTTCATTGCCGAAATCTTGTATGAATGAATAAATCGGAGATTCGATAACGCGTTTCTGGCCCTCGTTTCCATTTTTCTGTCTTGGTTGATTCGTCTCCATTCAGCTTTTCACGAGTGAGAACGTTTTCCTGAACCTTTCTACATACCTACATATGTATTTGTAGTTGCTTTCTGGTCACTTTTCGCCCCATCAGCCACATTGGACACGGCGAGTCTCAATTCACAAATCGCGAATTCTCTTTTCTCTATCCACTATACAACCGACCTTTTTCTCACCCCCCCCCCCCCTAACCCTAGGTTGTACTGTCAACTGTCAAGTCGCTCCCCTCCTAGTATTCATTCTTCCCCTTTTTTTTCCATCCTGGCGTTCACGAGTCGTTATCTGTGCCACGAAATACGTATGCCATTGGATCGAGTATCGATCAGAAGAGGTCGATCAGAGATCAGAAGAGTATCGATCAGAGATCGATATATCGGTCAGAAAGACCGTTCGTTCCATCCAGTTCCAACGCATTTAGAAAATTTGTTCGGTCTCTGGTCTCTGGTCGTATGGTAGGTCGTTGCATGGTACATATCGTTTGGTTAGGAAAGGTTGGGGCGCGCGCACGTCAACTCCCCTGTCGGGAGATTCATCCCCACCAAAAACGCGTGCCACGAACCAAAGCTTCTTCAATCATTCCCGCGCCGGCCGCCGCGAGGAGCGCGTGTCGTTTTGCCACGCTGTAACCGGTTACGCCACGAGTCGAGTCGAATCGAATCGAATCGAACTGTATCGAGGCGAACCGAGTCGTTGTATACGTTGTGGAGGAATTCGAAACTGAATCACGCGTTGTGTTGCAGTCTGCTGGTTGTATACGTGTTTACCTGCAGCACAACTTGACGATAGATCGCGAACGTGCGATATCATCCGTGATATCTGTTGTCCGAAGAGTGTCGGTAAACGTGCCAACAATCGAATTACGAAGAAACGTTTGACCGAATTTTTTCGGTTTTTACGATCGGGCATTTCGAGTCCCGTTCAATCGTCTTCTTCTTTTTACCTCGACGCGACGAAAGATCAACGACTCGTTACGGTGTATATCAACTGTACCTGTAAGTCACACGTGCATTCAATAACCTGGATTTCGCTTCGTCATATGCTCGGCGATTCATCTGTACGGTAAGTCGATGACATTCACTACTTCCATTGATTACACTGCTTTTCTCGCGAGTGTTTTTTTCTCCCGAATTTACCATGAATCACGTTGCCACCATAACATGAGGTTACGATTAGACGCTGGAACAAGCAATCGGATGTATTTTCTCTCGAAACATGCTGGGGTGTACATGCATATGGCGCCACCTCTCGAATATTGTACAAACTGTGCGTACCACGCCAGTTTTCGAAGGGGGAATGAAGCGTTTTCTCGGTCTTTTCATTTTTTCCATATCCCTCCGTTACGAAGGTTTTTAAGGAGTTTCCGTACCTAAGAAGAAACAAGAAACACAGACAGTTTTCTAAGTTTGTTCTCCGATAAAGCGGTAGATTACATTCGTATGCACAAACGAAGGATTTTTTACTTTCTTTCCAGGAAAAGAACTGAAGATTTTTTTTTTATTTTCTTGAACGGCTGCTTCTGCGAAACACGGAACTGAACGCATCGAAAGAAATTGAGAATAGCGGTACAAGGAAAGCAACGAATAGTAAATTACAAAGTATAATGGTATAGAGTATGCTGCAGCGGGGATTGGAGAACAAAATGGTGTTGGTTCGGGGAAGGTGGCGGGGGCCCCGAAGGGCGGCGTGTGGGGGGGGGGATGGAACAGGTTTAACATCGGTTAGATCGAGTAACAGACCTGTTCAAATATATCTATTAGATCTCTAGCTATTCACCTCGTTCTTTTCTTTTCTTACTAGCTCGAGCTTGCCTTACTTATTCCTAAACTTTCTCTTTCGTCGCAAGATAAATTACGAGAAGCATCGTTTCGAGGTTTACAGTGATTCGTAATCAATGGTAACAAAAACGGAGAAGCGTAATATGTATATACCTTTCGATCAAGCAATACTTTCGCAATTCTTTTTTTCAAAGATCTCCGAAGTTAAGGTCTTTCGCGAAGTATTTGTTTGCGATCGATACAACACAGAGAATCATTCGTTTGACCAGACGAAGACTAAAAGAAACAAACGTCCGTTTGTCGGTGTGTGAACATTTTCGGAATGGGTAAATGTTGCGTTGGTCAAGTGTTTGTGCGTGTAACGTTACATATAAACAACAGATACATCAGATCATGGAGTGTATACTCGACGATTACAACTTCATATCGCCTTAGCTCTACTCGCTTTTGTTGACTGGTGCGTGAGCATGCGTTCAACCACCCTATCTACCGTCTAACTTACCTACCTACCTACCTGTTCACTTTCTTGCCTACCTACCTACCTATATACCTACCTACCTACCTACCTACCTACCTACCTACCTACCTACCTACCTACCTACCTACCTACCTACCTACCTACCTACCTACCTACCTACCTACCTACCTACCTACCTACCTACCTACCTACCTACCTACCTACCTACATAACCCAGACCTACCTACGTACCTACCTGTCTGCCTGCCTGCCTGCCTGCCTGCCTGCCTGCCTGCCTGCCTGCCTGCCTGCCTGCCTGCCTGCCTGCCTGCTGTTGCTTCTGTGAGAAAAAGGAAAAGATGTACTCCTCACGCACTTTGTATAAATTGATTGTTTTTCAATTGTTAAAATTATATTTGGATTAATAACGAACGATTAATCGTTCGTGTGGTTCTGACAAGATAAATACGTGCGCGCAAATGCTACGTCCAATAATCAATTGGGTTCACCGTTTAAGAACCCCCTTAATGCATCAGACCACTTGAGAATACGACTGGGCAGTTTTTTGGAGATGGCGTGTTCTGACACCTGTTCGTCGCGTTTAGATGAAAATCATGTTCGCCGAGAGACGTATTCTGGTGTACGATGATCGTGGATCGTATCGTCCGTAGTCCAGATAACGAGAAAGGATAAGGCCAACGAAGAAAGTGTCTGTGATATTTCACTCCCATGCGATACCGCCGACCACTTGGTATACTTGTTCAAGGGACGCTGAAAGCGTAATTTTTGCTTGGTATTGCCGCGACGATCATAGCTATATAGAACTCTAGAATTTGATCGCGTTTTGTTTGAAGAAATTCGGTAAACTGAAAGGGAAGCGTAAAGGGTCGATGACCGCGGAGGAATGCGAATAACACGTTTGGTCGAGGGTGGGTAGCGTCGATGGTGGTGGAAGCAACGACGGTAACGAACGTAAGGGGAGGTGGGTGAATCGAACCCGAGACGCACGTTCAAACCTAATAATATTTCAGGCTCATGGTGGTTGTATATTGTTGTCGAATGAATGCGCGTTTAATTTTTCCAATCGTTTTACTGGAACGAAACATGTTCAACAAGTAGTCGCAGGTAAGTAAGAATCGAAAGAAATAAAACCGGTCATCATCGAATTGTTTGTCGATGACAGTACCATGCGCGCGAATCAACTATGAATCTGCCGTGTTACCTTGGAAGACCAAATACGTGAATATCGGATACGATGGTACGCGTTAAGTGAAGTTCGGAGAGCGTGTTAGAGCATCCGTGAAAGATGATTTCGTCGTGTAAACGATGACACGCGAAGAAGAGCGTGAAGGAATATTGCGCGTTTTACCTTGCATCGTTTCGCCTCCATTTTCGGCCAGCACTGACGGCTAAACGTCGTTTGTCTGTTTACAGAGAAACGAGAATCTCGATTTCGCGCTGAACATATCGCAGTCTCATCATCCGGCGTCTTATCATCAGGACGGTTACGCCATGGCCGATCAGGTGAGTTTCGGTAATTTTTAGGGAAATCTAAACGAGGATTCGAGGAAGGAACACGACGCATTTCTTGTGTGCACACGCGTTCCTTCGCGCTAGCGAGGGCGATCTTGCCTCTCGTAACATCAGACGCATCCCCGAGAACCGGTCTCTCTTCCTTCCCTCGCACCCACCCATCCATCCATCCATCCATCCATCCACCCACGCTCCATTTTTCCGAAGCTGACTTCGTTTAGAGTTTTTATAACGATGCGCGTCATTCTTTAGCTCGGATCGAAGTGACCGAGACATAGGTCGCGGAATAGTGTTTGGTTCGACCGAAATCTTGGAACGCATCCCCCTTCAATCGGCCGACAAGCACATTGGCATCGCGAATCGACCGGTGTGCCTATTTACTCCGAAAGTGTCGCATCATCGGTGCGTCCACGTGGCGTTACGGTTTTCTTGCTAGCACGCGTAAACGATAATGTTCATTCACCCACACGTCTCGATGACGATTGTCCTCGTTACAACCTTAGACATTAAAATGATTGTCTTTCGAAGAACAAACGGGAAGAAGAAGTCTTGTACACGAATCTGCCTTTTCGCTTGGATGAGGTTCGAAGAAACCGTGCGGTCGTATTTTATCTGTCCCAATGAATGGAAGCGTGCTACGTTTCATTTGGAGAATTCCTGGAGCCCAACGGTCGCGAATCTGCTTGTGGGAGTGGGTATGTGACGTGTGCGTGTGCGGACCAAGTAAAAGTAAGAGCTGGTTCGTAAAGCTCTAAAAGGTACAAAATTGTTCTGGCTTGGCCAGATAGGAGAAAGAGGTAGTAGTGGAAGCCCGATAGGGGCAAAGAGAAGAAAAGATGTGAAGAGAAAAGGAAAAGTTTGGAAGCATTGGAAGAAGAAGATGGATAGGTAGACGTGTAGTCGATTTGGCGGAGGTGAAAATGGGTTTCGGTGAGTTGGTTCGTTCGAGGAGAAGAGTAGAAGTAAGGGTAGTTGAAATAGGACGGAGTACGGTATGACGGCGCGGTATGTATATATGCATATAATACAGTACAGTACGGGACGGGACGGGACGGGACGAGTACGATGTACGCGGTGCACATACGGTGGCGGAGGGGTAAAGCGCGCAACGAAAAGGGACAGGAGAAAAGAGGAGCGAGTGCGCAACGATAGAGTAAGAGAAACATACCGCGAGTTAAGGGGTAACGCGATGGGCACGGAGAGAAGGGAAAGGGAGGCAGAGGTAGGTGTACTCGATCAATAGGTAAGTACGTTCCTTCAAAGGAAAATTCGTAACGCTATTAAATACAATTTAAAAACTTTTATTCCCCATGACCCGGCACGCACGGCGAATTTATTTTCCTTCGTTTTCGTTCTCCGTGTTCAGGGCCCCGCGCCACGTGCCTCGTGCTTCGTATTTCGATAAGGAATAAACGGCTATAAGGAATTCGAATGATACTAGGAACGCCTGTAACCGTTGGAGAACGGCGCGATGAGCGAGAAGCGCGAATGAGGCGGCGGAACCGGAAACGATCCGAATTCGTGAACCAGTCACGCGGTACGCGTATTTTTTCATTCTTTTGATCTTCGTCTTTGCTACTAAAGCTCTTCCTGCGTACCTACACTTTGATTCACCGGTCCGTACAGACCGCGATTTTTCGACATGTTCGGCTGTTCAGCAACTTTCTTTTTTCTCGTAGACCTTTCACACACCCAGCTTCGGCGACGAGGATTTCGATATTCCGGCGATTCACTCTCACTCGCATCAGCAGCAACAGCAACAGCGACAACAACCGTCGCAGCAACAAACTCAACACGATCCGATGCACAGCTACCAGGCTCAGGTGAGTTTCGTCAACGGTGAAAACGTCGAGAAACTGCGAAATCGCGTCGTCAAATGCTTCGAATTCCCTTTTACTGGTTTCGCAGATAATGCAGTCGGCAAGTGGCATTCAGCGGTCTCCGGATGGACTAAATCTGGACCCCGGAGGATATCAACAGTCACTTTATCTGCAACAAGACCATGCGATGCAACCAATCAGCGTTAGGTGAGCACGAACCATTCGATTCATGTTGAATCAGGATCGGTAACAAGTGTATCTATCGCGAAGCGAAGCATACAAGTAGAGTCGAAAAGAAAAATAATAAAAAAGGAAAAGTTTTGAAGGTTGAAAGGTGCAAAGAAAATAATAACCGATTGTGGTGGCGGCGGTGATCGTGGATGCAGGTGGTCGTAGTTGCTGGTGGTTCCATAATATTATTCAGTCGACCTCAAACGTTTTATTAATTACGCATATTTTTTTTCTGTTGCTTTCAGCTCGACGTACAGTAATTCGCAAAGTTCCTATGCGACAATGAGCTCACCTCGTCAGCAACACGGAAATCAACAGATGATGCTGATACAGCAGCAGCAGCAGCAGCAGCAGCAGCAACAACAACAACAACAACAACAGCAGCATCAACAAGCTCAAATGCAGCAGCATATGCAGTATATGCATAATCAGCAGCAGCAACAACAATTACAACAGCAAATACAGTACCGAAGTCCTACGGGAGGTAGTCCGCCTGCTGTTCAGACGAGCACCGTACTTGAACCAAACAACAACACTACTACCAGCGAAGATAGCGACGATAGTACGCCTCACTCTGGAATGGTAAGAACGGTTGGAAACAAGCATAAACATTCGTACGATTAACATCGACAATTTCTTCAGATTACAGGAATAAAACGACCATCTCCGGAACCAACAGATGTTGGAGCAAAACATCAAAGAAAACCAAAGTCGCAGAAAAAGAAGAAGAAGAGGGATCCTAACGAACCACAGAAGTAAGTATCGATCGCGTTCGAATTCGTTGCAGGTCTAGGTTAGGCGAAAGAGAACCTCGCATATAACACTACTTGCATCCAAGGAATTTTATTTTTTCGCTTTTTTACTTACTTTGATTATTTTACATATTTACGTTTGTCGGTGGTTATTTTTCAGGCCCGTGTCGGCGTATGCTCTATTCTTCAGGGACACTCAGGCGGCGATAAAGGGACAAAATCCGAATGCAAGCTTCGGCGAGGTGTCGAAAATTGTCGCTTCGATGTGGGACGCACTCGAGACAGAGCATAAAAATGTAAATACATGTACAAAATGACTGGTTCATCCTTTTTTTTTCAAAGCAACCGTTTCTCGGCGAGGAGACACGATTCGTGTACGACAAAAAGAAATGAAAAGAATTGTAGGGTAAAGAGAGAGTCCGTTTTGGGGGGTCAGCCTGAACGAGGTTCCCGTCTTTTCCATTCCGCCCTTATTTACTGGCCACCTTAACCATCTACTTAATCAAAACCATGATATGTTTCTAGGTTTACAAGAAAAAAACCGAAGCGGCAAAGAAGGAATATTTGCAGGCTCTTGCGGCATACAGAGCATCTCTGGTAAGCAAAGGTGCAGTCGAGACCGAGCAACAGCAGCAGCAGCACTCTCCACAGCAGCAGCAGCAACAACAACAACAGCAGCAGCAAGTTCAGTATGCGGCATACAGCGGCTATGCTGGAACTGGAACACCCGTAAGCGTTTCGTATCAAGTCTACAGTCCGCAACCTCAACCGTCGTCGCCTCAGCAACAGCACACACATCCGCATTCGCATCAGCATCAACATCAACACCCGCATCCGCAACAGTCTCAACAAATGCAAATGAAAAAGTCCCACCACCATTTAACGATGCCAGGGAATCCACAACAGCAGCAGCAGCAAACGCAGCAGGTAATTCACCCCTTCTTTGCCTCCTCTTGTTCACAGTTCCAATTACGTCTGTTTCCCTTTCAAAAATTGTTGCGTATTCAACATTTTCGAAACAAATCATTCATCGTCGCACGTTAACTAGAGTTTGCTGACCAATTCGATGGTGCCGACTCATATTACCCAGCAATCGCAACAATCGCAACCTCAGTCGCAACAACAGCAGCACATGCAACAGCAAGTTTCACAGCAGCAATATATGCAGGTTAACGTTTACAACGTGCTCCCTATATTTTTTTCTTGTATACGCGTGTAATAACCTTTACGTTACCGGCGACTATAATCTCACCCGGATAAACGTTTCGTTGCCAATTTTCCAGGTGTCGCAACAAGTACAACAAGTACAAGTGCACCAACAATCACAGCAGCAACATCATCATCATCATCATCAGCAGCAGCAGCAGCAGCAGCAGCAGCAGCAGCAGCAGCAGCAGCAACAACAACAACAACAACAACAACAACAACAACAACAGCAGCAGCAGCAACAACAAATTATGCATCCGAGCCCGCCGAAAGGAGATTCGTTGTCGAACCCATCGCCGGTTGGTAGCACGGGTCAAGCGACCATAGCCGGTCAAAGACCTGCATCTAATGCTTGCATACGACACGGATGTCCGAATCCTGCGGTAGCGAACAGCGAGTGGGAAGACGAGTACTGTAGCAACGAATGCGTGGTTAGCCATTGCAGAGACGTGTTTACCACCTGGGTTTCTTCGAATCAGAATCCGCAGCAGAATTTTTCGACCGTCAAATAAGAATATCTATAACCGGGGTAACATGACTATTAGAACACGTTCGGTTGTCGTTCGTACGTTCGTACTCGATACAAGCACGTCTAACGTATAGTGTACATACATTGACAAGGAGATTCGCGTAGAATCGAGCAACCCAAGCTGATAACAAGAACCTCAACTGGTACCGTGCAGACATTCGCGCGGCTCGGCAGTAGGCTTGGTCGCCCTTATCTAAACCTTTCTCGCGTATCCGATAACAATTAAATAATATTTTTTAGCCCGAATTTCGCGAATAACAGTCCCAACGGAAGACTGTCCGTAGTTTCATGTTCGAGAACAAAGAAACAGTTTTGCTCGTCGAAGGATTCAAGTCTTGTACCAGTTGTCACGAAAGAGTATTAGAATCGCCAAAGTAGCCGATCGAATCGAGCTGTAGTTCCAAGACGTTCCCGTCATCGTCGTTGTAGTCGGTCTCTCTCTCTCTCTCTCGCTCCTCCTCTATCTTTTACTTGGTCTTCTATTTCTTCTCCTTGCCGCCATTGTCGCGTCTTGTCCGACTTGACGTGCATTCATGTATACGCGAACAGGAATGAAAGAACTGAGAATCGAGTGTAAGGAAAGTTGTATTTTTAACCGTTTCGTTTGAAAACTGTCTATCGGTGGATACAAAGTTCCCTACGCATACGCTTGTAAGAATATGTGTCTTAGAAGTTGATCTCAAGAAAAACCTAATGCTTTGGGTTGTGGCAATTAATGTACCGAACAACGTGCACTCTCGTATGCGTCTCGAACAAAACACACGATCCTGTACGATACGGTTGCCAAATTCCGAGCACAAGATCGCGTATCGCTGACGCGCACTCGGTTTCAAGTTCTTTCGCAAATCCATCTAGGAGATGTGTATCGAAAGATTAGTTCACCGGAAACTTTCGAAAACAACGTATAATTCGGTTGCGTGCTCGATGGAAGAAGAACGACAAGCACAGATTTACGACGCAATTTATTTTTGTATAATTTTACAAGTGATCGGTGCAAATGTAGCAATACACGATTTATTATATAAATACAAGGTATCATACCATACCGATACGAGAAAGCGAAGAGGAACAGCGTGGTTAATCCGATGCTAAGTGGATGTTTCATCGTTTTTTAGTCGGTTTATTCGTTGACGACGAATGATGATGCGCGATTGCAAGAGTAGCGAACACGTTGACCTTATTTATTTTGAAATTCGATAAGATCGCTTCGGTCTACGTGGACGTAACCTCTTGCAACATACGAACCGCTGATTGCTTGGGCTCGTAGGGCAAACTTGGTAGGCAGAGCGACCTTGCGCGATACCGTGCACTAAATCAACCGCACTCCATGGCAGTCTACGTATGTTCACTCGCGCGTATAAACTCTCGTCTTCTCGCCGGTGATTCTACAATTTCTGATCTTTGAAAAATGAAAGATGGGAGAAACAAGGACACAACGTTTGGATCGTAACAAAGGTTTTTAAAAACCATTTTTTTGTTTTCAATATCCTTGTACATAAGTGAAGAAATATTTCATAGATTTTTAAGGCTCCACGATGTAAACATAATCGGTAGTGTACCATACTCTGATAACAAACATCGATATATCATAAAAACGGCATATAAAATATACATATAAACACGAGACCGATTGGACACTGTACACGTATATACACAAGTATGTACCGTCTCTCTTCTCTCTCTCTCTCTCTCTCTCTCTCTCTCTCTGTGTGTGCGTGCGTGTGTGCTGCTGCTGTCTCTCTGTCGCGCGCCTCGTGTGTTGTGTATTTACGTACGTGTATATGTGCATCGTGAGACTGTATTGTGTGGTAACACTGGCACAAGCACCATACATACAGCTGGTGTGTGTGTGTGTGTGTGCGTGCGTGTGTGTGTGTGTGTGTGGTGTGCGCGCAAGAGAGAGAGAGAGAGAGAGAGAGAGAGAGAATGGGAGAAGAGGATAGACACAAATGCAAAGTTTAAAGACTAATTGCGCCCTTTTGTCGAGCTGATTCGAACAAAGGTAGGTTCACGTAATTGAAAGGGAGAGAAAGTCAGGACGTCGTGACCGATGTTACGGAATAAAAGTATTCTTCCCGTGTTAGTCGTAATCGTGTCGATCTGTGTACTAAAAGAGAAAGGAAAAATAGAAAAAGAAGAAAATAAATCTAGAAATTCTTGAATTACTTATCGTCGTATTAACACTTTGCGAGGAATGTACATAAGTACACAAACATTTGAAACGGGTTTTACTTTATGTTGTATTGATTTCTGTACAAAGATACGATTAAACATACGTCAGTGTGGAAAATGCATAACCATTTCGGGATGGTGGTGTTGTTTGAGAGGCGAGAAAAATTGCAAGAAATAATCTTGCCGTGAACTCTAGGGGCAGGAATCTGCAAGTACCGGTAACGTGTGTGTAACACAATGACTATACCTTTTATTTAAAGTTACTTTACGAGGTACATTTATATACATAAAAAATGTATGATTAATACGTTTAAGCTTACGCATTATAGACATTCGTACACGTGCAATAACGTAATTATAACATTTGTTTATCTTCAACTTTAGTTTCGTATTCTGGTTTCGATGCGAGTCAATGAATATACATCTAACTGTATCGACTTACTACGAACGATACCGGAATGTTGTAAGTTTCTTTGCTCGAAACTGATAAAACTCTCACAAATTATCAACAATTTCTAAACGACCGTCGTACGCGAACGGAACAAGTCGCAACGAATAGTTTGGTTGAGTCGAGTCGAAAGTACGTGAACGCGCGAATCAATGCGACGAATACGGGGGAACCGGATGATCGAAGAAAACGGAGAAGGAAACTGAAGCAATGATTGAATCGTGAACCGACGAGAAAAATGCAACGGCGTCGCCTGAACGGGAATCGAGAATAGCGATGGATTAGAAATAATCCTTGTCTACTTTGACAGCACGTTGGACGCCCTGCGAATGAGATTAAAAGATGGGGATGGTGAGAGAAGAAAGAAATATACAAATCGCAGGATCGTCGGAGATTAACCTCGCGACACGAGTCGACCAAAAAATTGCTTCGCGCTTGATATTTTCATAATTTTTGGTAAAAACACGAGACAATACACGGCGAACACTTGAGATTCTTACGGCCACACAAGCGTATCGATGCGCACACACTCCTTGTACTAAAATTCCCGTACACGGTGTCTTGTTTATCGCGCCACGCGTAATCTACGAAACTTTTTATTCACGTAAGTATATCCCACATACGTTATTTGCGACGTAAGAATTTGCGGAACTCGCTTGTCGATCGATCGACTTGTTTTACGTGATTTTGTGTTTTCGTAAAATGCACAACACAAAAATAAATGCTCTTCTATTTCAATTACACATCCGTCGTGCCCCCTCCCAATCCTCTTTCTCACACTCTCTCGCTCGTTCTCATTCACACACACACACACACACACACACACCCACCCACACATATGTATGCACGCGCATCATTTTCCCCGTTTTCGCGTGCACATATATCATTAATTAAACATAATTCATTAAATTTCTTCATTTGTTTTTACAAAATATCACAAAAATCACACCAGCCTTTGTTCGCGATTAAAACAACCAAATTTCGCTACTCTGTTCGACGGAAATAGAATCGCTGTATTCCCAATGATACTAAGATATCGTTTCTTGCATTTTCTTCCATTTCTCGGCTTTTACTATACGGTTGGCTTTCCCTTATCCTTACGGCTCGAGACTGGAGACGGCGTTATTATCCAGTGCAACGGGAAAGAAAGCTATCAAGATCCATAACACTACTGTCTTTTAAACGGATTTAGTTGACGATGCGGTCTGCAACGAGCGAAAAGCAATCTCGTATTTGCCGTTGATTCGTCGGGGGCTGTTGGAGAAGCATGCGCTCTCAGGCAAAAATAATTTAACAGGCTTTTCATCGGGCACCGTTTCACCGTCATTGGTGTTTCGGGATGAGCGAACTAACGGAGGTCTACCAGAGTAGTTCTTCTTGCTTCTCGAGATTCATCGAAAGCGTGTTCCGCCTAGCGAAAAGATTCGAACGCGGGGGGTCTGGTTCGTCTTGAGGGTTCGAAAAAGCGGATCGGAACCGGTAGACGAGCGCAGCAACGAGGGTACGATAAATTCGAAAGGAATCGAAAGGAATCGAAAGGAATCGAAAGGCCGAACCTGGTCGCGTACAGGGAGAACACCGGTGAGCGGAGAGACGTGGAAAAGCTCGGTAACATCGCGAGGATTTAAGCCGTTGACTGTACCGTGGCACTAGCTGCTTCTCGAAAACGATCGGTCACACGCTTTCATTTGCCGTCGTCTTGTTCCATGGGCTCCTCGGAAACTTGGCGGGAATGTTCCGGGGTAGTTCTGAAAAATCACCGATAATAGCAGGTACGTGTGTGTGTTTGTCGGTCGGTGTTAAATCCATAGAGGCTTACGTTAAATTAGTAGGCTGCTGCATCGAGAGAGAGGCCATCGCAGAGACAGTCTCCGTTTCGTCGCGTTCCTTTTGGCCGGCTTCGATCGCGCTCATTGGTATCGTATGAGCATTCAGCTTGACACAAGGCCAGTGTGATATCTGTATATTTATAAGAGATGACCGATTTTCAGTCGAGTAATACAACGGATCGTGCGAGTGGGAAGGAGAACAGCAGCATCGGTGGTGGAGGAGGTGAGCGACGGAAAATTATCAGAAGAATATTCGAATGAACCGAAGAAGGAAACGGTATGATAAAGCGGTGCCGGGTGTAGACGAACGATCGTACCTGGACGGCGATAGTTTTTTGTAGCGTGTCGATCGCGTTTTGACAAGGAATCCTGGTCAGTTCCTCTTCCCGAAGTTGGGTAGGCTCGTCACCGAGCAGAGAATTCCTGCGCGGAATCGCAGATTGCGGCCAAATCGTAGCCACCCTCGAGAGCGAGAACAACCTTGCCGTCCGCTAGCCCGAGCAATTGTTGCGTCATCTTTCCAAAACAGGCAGGACTAACCTTGTAGCCGCCGAGAGGGGCGGGATGACCGACGGCCGCGTCGAAGCCCGCCGAGACGAGCACGATGCTCGGATCGAACGCTTTCGCGATCGGCATGACGACCGTTCGGAAAGCAGCGAGATACTCGGCATCACCCATAGGCGGATCCAAGCCGCCGGACCAAGCCACGTTTATGTTATATCCTAGTCCCTCGCCGGCACCACACTCGGTCGATCCACCGGTTCCAGGAAAGAAATTACCTTCGTCGTGCCTGTGTATCGAGAGGTACAAGACTCGCGGATCGTCGTAGAACATCTGTTGCGTTCCGTTCCCATGGTGGACGTCCTAAGATTGAGAGAGAGAGAGAGAAACAAAAAAAGCGGGCCGCGGTATTGTAAGTATCTATATGGGCATGTGTATTTTGATCGTGATTCGGTTGGTTCGGACTCGACCGTTCTCGAGGGACTGGGTTTCGCGTCCCACGTCCCCCGTGGCCAGGAACGCGCTTGTCACTACCAAATGGAGGGAAGCGAGCCTTACCCAATCCAAAATCATGATTTTCCGAACGTCGAGCTTTTGTTGGAGCAACCGCGCGGCGATAGCGACCGAATTGAAGAAGCAGAATCCCATAGCTTGATTGGTTTCAGCGTGATGTCCCGGAGGTCGTACCACGGCGAAGCCGTTCTTAATGTCGCCCATGGCGGTTTTGAAAGCCAGATCAACCACGCAGCCTACGGCCATTCTGGCGGCCGGCGCGGTATTCAGTTCGTTCCACGTCGTGTCGGAATCGACGCCCACTCCGCCGCAAGGCAATCGGACGAAACTCTTGATCGGTAGCTGAGAGAGCTTCGAGACGTCCAACTTTTGCCGATTCATCGGATTCGTCCCTGCGCGAAGCACATTTTATTCTGTGTCGTCCGTGCGACACAAATGCGAGCAACTCGAGCGGTGCGAAAGAATCGAAGTGGGACGGTACCGACGTTCGAGGGACGAGAGACGAGAGAAACGTTAGGGATGTGATGGACGAGGAACGAGGGACGAGGGATATTCCGTTAAACAAGTAGGAAAGAATAGGAAGTCAGGAGCAAGTCCGACGACGAGGTTCGCGAACGAACAACTCACCAAAGAGAAGAGCGTGCGCCTCGCTGTGACACGTCTGGATCTCTTCGAGCGTCGCCTTGCGGGATCTGATCCGATCGCATCTCTGAAGCAACCCAGTCTCCGAGAGCCGAGCCCAAACGCTCTGCAATCTACCCCCGTGTTCGGGATGACCACGTACAGTTTCCCCGCAAACGCACGCGTGCTTCAGCATCAGCGGATCGTACGCCAAGCCCGTGGTGGGTCGATGGGAGGAAGTTCGCGAGAACAATTCGCCAGCTCCGGTTCCTTGAGGACCTGCGTGCGTGAAAAAAGTTCATTCATCCGTCGCGGGTTGGACGGTCGAAGGAGACGGGGTACCACAACAGCACGCCCTTGTCGCGTTCATAATTGCGCGTTCGGCTTACCCAGATGGACCAACGGACTCGAGAGCGCTCTGGACAACGGTCTGGCGCACGACTGACTGCTCCTACTGCCACCCTGAACCCCAGCTCCGCCCCCGCCCCCGCCGCCGCTTCCGCTTCCTCCCCCGTTTCCCCCACTGTAGGCCGTCGACGACTCGTTCGAGACTTGCAGCGTGTGCCTCATCATTAGATCCCTTTGCTGCTGTAGAAATTGCTCGCGATCCCGCTGTTGCTTGGAAATTTCGCTCTCTTCCGACAGATCTTTTTTCCCGCCTGTCAGATCTATTACTTCGGATTCTTCGGTCTCCGGCGCCTCGTCCAGCTGGTTCGCCTGACCGCGAGATCCGACTCGCGTCAATACAGTTTGACGTATCTGTTGCTTCAGGTAATTGTGCGCTTGCTGCTGGTCGTGCAGCTGTTTCTCTGCCAGGTACTCCTCGTAATGGGTTTGCGGTGTAATCATGCCGCCCTGCAGCATCGGGTGACCCAACGGCAACGGAGCGGACTGCGTTCTGCCTACGGAAACGAAACGGGAAAAGGATGCGCGCCGCGTGAGAAAAGTCCCAGAGAGATTTCTAGGAGAAAACTTAGTTTGCGGCGCGCGACCGTGCCCGTCGACACTCGCGGCGCCAAGGACCATAATATCGAGCACGTTTTGGAGCACGTATTCGGCGTTCGAGGGCGAAAAACAAGAATCGTGTCCAGGCGCCCGGTATCGAACACTTGCGAGCCGCGCTCTAAATAACTGGCTTCCAGCAAACAAAGAGAGAACATACTACCTAAAGGCCGGTGACCAGCCTTTTGCAGTCTCGCATGAGCGACTTGCGCATCCGTGATCGGTGACGTGGGCGTCACTGCCGCCGCTGCTGCCGCGGCCGCGGCCGCTGCCGCCGCCGCCGCCGCCGCCGCCGCAGCACCGTGATACACCGCGGCGTTTGAATGTTGCCTGTTCGTTACCGCCTGGTGCTCCAAATTTTGCATCTGTTTGTGTACGTAGCCGGAACTGGGCGCTTCCCCCTCTATCACCGTCAACGAAGGATAAAACGGCAATGTACCTGGGAGCATTTGACCGGTGAGCGATCCTAGTCTCGCTGTGAACGCAGCCCGTACTTCCGCCTCCGAGACGGTCGCCAATTTTGTGCCGGTCTAGGGGCCCCACAAAGAAAACGATACTTTGTCAATATCGTCCAACGATCTTGTGACTGTGACTCTCTGATCGGTGCTCGAGAACGTGAATATTACACACCGTGTTAGTTCCGGACGGGACGTGAGGTCTACCCAGTGATATATTTGGCATAGACGGTGAACTGAATAGTGAAAGATCCGAGAGGCTGCCTTGCTGGCTACCGCTTGTAAGAGGTCCACCGTAAGCAGTATTTTCGGTTTCCTGGAAAACACGAAAGGAACAGGAATGAAATCACGCGAAAACGACGCGTGACTCGTGGGGGTTCTTAACTTTCTTTCACGCGTCCCCTTCTATTGGCTGTACTCACTTCCTGTATCGCCGACGCGTTGCCTCCTGCAGTTGGACTAGCTTGAGAATTACCGACGGTCGGCGGCGAGTTAGGCCCCGACTCTGGGTTGCTGCTAGAATCTGAAAAAAGTTCGATGAGCGAGCGGCCACGTGGATATCGAGGAGTGCCTATGTAAAGTACTCCACGTGCGAGATAAAAACTCGAAAGAGCAAACTCGGATTTTCATTTTGTCCTCTTCTTCTCTTTTTTTCTCTTTCGAGCTTGGTCGCGGGAAGATGCGTTTCGTAGTTTCGCTGGACGAAGTGCGGTACACGACCGTTTAATACCCGACGCGAAACTAAGGCGAGACGCAGCAACCCTTTTAGCGATAATCTCGTGGGAAATGTTAATAATCGATAACGTTTCTCGTCGACATGCTGTTACTGGACACTGGCAGAAAGGCGAAAAATCAACGATCGATTAATCGAAAACACGGGTGCAAATAACCGTTTCCTAATGCTCACACGCAGGAAGTAGTGTCGGTAATTCGACGATCGATTGAAACTCGATTAAGCTCGATCGCAGAACGTACTTGCTAGCAGTGATTTCCGTTTGAGGTGCGACAGCAGGCGATCCTTCCGACGTGCCATCAGGGGCGAGTTTCTCGACGCAGCCATGTTCCTCTCCACGCGTTGCTTTAGTCGCACCTTCAGCAGATTCGGCTCCGAGGCTGGCCAATTTTAGCCAGGGTTAGTTGTTGTTGGTCGTCATCGTAACGAACCGGAGTGTAAAACGGTTGTGACAGATGCGGGGACACAATTAGGGGGAACAGAGACCGAAGGGGAAAGAGACCGGAAACCCGGGAGCGTGTCCTGGGATCGAGAGGCGAAAGAAACACGCAGACCGGAGCGGAAACGAAAAGATATGAACGGCAAGAACATAGGAAAATGTTAGAGACGAGACGGGACGAAATAAAACTTCAGGTGACAACAGACACCTTAGCGACAAGCAAGCGGACAGCCGACGTTTCGCGCGTTTCAGATTAACCGAAGTCACACAAACGACACGCGGAGTGACGCGGCGACGTCGTGCTTTCGCTCTTGCTCGTTCACCACGAACGATCATTCCTCGGAAAGCAGTTTTCACGAGGGCTAAACGTTCGCGGGTAATGCGTCTCGAAGATCAATATTGAACAGGAGGCGATCACGAATTTCTCAGGCAAGATCTCATTGGATCGCAAAAACCATGCTTTAGTAGGCATTCTACCGTACATAGGCACACGTACAGAAAGAGAACTAACGAAAGAAAGAAAGAATAAAAAAAAGAAGGGCGAAGAAAGAGTGGAGAGGAGATACTGGAAGGAAGCAAGGAACGAAGGTATGGACAGAAAGAAAGAGAGAGAGACTACTTTTTACCAAGTATGCGAATCACACTCGACACCACGGAATATTTCGTATGCGTGTATGCGTCTTCACGCGTGTACATACCAGTTTTTCGAAGAGGAAAATCGTCGGCGAACTTTTCCTGGAACATCTGCGGCATTCGATAGGGATGCGAGGAATTCACGGTACCCGACGATTCCGATTGCGCTTGCAACCTATCGAAAAATTGTTCGCTTTCTGTTCAGTTCTGCGTACCTATCGTACAGTGGCGACCGAGCAGTCGAAAACGATTCGAAATCGCTCGACCAGGGCTCGATCCCTCTAGTACACACTCCTATGCGTTCGACTCCTAGCGGATTTCCGAGAGACGAACCAAGGCGACGCGTAACGAGACGTGTACTCGAGGGAAATCGACAACTGAGAGGAGAAGAATCCGGGAACAAGATTCATCAACCTCGAGAAAATCTCACCAGCTCCTGTATCCAGGTGTGACAGGTACGGCCCCATTTGCTGCCGCGGCGGCCTCCCTTTGCTTCTTGTTCACGAGGAAACTCTGAAATCGTAAAAAGTCGTAAGGAATAGGTTCCAAGAAGATACCTACACGCGTGCAACGTGCCTGTCTCTTTTTCTGTGTTACATGGGAACATTCCGAAACCGAAAGTTTTGACTTTTAACGAAACTTCGCATGATTGTAGTAGAGTGGGATGAATCTTTTATGGTCTACGAAACATTTGCTACGCTGCGCGTTATTCTTGAGATGGAATAATTTTGTTTGTTAATTTGCATAGAAAAATATTTCAGTTTACTCTACATTCATTCGAAATTTTGTTAAAAATCGGAATTTTTGGGTTGGGAGAATGTTCCTTCGTGAGCCGAGAAACGAGCCGTCACTCACCTACCCTCTGTGACCGTACAATACAGCAACGTGAGCATGCCTGGCATGTTTATTCGCAACGGTAACTTGATCGATGCATCGAATTTTTCTCTTTGTTTTCTTCCTTTTCCGATGCACGATGCACGATGCACGATGCACGATGCACGATACACGATACAAACCGCCTGGTTTTCCCCCGAGTATACAATAACTAGCGTCGCGTCGTTCAGTCCTCGGACGTAAATCGAATTGAACCGCGTCGCGTGGCTACCATCGACTCGAGACGATCGAACACCCCCGCGCGACATTAAAGTACCTGAAGCCGTTGCTTGACCTCGGTCGAGGCGATCGCGCTGTGGTCGTGCTTGTCCTTCTTTCGTAGAGCTTCAAGCCTCTCCTTCTCTCTTCGTTGTTCCTCCAGTTGTTTCTGCTGCTCCCAGAGCTACGGATGATAAAACGAGTTGGTAAAGTAAGAGAACTGTGTAAAGGCTACACGTAAAAAAGGAAAATAAAAAGAAAAAAGGAACCGAGGTGGATGAAAGCGGAGGTGAACGTATATCATAGGTTTACCTTCAACTCGTGCATTTGCTGCTCGTGCAACTCAGCCAGTTGTCGCTCTTGCGCTTGATACTGTTGTCGCAGAATCTGTTGCTGAAGCTGATGATGCTGTTGCAACTGAGAAGAAAAACGCGTACATTTTTTAGTTGAAGTGAAAAATGAAATAAAGTGAGAGATAAATAGCGATTTTATGGGAAAAAAGATAGAAGAAGAAAAAGGAGATGGCGGATAGAATGGCGGAAATGGAGGTGGAGAAAAAGCGACGAACTACGCAAAAACGATCTCGAGGATACGTTACCTCTAGTATCTTTTGCTGGAGCGCGTGACCGTGAAGAGTGGCTGTTGGATCGCTGGAGGTGGTGTGATACGCGCTGGTTGTCAAGGTGGCCGTTGCACCGCCAACTCCGCCGACCAAATCCCGCGGTCTAGACATAGGTGAGCCCGGCGTGTCCCTGGCCATTTCTGCGCATACATAACCACCGATTGCTCGAGTTCCGCTCTCCTTCCCGCCCCCTCTCTTGCTCTCATTTTCTCTCGCGCAAATGTCGCGATTACCCTCGAAATGCATCGAACAACGTCGCAGAAGATGACACGACCGCGAAAAGTGCAACAGTCTCGTTGACGATCTTTATCTTTGATCCGTCGCTCGAGTTCTCGATAGCGCGGTTATTTTTAGAAGCTTCTCGCGCGGGAACAACGCGCACCTACCTTATCTATCCTTTTTTTCGCGTGTAAATAATATCCGAAAAATTGCAACGCAACGATCAAACTGTTACCCCCCGACGACCCGTGTGTTGTTGGATCGTTCTTGCGAGAATCGAGACAAAAGGAACAGGGATAAGACAAGGCTGAGAATGAGAATAGGACGCGGGTGTAGGGGTGGACTGGACCGTCGTTGAAAGGAAAGGAAACTGAAATAGCGAAAATAGCGAAAATAGCGAAAATAGCGAAAATAGCGAAAATAGCGAACACACGATCGATAGTTTTGGGATAGACACGGTTCTGATCGACTGGAACAGACAAAAAGTCTGCACGCAATGGCGTGTGCCGACGTCGGGACGGAGTTGGTATACTCGGATGGAAGAATTCCTGTGAAACCGAAAGAAATTCCGCCGATTGTTACGCGATCGGTCAGAGGTTTTCCTGATTGGAAGTGTTGCTAAACAAATTCAATCGGTTCATCTACAGTTTCCTCGTTCTACTTACCCTTTTGCGGCAAATGACTAAACGCGGACGCGATCTCGACACTTCTATAGCCCACGTCTTCTGAAACAGAACAGAGAATCGGTTCAGCGATTCAATTTCTAAACGACTCTCTCCTTCGTTTCCATCGACAGCGATTGCACGGAATCGAGGCAACGTTCGGTAAGATAATGACGACGACGACGACGACGACGACGACAATGTCGATGATCGAGTGTACGAACGGACGAGTAATAGCTACAACGGGCGGAATGCCGTCGTGGTAACCACGCGATTAGGATCACGGAAACGTACTTTCGCATCGGATTGCGTCGAATCGAAATGGGAAAAATGGAGCAAGAATGGTTGGCCGACGGTCGCGATTGCGATATAACCGACGAACGTCGAGTTAGCGAGCGAGGAGAGGTCACTGCACGCTGCATTCCTCCGAGTCAAGTCCAAGGTTAATCGAAGGAGGGCCGTTCTCCAATGCGCGTGCTTTGCTCTCTTCTGTTTTTTTCAGCGGTCCGCCGTTACCGCGTACCGGGAAACTTCCGATTCGGCAGTGTCATAGGGATCGGGTACTCTTGCGACTAGATTTTCTAGCGCAATCAAAATCGAAAAATACTCGAGATGCGACAAGCAACTCATGTGTGTCATCGCGAAACGCGCGAATATCTGCAAAAACACAACACACGAAACACCGAAAAATCCTATCGTTAACATCGGCGTGTAGTCGCACTGTTTGTCGAGAAAATGCGGTAACAAGAGGTTGCCGCGCGTCGAGTTTCAAGTTGAAACTTTCAACTCGTCGCGTCGGTTCGCAACCTACTACATATGTATATGTTGTCGGCTGTGAGCAAAGAAGACAATTAAAGGCCACATTGATTAAAGTAATTGTCAGAAAAACGCGTTGCCCGGATGTATGCATTTAAACCTCGTCTGGTTATCAATTACGTTAAAATTTAATATCGCGCCAGTGCGTATCACCTTTTTCTCTTTCTCTCTTTCATTCTTTCACACTTTCTCCCTTTCTTTGTGTCCTTCTCCTTCCAACTTTTTTTTCACCTCGTCCTCGATCCTCGATCACAATCTGCGCTCGACGTTCCTCTTCCAACGTAGCTACCCCGAGACGGTGCATTGTGGACAAAACTGACACCATAACATTCGAACCGAACGAAATCGTTTTCTATTAAAAGAGCTAACGCTCGGGTGATACACTGTGTACAAGTCGAACACGAATTGCATCGGAAAAACGATAGAACAGCGTACGGCGTATTCTCGTACGTGTATATGTGTGCTGCCCCGTACATCGTTATTATTAGCGGACGAATGTCGGTGTGTAGGCCAAGCGAATCGTTGCACTGATCGCTAGTGGGGAACGAAAAATCTATCGTTGGTAAGCGTTCGTCGTATTATAGGATCGTTTCTTTCTTCTTTATAATTCGAACGGTTATCATCGGTATAACGCGTGCTTTCGATAACGCTACTCTCAACTAGGATTCATGCCAAACGAACTAGCGGTTTCGCTCTGTTTTCCTGTCTGGCTGCCTGCTTGCCAGACTGCCAATTGCTTTGTGAGAACGTAACGAATCATCGAAAAACTGATTTTGCGTTGGATCGCTAGGTATAGACTCGCATGCTCGGCGAGGAGCTTCACCAACTTTTGTATTTCGGGGTAGAGGAGAAGCAGGAGAAAACAAGGAAAGAGGGGAAAGATGGCGGAGGAGGAGAAAGGAGGACGGATAGAAGGAGGGAGAGAGAGAGAGAGAGAGAGAGAGAAAATGGCGAGTGTTTCAGCAAAGAGAAGTCGATGAAACTTTTTACTCGTGTTCCTGGCCGGTGGCCGACTAGCTAAGATTAGACGAACGCTCGCTATATATAGGATGACATTTATATACGCGCCTACTAAACGCGGCGAACGTACACGCGCTTTGGTTTCTCTCACCCTCTCGCCGCTCTCCATGCCTTTCTCTAGTTTTCTTTCGTACGCGATGATACAGGCTCGGGGCCAGATTCGATGATTCTAGGAGACGCATTATCCACATGGTCGAGACACGCATACACGCGTTTCGACGGCAGTGGAACGGAAACGGTGTCTTCCGCGACACGAACGATACACCGGCACGATAGCGTTTCCGATACTCAAATTCTATCCGACTGGTGCACACGTGCACAATTTCAACGACAGACTTTTAGTATTTACCTTTCCTTCCTTAACCATCGCGCCACGAGTTTACAGTGGGTAGAGGAAAGAGATACAGGTTAACAACACCAAATCGCTACTTGACCGTCCGCACGCGTTCTAAATTAATTCCGTGACTCCATTTATCATAAGTGGCGCGAATGATTCCAGTGACGTTTATCGTAGCTAGTTTTTCTTTTCTTTCCCGTGTTGAACTCGAAAACAGCGGTCGATCGTCGAAAGTACTATATGTATACCTATCATTTTCGGAGCATCGAATCGGTCGTGTACTCTACTCGGGGCCTAGAATTTAGCAACGAATCGGAAACTCTGCTGCCAGCAGAAGCAACAAGAACGAAAGTAGTAACGCCGCGCCGGTTGTTTATAACTCGCAATTCGCAATGACCACGACCATGAGTATTTCGTGCGCGCACTTTCGACCCATTGCGTCTGCTCTTCCTGTGCAAACAGTTCCTTTTCCATTCGTTTTGAACGCATCTCGAACTCGTTACGGAACCGGTTCCATACATGCCTTTCGTCGATCGCTCGTCGTTTCACGCGAATGCTACGATTCTTTTTTCATTTTCTTCTTGCTCGTCGAAACCAAAAAAAAATAAACGTACAACCGGTTGCACCGTCAAATTGTTAGCCAATGTACGCTGTGAGCCGCATACCACGAATTTTCCATTGAATTTCCTAATACGCGAATTCAACCGAGGAAAGGAACGAAAGCGAAAGCATGTACGAAAGCGCGGGAGGCCGGGATAACACGATGTCAGATGATCGATCGATGCGAGAGGTTAACAAGTCGTCGTCGTCGTCGTCGTCGTCGTCGTCGTCTCTGGAACTCGCAGCTAAGAACAACAGGTGTCCGTTGCTGCATTGGAAATCATTTTCCGGTTGACACGCATAAAGCTCACAGTGTGGCTGTTTTCCTCGACTAGACGACCGACAACCGAGACGAGACGAGACGAGACGAGACGAGACGAGACGAGACGAGACGAGACGAGACGAGACGAGACGAGACGAGACGAGACGAGACGGTACGAGACGGTACGATACGGAACGGAATGAAAAGAGACGAGAATAGCGCACTCCGGTCGTTGCGAAAGAGTGCCCATTCAGGAAGAATAAAAATGATGAGGCAAAGAATGAGCAGATGCTTTTCGAGCAAGTGGAATATTATATGAAATATTGTCGTTGGTAGACTCGTGATACGTGAAAACATTCGGAAACTGGTATAACAAAAATCAGGAAGAATGGGCAACGGAGCCCACGGAAGTGCAGAAGTAAACGTAAAACGATAAGAAGGGCAGAAGGGATTTATTGTTTGCATATGCACCTTTTTCGCCAGCAAATACAGTCACCCTCATTTTAAGCGTCGCGGCAATAACGCTCCAGCGCACACCTTCTCCAAACGAGTCACCAAACACGACCACTGCACACCACGCCACCACCACTACCACCACTAAGCACCAGTGAATTTCCCCTGGATCGGCGAACGCAAAAAGCGATCTTTAAGCCAGGTTCCGCGCGATAAAACGAAGAAAATTTCACTACTCAATCGGTCGATGCTACATCGTGTCGCGCGAGTGTAGTCGTCGCAACGCATGCAGCGATCTGAAACCGATTCGCGCGCGTGTACCACGGATATTGAAAAGATACTGCGCGTGACCCGTGCTACCGCCTCTTTCGCGATTCTCTCGCATTCTGGTGTTGTCGCGCGCGATAACAGCGCCCTGCTTCGCGAGCCTCGCGAATCTCGGTTATTTATAGCGACCCGGTGTATTGTTGCGTCCACGGTCTCTCCACCTCCACCTCCACCACCACCTCCACCACCACCCTACGACGGTACACTTCTGTCTTTTTTTTGTTTTTCTCTTGCGCGTATCCAACAGCGTAATCGTATGGCCGCATCTCTCGCCATCTCTTCTTTTCGCCAGCTACGCTTTATCTAGGTACAACTACCTCCTTTGTTTTTCAACATCATCTTCCCTGTCTTCGTATTCGTTACTGGTTCTTCTTCTTTTTCTTACTATTATTACTATTATTACTATTATTACTGTTACTACTACTATTATTATTATTATTATTACGCGTCTTCTTTTTTCCGATTTTGTCGATACCGATTACATAGGTGGCTTTGTACTTCATCTTTCCGCTTTCGCAATCTGTCATCGTCGTCATTCGGGTGTCTTCACTAGCGTAACTTGGACTCACCCGCGTGCTTTTTTATATTCTCGTATCTACGCTCCCCCTTGACAGATTTTGTTTTTCAACGTTTCACGACAGCAGGTGTTTGCGAAAGAAAGCAAAAGGATTGCTGGTTTGTTCTTGGTTCGTGAGACGGTTCTAATTCTGTCTCGCAGTTCCGGAAATTCGTGAGTCGGAATGTTCGCGGCTGCTCCGGAAATTGGACCGTCGCTCTGGGCAACCGGTCATCACCAATCGGTGTCGTTTGTCTTTTAATTCGCCGAAAAAGCAGCGTTAATCGATACGCGCGTCGCGATCGTCCTGTCGCGCCGGACGTAGATTGTATTTATCTCGCGCGGGCCTCTCCAATATCCGATCGAGTCGCATAGCCTCGCATAGTCTCGCTTACACAATCGAGTAACGTGAAGTTAGCCCGTGAAAATCCTTTTATTCGGCTTTCCCCGCGGACATTTACAATGTACCAGCTTGTATCGTCGTTGAAAATGCGAAAAGCCTTGAAGTAAATGCATCGTGGTCGATGGGGCAGAGAGACGTCTAATGTGGCCGAAAGACTCGACCAGGTGGTTTCCGTCGACCGGTTGCCCGGTCTGGGTTAAGTACACCGCGAGAATCGCACCGACGACTCCATTGAGCAAACTTTTCCAAAACGACGACAGTTTCGGTCGGATCGATACCGCAAGACCTC